CCCATCAGTCAGAAAATCGCTATGCTCAATGAAGGCGTCTGGCTGCAAATTGGTATGCCAAATTTTCCCCCTCCCAACCACCACCTACAACTGGTACAAATGTACAGAGACTAACTAGTACTATAGGGAGTTTATCTGAACTGATGGGCGATCTGGATGGCGCAATGAGTGCCTACGAACAGGCTCTACGGCATAATCAATGGTCAATTCCCGCGATGAGCGCTATATCCTGCATCCTCCGTACCCGAGAACAGTTCCAAAAGGCCATTGAGTATCTGCAGAATATCCTGAAATTGGATCCCACAAATGGCGAATCTTGGGGGAGCTTAGGTTAGTATTTGCATACTTGATGTGTTTTGTTTGTACATGTAGCTTGTATGGTTTTTTACTAACTAGAAAACAGGTCATTGCCATCTTATGATTGACAATCTACAAGAGGCGTACACCTCTTATCAACAGGCTCTGTACCATCTTAGGGATCCTCAAGTTAGTTTTGATTTGTTTTTCTTTCTTTTAGTGCGTCAAATAAAATTATCTATTTGCTAACAACTTTGTAGGAGCCAAAACTGTGGTATGGCATTGGCATTCTATATGACCGCTACGGCTCCCTCGACCACGCAGAAGAGGCCTTTTCGCAAGTCATGCGCATGCAGCCAGATTTCGAGAAGGCCAACGAGATTTATTTCCGCCTTGGCATAATATACAAACAACAACAGAAATTCAATCAGAGTCTGGAGGTTGGTTAATTGGCCTCCGATAAAAATAAAGACCACTGAGCACCGGGGCTAATTCCGATAATTCTAGTGCTTCAAATACATTGTCACCGACCCACCCCGTCCTCTCACTGAAGAAGACATCTGGTTCCAGATCGGCCATGTCCATGAACAACAAAAAGATGTGAGCAGCTCTTTTCTCTCCTCCCCTACCCCGTTTATCTTTACCTTTTCTTATATACTGACTTTGGTTACGCAGTACGACTCTGCCAAGGCCGCTTACCGGCGGGTACTTGACCGCGATCCCAATCATGCAAAAGTATTACAGCAACTCGGATGGCTGCACCACCAACTGAGCAACAGTTACAGCAGCCAGGAACAGGCCATTGAGTATTTGGAGAAGTCTGTTAAAGCTGGTATGTTCCTACTGTACACAGTTGCGCCGACATCTTAGGGAGATTGATAGGCGATACATGCTAACAACCTTGCAGACAACAGCGACGCCCAGAGTTGGTACCTCCTTGGACGATGCTACATGTCTCAGGCGAAATACCCTAAGGCATATGAGGCTTACCAGCAAGCTGTCTACCGTGACGGACGGAATCCTACATTCTGGTGTTCCATCGGCGTGCTTTACTATCAAATCAATCAGTACCGCGATGCGCTCGATGCTTATTCCCGAGCCATTCGCTTGAACCCATACATCTCGGAAGTATGGTATGATCTAGGGACTCTGGTAAGTTTCTCAAGTGGCCTCTTATTTCACGATCCACCTTTTTGCCCGCGAAATCTAACACGATGTTCTTCGTTTCAGTATGAATCATGCAACAACCAGACGAACGATGCCCTGGATGCGTATAGACGTGCCGCTGATCTCGACCCCACAAATGCTCACATTAAATCTCGATTGCAATTGTTGCAAAGCGGCCAGGCAGGAGGCGCCAACCAGGCTACTGCCCCTGTTCCACAAGATGTTAATCCTCACACATACCAAGCAGCTGGCGTGGGTATGCCTCCAGGTCATCAATGGGGTCCTCCAGCGCCAAGTGGTGGCCCACTACCACAAGGTCCGGCCCCCCCCGGTCGCATCGACAATTGGGCTCGCGGTGTCAGCGAGGTTCAAAACGCTCAGGCACCACCACAACGCCCGGCTCCATTTGATCACCGTGAAGGTGTGCGGGGTGGTCCTCAGCAACCCAGCCCGCGACAGGACCAAGCACTTCCATACCCCGACCAAGCTCAACATCCTGGGCCTCGAAAGGGCGGACTCTCCCCATCACCAAAGTTTGGCTTGGCTGCTCCCAATTCATACCAGGGCGCGCAAGCTCTGCCTCAGCTAGGACCTCCACCTCCACCTTCGCAGCAACAGCAGCATGACCGCAATGCGAGCAATGGAAACTATACCGCCGCCGGGCGACCACCACCATTAGCCCAGGGAGCGGGTCCTGCGCCAGCTGCAGCCAATGGCACCCCTTCAGGTCCCCAGCTAGCCCCCTATGTTCGTCCATACACCCCTCCAACTGAAGTACGCCCCATTCGTGATGAACGCCAAAGTTCCCCCGGATCCTCGTATCCACTGCCGCCGCCACACCAATATCACCCTGGACCCCCGGCCCCTGCAGCCAATGCAGGTGTCGCACCACCCGCATCCACCATGAGTGCCGCCGAAGCTGCTACGCGCGACCGTGAACGAGAACGTGACGAACGGCCCCCATCGTCCATGAAACGAGGCCGTGATTGGGAACCAGAGCAAGGACCCGGCCCTGTAAAGAAACTGGCAAACGAAGAGAGTCGTGCGCGGCTAGATGAGCAGCAGCCGGTACCCCGGCGCATGTCCCCGTCGTCATCCCAGCTGCAATCACAATCGCAACCACAGCTCCCGTCGCCCCGAGACCTCCGCCGGCGGGATTCCTCCGACACCCAGCAGCGCGAACGTGAACGCGAAGATCAACAACGTCCCGTTCATGGCCACGTACGTGGCGTGCATGATCCCTATCATCCATCTGAGGCAGCGCATCACGCGCCCACGCTCCCTTCCTTCCAGCATATGCAGGGTCAGAGCCAACCGTCTTCAGGCCAGCAGCAGCAGCAGCCACAGCCAGGCCCCGCGATGGCCCCGATGGTGGCTGATGGGAGTAACGCGCATCAAACGGGCCCACTGCCGTCGTTGCCGGCTGGTCTGGCTGTTGCTGCTGTCACTGGTTCGGTTAAGGATGAGAGGGAGCGTGAGCGAGATAGAGATAGGGAACGGGAGAGGGAGAGGGAAAGAGAACGAGAACGGGAGCGCAAAGAGACGATGCAGCACGAACCCCCAGCGCGAAAGATGGAAGTTGATGAGGATTACGATGATGATGGCGGGGAGGAGGAGAAGAAGGGTGCTGGAAGCGGAAGTGGGAAAGGCACTAGTCCGAATGGAGGGAGTATCTCAAAGGGTAGTGGCAGCGGGAGTAATAACGGGGTTGCGAATGGCGGGAGTGGGAGAGAGTCGCAGCAAGTACAGGCACAGGGCAAAGGGGATGCGTCGAGTTAAGGAAGGAGAGAAAGGGTGGGTGAAAGTATGAAGGGAATAGGGGTAGGATACTGTTTTGGGTTTGTTGTTGTTTTTGTTTTTGTTTTGTTTACACCATCTGGGATGGATGGTGGATGGGTTGGTAAATGGAATTTTCGCCCTCCTTGCTTTTCTTTTCCTTTCTCGTTTCTACATCGGTACAGTATTTTTTTATGCGACTTTCTTTTGTGTTTTTGCTTGGATTTTTTATTTTATTTTTCTTTCGAAGTCCAACTAACGCTCTGTTGCTGGTTTTGCATTGTTCTTTTTCCTTTTTTTTCCTTTCTCAAATTTAGATTGATATCTCTATGTATATTTCCCCCCCCCCCCCCCTTTCCTTCCTTCTTTCCTTCTCGTGCTTGAAACCTGAAAACTTGACATTGAATAACATCATAAAATAAGAGTATATGACTTAGTTTAGGTAGCCTTGGATTAGCTAGATAGTTGTTGACCTTTCTCGACACAAAGCAGAATATGAATATCATGAGTATGAATATAACATATGTGGGCCTACGTAATTATCTCATTATTGAAAAATCGGGAATTGAACGAGAGGTTTATCCAAGACCGAACCATGAATGCACAGGTGGGTGGCGGGAGATAGACAGGGTTCTGACCGGCTGCTTCCGTGGGCGATGGGGGACTTACTTGGGAAAAGCTCGGGATTAGTTTGCTTTTTTGTCGACTATGGGTCTGTGGTTTGGTTGGTTTGGTTTTGTATGTTGTATGTCTGTTGATAAAAATCCTCCGCGCGGCCTATGTACGCAGTAGATCGATCAATCAGTAGATGGATAGATGGATAGATGAATGCTGTGGTTGTGAGTAACTAATGGATAGTTAATTAAGTAGATAGATACCTAACTACCTAGGTTTCACTGGCCAAACAGCAGTAGGCTTGTTCGGTACTATGTATGTACATGTACTCCGTACATACATGTACATTACTATGTAACTATAACGGATTGCTGCTTTTTAACCACCTGTCTACTCCGTACTCTGCACAGAGTACTGCTTTTCCTTTCGCGACAATAAATAATGACAGGCAAGGGTGCAGCAAGCGACGGGACGGTGCTGGGAGAAGCGACAGACCCTCCTCTTCCTCCTCCTCCGTGTGACATTAAAACCGAAGTCCGAAGCCCCTCCCCCCCCCCCCGGGGGCCGGTCCCCAGCTGTGGACGTACGTGCGTAAGTACTTACTGTTACTGCCTTACCTATCGTTGCTGATTCGATCGGCTCGGCGGCGGAGGAGGAGGGAGGAGGGAGGGGGGAGGGAGGAAGAATAAAGGGATTGGTTCCGAACAGGCAGATAGAGAGGGAGGATATCAATCCATCATTCGTTCGATCTGACGGTGCTTTTATCGCGAAGGGGAAGAAGAGGAAGATGAAGAGGAAGAAGAAGAGGGAGAGGGGAGAGGGGAGAGATATGATTCTGTCTTCCCATTCAGAATATATATAATTTTATTGTATTTCCCGCTCGTCTAACTTACCCACCCCATTGCTCCTTCCTTTTAAATGCTACTAAGGCATAGAATACTCGATGAAATAATTAAATAATATATATCCCTACAACATAGTTACTTACTACCTTCACTCTCAGGCGCGTGGAAGAACGGGCGGTAGAGATGTGTTTTATATATATATATATATATATATATATATTTTATAGAAAGCGAAATAAGTAATTAAATGAATTTCGCTGCTGGAGCCTTACTCTTTTTGTTTTGGTAAGAATTCATAATATATTAACGTACCATATCTATCTATCTGGAAATGCAGATATATTTGATAGGCTTGGCTTCCGTTTGATTGTCTAGCTGCCTGGCTGTCTGGCTTGTCAGGCTGTCAGGTATTATGAAAGATTGATATGCAGAGCACAGACGGGTGGCCAGCAGAATGCCGCGATCCGTGGGCTGGGTCCGGATTATGGGGACGAAGAACGGTGCGAGCCTGCAGAAGCAGCATTTAGCTATCTACAAGTATTATTAGACATCGCACGTATCGTATTGACTCCCTCTTTTTTTGGATGTAAGAGACGGGAATAATACTAAAAAAATAATTGGAAAACGAACAGATATCACATGACTCCGCCCTGGGCCCAGCGTTGCCAAGAGCTGAAAGCGGCTCTGGCGGTGGCCGAAAAGGGAAAGGTGTCGGGGGGGAGGGAAGTGCCAAGAGTCCCGCCAAGAGCGCCGCCAAGACCGGGACGCGTGTGTGTGGGAGGGATGGTATTAATATGAAATTATTAGTATTGACGGGTGCTGTATGCTGTATTTTATGGATGGGCGATACTGTATTTATTGTATTGCTTGTTTACTCCGTTACCAAGGCCAAGCGTTTCATTCTTGGCGGTCCGTCTCCACCAGCAAACCTCGGAAGGAAGGCTGAAAAAGAGAGAAAAAGAGTTACAACTTACCAGCCAAAGCAACAGCTGATATGTAACGGGTCTGCGTCATCATTTATTATTTTTATTTTTCTGTCTGAGCTTGGGTGCAAAGTTGCTTGCAATTATCTTTCTGTTGTATGTATGCATAATTATACAGAAATGTACAGAGTATATCTAAGATGAATAATTTCTAGCCGATTCTTGATGGACAGACACACACACACACACACTAATAATATAGTTAATGGCTTGGGCATAATCGATATATCCGAGAATAATGGCGATCGCCCACTTCCCAGCAACCCTCCGCCAAGCTCTCGGCGCCTGGGCGAGGGCCGTTCTTGGCGCGTACCCAGCCAGTCCCGGCGCTCCGCCGTGCTTTTCCTCGTCCTCTTCTTTCCTGCTCTGGCCTGCTTGCAGGCTTGGGACATCTTGGGACATCTTGGGACATCTTGGGAGATCTTGGGAGCCCTCTTGGAGCCCTCTTGGAGCACTCTTGGAGCCCCTCTTGGAGCCCTCTTGGAGCCGATTTTGGGGCCGATTTTGGGCCCATCTTGGGTTGCGCTTGGTTTCCGCTGGGCGCTGTCCCGCCCTCTCTTCTTCTTACGTTATTATATATATGCCCCCGGTGGATATCCCAAGGTTGTTGGCCATATATATATTCATCTATATATATACACATAAATTATTATCACCTTGAACACCTGCACATATATGCGATAATAATACGCTCCCTTTTATTTCTGCCGCTTACTCTCCTCTCCTCTCCTCTCCTCCACCCCCCTTTGTCGTTTTGCTTCCCCTCCAATAGTATCGCAGTCAAATTCCGCCCTCCGTCACCTCTTGTCGTCCATGGATATCAATCCCCACCCTCGCCGTGGTCGATGTCTTGCCTGCAGGCCCTGCTCCGCCCCCAGAGTGCTTGCCTCTAGCTACAGCTGCTAGTACGTTAGTACAGCGACACGACATATCTTATATATGCCCAGTGCCGGCCGTTTACCATGACGTCTTCGACCTGTCCTCTTCCTCCTCCAGCTCACCTAAACCCAACGTTCCCATCCCATAATATCTATTACCAGCGCCACGACGACGACAATCACCTCTACTATTCCCAGCAGTCCCCATCTTCAGACAACCACCCCTCTCCGCATTCTCACTCCCGAAACGACAGCTTTAAAGATCCCTCCTACAACCCTCATCCCAACCGCAATAGTAATAACCACCACATCATCCATCTCCCCCAGCCTCAGCTATACCCCCCATCCGCAGAACCTCCCAATGCTGCTCCTACCCTCTCACACCGCGCACCGCAATCTATGACGCACCAGAACCAGAACCAGAACCAGGACGACTGCCACTCGCATTCCCATGCCATTGAGCGAAATACCATCTCCCATCCTGCGTCAATGTTAGAGCAGACGCATGCTCCTCAAATCCAAACGAGAATGGAAGCGCGGCGCAGTCACGGGCATAACAATCATGGTGTATTGATGTCAGGGCACTTGAGTCCGCGGGCGCAGCAGGTGGATAATCGGGTATTGGTTTACGCGGATGATGTAGAGGTCGACGATGGTGATGATGATGACGATGATGATGATGATGACGAGGATGGGGATGAGGATGATGATGGAGATGATAGGTTGGATGTGGTGAGGTCGACGGAGACGGAGAATGCTTTTTTCATACTGGTGAGATATATAAATTATTTCTATTTTCACTTTTCACTTTTCTTGTGGTTGGAATTTATTTTGGGTGAATTGAGTTTTCGAAGCTTTTGTTTTTTTCAAAGAAGAAAACAGCTGTACTGGATATTCTTTCTGCCTCGTCCTCAAGCACGAAGGCTGGGAAGACAACATCAGAACAACACCAAAACCGCAAGAATTGGAACAATTGGAGGATGGAAAGAGACTCAATCAACTCAAATCATGCATAGAAATGACCTGCTAATCGTCGTCTACAACAGCTCCGCCTTTCCTTCCTCGTACCAACCTTAACCTTCATCGCAGCGCTTTACACCCTCGCCGTTCTCCTCTTTCTCCTCGTAACACTCCCGCTCCGCCTCTGCACTCCGTCCCCCTTCTTCAAATCCCCTCCCTCCGCACAAATATGCTCTCTCCTCCTCCCTCTGCTACGCAGGCACCAGCGCCTCATTGCGCCACAACCGCGATCACCAAGGAGGAAGGTCGATATCACGAATAGTAATAATAGTAATAATAATAGTCATGATGGGAGGCATTGTGCGAGGTATTGTAGGAGGGCGAGAAAGAAGGATGGGAACGGTGGTGCGGCTGTGTCTACGCATCCGTACGATACGATCGATTCTCACCAGCAGAAGGCTACCAACACCACCACTACAACGACGACTACAACAACCATGACTGCCACAACAAATGATACCCAACACTCACACCCAAACACTCAAATACACGGGAACCCGCCTTCCCCCCTCTCCCCGCCTGTCTCCCCCTCCTCCCCAAGACACCCTCCTCCAAACACAACACCTCCAACCTCCCCCCTCTCCTCATTCCCCTCCCTCCCCTGCTCCCCACAACTCAAACCAACCCCCGCCACCACCCACTCCCCCCCACTCCTCCTCCTAATCCACCTCCTTTCCCCGCTGCTCATCCCTGCCCTCCTCATCGCTGCCTGGATCGCCGCCTCGTTCTGGGTCTTCGCCATGATCCTTGGGAACCCGGATGGGACCGAGGGGAGGGATGATGGCCGCGTGGCGGTGTTGGGGGTGCGGAATTGGTGGTGGAGGTGGCTTTGTTGGGCGAGGAGAAGGGGGGAGAGGGAGAGGGAGAGGGAGAAGAGGAGAGGTGGTTAGGGTTGAATTGTGTTTGTGAGGTCTTTTTTATATATTATTATTACATTCATTTATGTGTTTCGTTCTGGGTGTTTGGGTTTCGGCCGGGTTGACTTTTTAATTTTCGTTTTATTTTTTTTATTTTTTTTCGCTTTTTGATTTTGGTTATCTGGCGGTCTCTTTTTATCTGGATATGTATTGGATCAGGGCTCTGATCCTGTTTTCCTTCCCTGCTTTTTATATTTTATATTGTATATTTAGTAGATGGAGGGTTTATGCTGGCGCTCTAACTACTATAACTTTGCACTATACACTACTTAGTTGGCTCGTACATTTATTACTGATATTATTTTTGTTAATACTCACGGAACGTATTTCCTGTTCAGGGCGTTGTATTTTCCTTGTTTTTCCTTCTCACCTCTTTCCTCTCCTTTTGAGTGGAAGTGCTTAAAAGGGCCACAGCAATGGCTGATTGATTCATGTCTGTCTGATGAGAAATAGGTAACTTAATAATATTTTGCATTAGCTAAATATTCCACCCAGATAACGCCTTTTTAATGAATTTTGTTATTTTCTCTCCCCTTCTCTTGTTACTTCATTTCTTTCTCGCAAATCCAACCCCCCCGCACGCAGAGAAGCCGGCAGACGACTCAAGCACAGATTATGCTGTCTGCGCTCGCCCAGACATATCTGCATATCCTAAGATAGTACCAGAAACGGTAACAGCTATGCGATTCTATGCATAGATCTAGGCTGTTATGTCGGACAGTTGCTGTTGTTGCACGTATACATGCATGTACAGTACATACAAAGTATGTACGTGCATATTTTTTTGGCTATTATGTACGTAGATGGTGGGGGGCTTGGGCAGGCTGGAAGGGAGAGAGATATTGAAATCGTGATTTGTCGATAAACCAAAAAAGGAAAAGAAGAAGAGAAAAATTTAAGGCGATTTCATATAGGGAGTATATCAGCATATCTAGGAAGAAGCATTTTGATTTATCATATTGAAGATTTGAGAGCGAGAATGGAAGCGAAAATACGGAGTAAGTAAATAGAAAATAACCAAATCAAAGGGGCAGGGAGAACACCGAGCGTAAATTTTTCAATCAACCGTCTTTTTCCGTGGACCATTCAATTCCATATTTTTAGATAACACAGAGGTATCACCAGTCCATCATATCAATTCACCAACCAATATCACCCCTCCATAGCTCCTCTACCTCCTCCCCCCTCTCCCCCTCCCACCCCTCCCTCCACTACCACGACCACCACCAAACCGTCCCCCCTTCCCAGACCCCCTCTTCTCAACCCTCCCACTCTCACCCCTAACCTTCTCAGCCCCCAATCCTCTCCTCCCACTACCACTAGCCCCCTTAACCTCCCTCCCAATCGCCTTCGCACCCTCGACCCCGCCCTCATCATCATCGATATCCATCTCATCCCCACCCCTCTTCCGCCCCTGGCTAACCTTCAGCCGGCCCCGCTGACCCCTCCGCACCGCATCCGGCCCACTAACAGCAGATAAATACGCATTGACGCTAGTAGCGCCCTCGGCTTCGCCCGCTCCCTCGCCACCGCCGCCGCCATTACGATCACTGCTCCCACCAGCACCGCCAGAAGCCATACCGACATCTCCATCCCCATCCAAGCCCAACAGTAACTTCCCATCCGCATCGACGCGCGCGGCGCGCTTGCGAGTCTTCGTCGCCAGGAAGCGCACGGAGGGCTTCGTCGTTGAAATGCTCGCGAGCGCATCGGGCGCGAGGAGATCGAGCGGGTTCGATTCCGGCGAGAGTTCACGGATGTATTGCGTTTGCGATTGTGCGCCTGGCCGGCTAGGTTTCTGTCGTCCAGCTCCCCCCGCTCCTCGTTGTTGCTGCTGCTGCTGCTTGCGGCCGGATTTATGGGATGATGAGGATACGTGCATGTTGCCCTGCTCGTCGATGTCGATTTCGCTCGCGTCGTCTGAGTCTGTCGTTGCGAAGTCTGAGTCGGACATGTCGGAGCCGTAGACGGCTTTGTCGAATTCGCTGCTGTAGGATTTTTCGCCGCCGCGGGGTTGGTGCGTCACCGTCGCTGATGCGCCCTTGCGTGCGCGGCTGGCGTCTCCACCATGCTCGTCCCCGTCTTCATCCTCATCCCCGCCTTCCTTGGCTTGCGCCTTCTTACGCTTGCGCCGTTCACGTTCTTTGCGGATCGCTACGACGAACTTGCGGTCAGCTTCGCCGACTAGGCCCTCCAGGAGCGGAGCGCCGAAGCGTCGGATTAACCGCTCGAGGATGCCCTTTACTTTGCTCTTTAGCCGGCCCTTGTGCTCCTTACTCCAGACCAGGAGGTTGGGTACGAGTGAATCGAGGCGCGGCCGGAGCATGTCTTCGGGTAACACGACGACGGCAACTTTGACGAAGCCCAGCACACTCCGGACGATTTCGCGACTGTTGCTTGTTAGGAACAGATCGATGGTCTGCACGAGATCGGACAGGATGGACGCCGGTAACTTTGTGTGGAACTCGAAGAGGAGCCGGGATAATGCCGTTACTGAGGCAGCGACCATGTGCGGCGAGCTGCCTGCAAGACCGGCGGAGACCATGGTGAAGAACTCTTCGATCGTGGCGGGGGCATCTGGGGCTGTATCAGGCATGTGCGGCACGAGCGAGTTGCGGATTACTGTGCCAGCCGGGTTGAGGTCTGGGTCTATAGTGCGCTGGGCGAGGTGGACGAGTAAGGAGAACGCGGCTGTGCGCGCCTTTTCGTTACTCTCCTTACATCCTAGCACTACTTCGGGCAGCACAGAAGGGATGAAATATAGGTCTGAGGTTGGGAGGTAGGTAACTATTTCATGGACGGCAAGTAGCCGGTCACGGCGGGCTGGGGCTGGTGTTTGGTCCGCTGTTGCAAGGATGAGAGATTGTAGCTCGGAGCTGCGTTCGCGGAGCGCGGCGGCACCGTTTTCGGTCGTAGCGAGGCGCGGAATGAGTTTGTATGCTTTCTTGATTAACTGGGGGTCGGAGGATTTTTTGTTGAGGACGACCGCGGCAAGCGAGAATAGCGTGACGAAGCTTGATCTCGGTAGATATATCGATATCGTAACGACAAGATCCATCAGGGTGTGAGAGGCTGGCGGCATCTTGTCGCCGGAGCCTTTCGGTTGCTTCTGCTCTGCGGGTTCCGGCTCGTTGAGGGAGCCCTCAAGCATCGTTGTGACGCGCGTGAAAGTTTCGATCAATTCCTAAGAGTACTTTGTTAGTTACCAACAGTAAAAAATGGCGGTATAAAATAAAATATACATACCTGCTCGCCTGTAATGCTTAAATATGCGTTGATGCATCGGAGTAGGAAGCCCCTGAATTGAGGAAGTGTCTGACTATAAACATTGAAGAGCACAGCGAGTAGATTACTAGAGAAACTAGCAAGATGTGCAAGATTTTTCTTCGCAGCTTCCTTCGTTATCCGTCGCTGAAGGATCAGATCGTCCTGCTCGGTATCCAACGAACTAATCGCTTGATTTGACTCCACAAGATTCTGCAACGCTCTGCACACATCTACACGCAGCTCCGTTTGCTTGTAGAGCACATTTGCAAGCAACTCAGCAAAGCTTTGATCAAAGGATTCCGTAAGATCTAGTGGCAGTTCGCAGAATCCCGGCAGAATCGCCCAAGTCTGCTGGACGAGAGTTTCGAAGATTTTCACCTCGACAGTTTTCTCAGCGTTGCCGTATTCGAGAACGCGCTGGAATAGCGCTTCACTGAGTGGCACGAATTCAGACCGGAAAAATGACAGGCGTGTATTTGATACGTGGTCTCTGAGAATGGGAAGAAGCCAGACTCGGCCTGGTTGGCCTGCCTTTTGATGTGTGATATTCAGAGGTAATATTTGCAATACTGCCTCCGGACCCATTGCGGCAATTGCAGAACCGAGGACTTGGTCGGCTTGTTTCTTGCCGGTAAACGATTCATTACCCCGTAGCTCCCCGACCGTCCGTAGGGTGTCCGTTAGAACGGGGAATGATCTCCACTTCAGAGCATCGAACATTGCAGCGAGTAGGTTGAATACCTCCATCCATGCAGCTTGGTATTTGACAGAAAGTAGCCCAGTGGCTATTTTAGCCAGTTTCTCAAACACCTTTTCGTCATATATCGAGGGTTCAAGGATGACTGTGTCCGGAATACAGTTGACGAGAAACGAGATGAGGCACTCAGAGGCAGACACCCTAATATTCCGAGACGGCGAAGCAAGGAAGGATGAGATAAGGTCAAAAAGCTCTGGGAGCTTCTCAAACGTCTCTTCAGGGTTCACCTGCGCTGATACGTCGTAGCCCCTCGAGAGCACCGCAATCCACGGAGGGAGTAATTGCGAATCGTTCTGCGCGGGCTTCAGCTCCGAAATCGTCTCCATAAGACGCGGCAGCTTGGACGAGGAGAAATCATCCGCCATGCCCTCAAATATAATCTCGAAAACTTCAAATGCCGCCATTGTTAGGTACTCGTTGGACGATTTTGACACGTTCATCAACAACTCGCACAACGGCTCGATCTTCTTCGTCGGCCAACCGCCCGAAGCGGTTGCAATTGTCTTCACCAACTGCACCGCGTGGATGACCATTGGTTCGTGCTGGCTCGCCTGCTGTTGCCCATGTCGACCCTTTTTGGCCTTCGCTGCCGCAGTGATACTCTCACTTAGAGTATGCAGTGCTGTTTCCGCACACATATCCGCTGCAGGGTGGTCTAGCGACGGACTTGGTGGGGGATTTTTCAACACATAGATCAACGTATCATGCACCCGCTTGCGTACTTTGGGTCTGTGGTCTACCGCGAGCGCCATTAGGCCAGCCATAGCCCTGCGCGGGCCTATCTGTGACGGTGGCAGAGCCCATGCCGCCGAATCCTGGGCGACCAACAGCGACTGTAGACATCCTACGGACGATTTAAGAAGCGGGGCTTCGGCTTCTGGGAGTGTGAGCGCAGGCGCAAGGCTGGTGAGGATCTGAGAGAACTTGGAGACGAGGAGGGGGCCGGGGACGAAGGGGGCGACTGTGTCGAGGAGGTAGACGATAGAAGAAGCGAGGTCTTTGTTTACGATGCCCTGGGTCGTCGAGATGGCCTGTCCTAGGAGGGCGAGGAGGGCAGCGAAGTATGCGGTTGCTGTGAAGTCGGCATTTTGGTCGCGGAGCGTATCTTCGACTGCGGAGAGGACTACTGAAGTCTGTAATGTTCATTATCGTTTTGAAAATTAGCCTTGAGTTCTCTTTTTATCTGTCCCTCGAGTAGCTGTGCGGCGGTGTGTTCCTCACATGGTGCTGGTTTTGTAGCTTTGGAGATTTTATCTTGTCGAGCTTTTCCTGCAGCGTCGCCATAATGCAAAAGTGTATCCCTAGCTTAGAGGGAAATCACTGGTGCAAAATGTGCCGGCAAACGACCTGAGAGTGGTTGAATGGGTGGTGTTTGGATATTTGGAGTGCTGATAAAAAAAACTAAGTTCGATTTTTTTGGTGGTTATATATATTTTTTTATCGATAGCAGATTTTGTGGGGCGCAGAATGGGAAACACAACGGCAGCAAATAGAACTATTATATTTAGGTAAGAATGAGAAAAACAGCGGGATATTGTGCATTGGATTTAGTCTTGCTTGCTGGAATAAATTTAAATGCATATGTTTTGGATATTCTTTTTTTCGTTTTGCTTGCTACTGATCACAGTAATGTATAATAAATAAACATTATAAACCTAGAGAATCGCTCTCAGCGGGTTCATATTTATATCTATGTCGAAGACAACAACCCTAAAGGCCGCTGATCAGACCTTTTCGCTATAGCATCATATACATACATCCATTTCATTCTCGCGCACAGGTTAGACGCATTTCACAATATTCTGCATCGCCTGACAGTACCCACCCATCAGCTCTTTCTCTTCAACCTCCACGCGCCCTTTTTGTTCTATCTTCTGTCGATATAATGGTTGATCAACTCGCACCCCAACGCTCATTCATGGTTCGTCGAAGTCCAATGTAGTCATGTAAAGGCGCATATCGATCTTGTGGGAAAGACCCTAGAAACTAATCAAGAGTGAAGTCCGATGAAACGAAAACAACAAAAACAACGGAGCGTACAGAGCGTGAAAGGCATGTTCCGTAGCCTCTTCTAACAAATAATTGAGGCTCCCATGTGCGACACTGGTTAAATGTTGTGCCGCAAAAAAAAAAAAAAAAAAAAAAAAAAAAAAGAAAAGAAAAGAAAAGAAAAGAAAACCGTCGTGGGGAGATTGTAATAAGGTCCCCGTCATTTAAATCATGAAAGAATTATAAGACTTTACAATAAAAAGGCACCACCACCTTGAGCATTTAAAACAAAACCTCTCCACTGTGCTCAGCTTCAAAGCCGAGGGTTTGTAGTTTGGTATTGCGGCGTTTGTCGCCCTTTTTACGTTCATTGTCTTCCTGCTTCTTTAACGCAAAGACTTCTTCGAATGGCGCCTGGCGGTAGCCTGTGGGGATATCGTCCTCTTTATCTAGGTCCTGAATTTGAACAATTGAGCCAGTCAGTAGTGTGCCGGAGGGTTGGGGTGGTCCAAGTTTTGTTTTTGGGCGGATCGTTCGTAAACGTACAACTTCTCCTAGTAGGAGCACATTCTCTCCCCGAATCAGGTAGATTCCTCGTTGTATATCTGCGAAAAGGTTACCCGCGTAAAGCCGCTCGACAGTCCCTTGGAGGACAAGGTTGGCTATAGTAAAGCGGATACATTAGTACAATCCGGCTATTTCATGCGCAATAGTTGAGTTTGTGTGATGATGAGACAGAAGTGAGAGATATATACGACTTACCAAACTGATCCCAACTGCGCAGCACGCCAATCAACTTGCGCCCATCTCGGAGAACGAGAACGAGCTTTTCTGTTGGAAACACAGCCCACCAAAAGGCGCGGTGGAGATTTAGTCAGCACTTATCCCTGTATATATACCAATTTCCATTCGCTGGCGAAAAAATGGTAGCTCAATGCGATTTTTCTTCCAGGGCTGACCGCGCAAAGAGGGACGCTGCTCACTATCAGTCAAGTCTAGTAGTTGCGCAGCCGTCGTGAACATCTGCGGGGGTAGCTGAGGAGGGGCTGGTGGCATCATAGGGCCGGGCGAGGGTGCTTGGCCTGGCGCAGGAGGAGGAGCGCCGGGCGGGACTTGGTGGTGGTGGGGGAAGCCGGAATGAGGAGGGGGATTGGGCTGCGGATGATAGCCTCGGTGGCCGTGCGGGAGCGGAGGTGGCCCCCCACCGCGCCGCGCACCATGGCCGCCGTTGTTGTGATCGTGAAGGGATAGGTTCTCCATGTCGCGGCGGATGGTGGTGATTTGCGGAAGCGCCAGTGCGGGGAGGGATTGAACGCGGGTATTCTGGGCGGGTGGATAGGCGGGTGGGTAGGATTTCAGGACAATGCGAAGGGCGGTATAGTCATGCTGGTTGGTCGGGAGCTGTGAAGTAGGGCTGAGCGGCTTGGAGGTCAAGATCTATTCCCAGATTTGGTATAGGTGTGTGTCTCCTTTTTGCCCCTAGCAGCAATATTGTCCGGTCCTGGCGTAGATTGATGTCGTCTGCAGTGTTGTTCTTCTTGCCAATGTATGTTGGGAATAATCCGAGTCTGGGGAGGGATTGCTAGCATGTTTGCTCTGTTTGCTGGGAGCTTCCTGTTTGGGAATAGCGCCCCCGCCATATCTAGCAAGAACTAAGAATTAAGTTGGAACTCTGTTAAGTTACCAGCATAAAGTATTTCCATGTCCCTCTCTTATTAACTCTTAACCAGAGTTTTCAGGGGGTTAATGCCTGTTGTGCCTGAATAAATCAGCTACAGTTTAACTAAAGCCATCCTAAGTCTCAAGCTGTTCTAAAATGAGGATCCTTGAATAGTAACAGTATTACAGCTTAAATTCTTAGCGTTAATCAAAACTTTAAAATGATCCTCTAATAAGATGACAGGTGCTTTGTGCAGTTGGTTATCTAATTGTGGAATATCGATTATCTAACTAAGAGAGGCTATCTCAATAATGAGCATAAGAATTTACATAAATATTGGGTATCTTAAAAATAAAAAACAATGAGCTCTGAATCAGTCGCGACTCGACGAATATTTCATCCCCTATCCATCATCCTGAGATATGTACATGTACATGTACTTGTACATACATACATTACAATGTACAATCATATTTAGGGCTCATCGCTCTTCCAAGCCAATCACACACAATGCTGCCACCCTGGGGTCGTGAAAAGTCAATGAACTAATCATGGTTACTTCCAATGAATTGCTTTAGGATCTGCGAAGCGCTGGACGTAGGTGATGGCCAACTAAAATGTCTGGGGTAAGCACCAATCCATGGATCTTAACGGAACACACATTGTTAAATTGGCGTTGGACATCATCATGACTGCACGTGAATTTGGCAGTTGGATGATACAAGAGCCTACTGCACTCATAGGCCCAAGCGTCCAAGCCAGGTTAAATAAACCAGAAAGGAATTAGGGGAGGAAAGTCCGAGAAATGAAAAGGGCCTATCTAATAACTTACTTTTCTCTTCTGCTTCATAACCCTCCCACAGGAGACACATTTCACCATCCCTTGCATAACGACACATGACAATATGACACCCGATGACTCCAAGTTTTGCGGCGCTTAAAGAAGAACAAAGACAATAATTCATCGATTTGACATCTTATTCTCAGCGATAATAGCCTCGTCTGGCACAAGATTAAGAGGACCAGACCAGCTCAAGCGACACTGATCTTGCGCGATCGTTCTCTCATCCTCCGCTCGCGATGCCGGTTCATATAGACGACACACGGGTCGTCCGAGGAGCCAATCCCGACTCTTACCGAATCTAGACTCGGGGAATAACCCGGCCGTCCAGGAGCTGCAGGAAGTTGTAGAAGCCGTAGCTGCCCCCGAGTTATGATGTTGGCGCAATATAGATGCCTCATTGTTTCGAAATCTGGGCAGATGTTTTGAATGGAGTATCCTTGCTTTAGATGTTGATCTGCTAGGTGTGTTAGCATCCTTCTCCAGGCAATGCCATGGTGTGGGTCCGATATCCGGTATGGGCATGCAGGGCACTGTGCAGTGGTTGGCGCTGGGTGTAGGCGGAAGTGGCTCAGCACGTGTGTCTTCCACAGGTCAAGATTAGTGAAGCTTTTGTCACAATCCAGTATGTGGAAGAAACAATAATGGCCGATCCCTGCGCCGTTAGCTTCGGGTGGGGTAGTGAGGTTTCCATCTGCATCTTCTTCAAGGGCATATCGCGCGGGAAGCTTGCCAGCGTTATTTGTATCAATGGATTCCGAAAACGAATCGGATGCCGCTGACGATGAAGGCCGAGATAGTGTCGGTGCTGTACTTGGTGCAGACATGCTGGAGGATGACGATTCACTGTCTGTGTCTTCGTTGTTTTCAACAATCATAGAACTCCGCCGGGAACTTGCATTATACCCTGCGTTTCGAAATGTGCTCCCCGTTGAAACGAACGCCGACGAGGTAGGCGTGGAAGAAAGCGACAAAAGACGTTCGATAATGTTGTCTGATTCTTCACTTGCCCAACGCTCTAGAGTGGAAGGTGCCACTGTCAAAACATTAGTATCTTGGAGTCCAACATCTCAGCCTGGTGGATGACTGTGTATACTTGGGAGAATTCTGCTATTCGGAATTCGATGTCTTAAAGGGAAGTAGCCAGATGGTGAAAGACGAATATAAAATGGTACAAGGAGAGTAACCGAGAGTATCAACGGCCTGTACCAGAGCGGAACAGGGTGAGGTTATTTTTTTCTTAAAACGAAAAAGCTAGTTCTATGGGAAGTTGGAAATGATACACCAACACGCGATATTTATATTTCCGGACGCTTTGCCACATCTATAGCGATTTCATGATACTTCGGCAATGGTAGGTAGGGATTCGCCGTAACCCCACACGATAGAGGCTCTTGAAGGGAAATAAAGTGCTACTTACACCAAATAAACGCGTTTTGATATGGTGTGACGATTGGCATACGCTTTATTTCATCACAGCAAGTGAATGATGGCCACGTTTGTGGCAGTTCCGGTCTGGAATCTGCGGGGAGTGCAAGTCGGAGGACAATGGAACAGGAGCTGTTTGGTATTGAAGGTGAACGATGGTCCAGACACTTTGTCTTTGAGCGCGTGGCAGAGCGATAAGAGGACTGGCCGAGAGAATGGATCGTTATCTGAAAGAACCAGGACCTATTATGGTTTCAATTGGTGCAGGATGAAGTCGGGAAAATGTTGGCTACTCCATGAAGAAGTACCTCACTCGGGGAACAGACAAGTGGTTGGAGAATCCCCAAAAAAAATAAAAAAAATAAAAAAAAATAAAAAAAATAAAAAAATAAAAAAATAAACAAATAAAAGAAAAAAAATAAAAATAAAAATGGATAAGTATATAAATAAAATCACGAACCAAAGGGAGCAGAAAGGAATGCCCGCGGATAAAAAATGGACAGAGATAAAGCATTCTAAGGACGAGTGTGAGGGATGAACCAACTGCTTGTTATACACCCCCTCCGGTTTTGTCTATGATACAACCAGCCTGTCTCGAGTTATGAGCTGTCATGCAATTTCCTTGTTAGCGGGGGGAACCCAAATGATGAACGGCTCCATTCATAGCCCAGTAGTGCCACACCCAATTTATAATGAGAGATATGTATTGATCTTGTAGCTTCATGGATGATGCATGGAGCTTCCCCACTGAGTTAGTAGGACCTTGAGGCTCAATTCAACATCTTTTCCCCAGATTTGACCGGGGGGTAGGTAGCTTTGGAAATGTTATTGCAAGAGGCCATAAAATCTAAGGTGATTAGCGACGTTTTGTAATAAAAAAAAGTACTTCGATTGAACCATAGACTCATGGTTTTCTCGACTTGTGTCTTTCTCACTGTCATTGCTATCAAAGTCGATGGGTTAATGACGCCAACCACTTTCCCTGACACCAGCAACGTGGCGAGCCCGCAGGTGGTTGTAGGAATGCACTGTGCTGCTACCCTTGGGGCCCGTTGGCGATTTCAAAAGGATTGTCTTCATCAACTTGCAGATGCCGTCCATATACAGAGAGCCTTATGATGGACAACCCCTTCATGGTTCTTCAGAGGTTGTAGCCCCCCCAGATGGATGCAACGTGGGGATTGGGGGGCCTCACTGGTACTAGGACTGGGGCTGGTCGGCTCGTGTTGTCGTTTGGTGTTGCTGCCAGCTTGTTTCTCGTCTCTCTCTTCATCTTTTTTTTCTTTTTCTTTTTCTTTTTTCTTTTTCCCCCAGCTGCATCGAGCTAGGGCCCAACCCGGGTGGGTGCAGCCCAGTGCATCACGTCTGCAGGATTGTCGAGCTGGCACCGTACAACACCAGACAAAAAGCAAGCAGGTTGGTATGTCGCACATCGTGTTTCAACCTAACCCAAATAATTCTTATGCATGAAAGGGTCTTTGGGCAGTCATACTGCTCATGCAAAGTAACTGACTTTATCGCATGCCCGCCCGTTGAAACGAGTTTCTCGACGTTGTTGAGGTTGTTGAACTCCTGTGGTTCTGTTCTGTTTGAGATCTCGTTAGTCAGCAGCGTCACCAACCATCAACATCTCCGAACTGATATGGTTTCTCGCGTTCAACTCTCCCATCCCACTCCCAAGCAACTGCATTTCTGCTCGGTTACGAACGGCTCGGGGAGTATTGAGTCCTTCTTCGACGCTCCGCCGCGGCAAAAAGCTAGCAATTGCGGCCCATCCACAAGTGCATTGCCTCCCTAGCGGGCTATGACGGGGTTGTTCGCCCTACTATCGGCGCCTTTAAGCTGCTGTCTGGGGCCAGTTTAACAAATAAACCAATCCGCTGCGGCTGAGGAACGATCTTGGCGAGCAAACAAGACCGCGACGTTAGTTCCAACAGTACTCTGAAATCATTTGCAGGGCGCGCAATATCAACTCGGCCAGAGGGAACTTCCTATCCGATATGGTCATTCGGCTCCGGGGCCGTTGCGTCTTAATAATGATATAAGATGAGGATCATGTGTCTCCATCCTTCCTCGCAGCCGCAAACAGTCAAGATTCTCACCAAAGCATGTCCCAGCTGACGGAAGGCTTTGGCTGTGGTAGTAAGATGTATACTGGCGAGAAAAAGGAAATTATGATGATGACCGTGAAGCATTGAACTGGTTTTTTCATAGAGGAGGTTCAGGGTACTCATCGATATATATCGAAGGCTGAACTGAAGATATAACGTTGAGTAGAAGCCGTATGAAAAGGGGTTTTCTCAAAAGAATCTCCACCGTTCTCAAAGCAAATTACTCAGGGGACGACAATAATAGTAACATCAGCAGCTACTGCTAATCATCAACAGATTTAAGTTGGCAATCAGGTGGACTTACCAAACTAATAGGGGCCTGTCTATGCAATAGGAATGTGAATATATCACCGGAGTTAACTTCTTTGGTAAAGACAAAATTCGGGTCTACTTACTATATCTATATCTAATTTACATCTACTGAGGTTGACATGATGAACGCGCTTTTCTTGCTTGTTGTCTCTTATCTAACCCAATTCAACAGTGAAATGATCTCTTGAACAACACCTTTGCAACGACACTCTTCACTTAATTCTCTACTGGGTAGAGTAAACTCCTGCTGCAATTCCAAAAGGCATGCTTGAAAGGGACTCTGCAAGAGCAATTATCATTTTGAGTGGAGAAACCGGAAGCAGAGTTGATACCAAGGGGTTGGATGACACATGCCCCCCTGGTATCCTCGCACTGGTTTTTGTACAGGCAGTTTCGCCGCTCAAAGGGAATGTCAGCCAATGCCAGACGGGAGGCGACCGCAGTACGGCCGGCTTGTCCAGATTCATGGCTGAAGCCGCAGAAGCAAAGAAACATAACTAGCTGATTCTGCTTCTCTCACAACCTAACTACAAGCTACCATTTCTTTTATTTTCGATTTTGCCGAGCGCAAAACTGTCCGCAGCTGCGTTGGGTTATAACCAAACCGCCAGGCCATTTTGGCCACTTCTTCTCACCTTGCTGCGTCTGAAAAGGAAAAACTCGTCAAAATGGCAGCAGAAAAATTAGGAGAAGAGGACCTCAATACTAGCGAAATCTGGGATTGGGCGGTCAATTGTGACGCTTTTGGTCTTCATTCTCACCAGTATTTAAGATAAATCTGTCAGCAGGCGCATACTTTTGGTTGCGCGATTAGTTAACCCTCTAGCAATGGCCCAGATATCGTCGTCCTGGCCCCCTTTCACATCCCGATCCTCATTCCGCGGCAGCTGGTGGAAACTGTCGTTGATGCGCTCAGTGCGTTGAGAATAATACCGCCCAGGAAGGTCCAGTACCAGCAGGATCCCGCCGCCGACGGCGAGGATGTAGATGATGATCAGAATGGCAAAGTCAAGCGCAAGGCCTTTCTACGATGGAATTTTCCCATGAATTTTGTAACTGCGCCCTTGATCGCAGATCTTTTCCTGCTGGCCATTCTTGCTATTGGTCGAGAAGAGGTCCGCGGTGGTACGGTGGTACGCTGGGTGCGAACAATATATCCCCGCTTGATACCATGGCTTTCTTCATTACGCTGGCCTACATTGCTATTTCTATCGGCTCGTCTGGGCTTATTAGGTTCCTGGCATTTAAAGGACTTCAAAAGGGAGGCAAGGTTGGGCATCGGCTCTTCTTCTACCTTTACGCTTTTTTCTTCGGCCTGGGGAGCTTCATTGGCAACGACCCTATTGTCCTCTCCGGAACTGCGTTCCTTGCCTACATGACTCGGGTATCAAGCAATATCATTCATCCTAGAGCCTGGATCCACACACAATTCGCGGTGGCCAACATCGCGTCTGCAATTCTCGTCTCCTCCAACCCGACTAACCCAGTCCTTTGAGATCAAGTTCATTGTCTACACGGCAAACATGATCGTCCCAGTCATTGCAACCGCCATTGTTTTATTTCCCTTTTTGCTATACATCATCTTTGCGGATCCGGCCCCTATCCCATTTTCCATTGAGATGCACGAATTGTCGGAGGAAGCGAAAGCAATGAAGCCTGTGAATCCTAATATTCCTCATGCGCGAGGATTGGCTGAGGAGGAAGAGGGCAATGCAAATGACGATCAGGTGAAGCTTCTCTCCCTGGAAGAGATTATGAACCCTTTCCTGGACAAAGGCGGCGCGGCTTTCGGAGCCGTCATTATGATAGCTACGCTTGTTACCCTCCTGGCCCTTAACGCTTCGACCAAGAACATTATCCTATTTTTTGGGTAACCTTGCCCGCGGCGCTTGTTATGTTTTTCTGGGACGTTGCTTTCGGATGGTACCACCGGGAGGAGACTCGTGAGATTGCTCGCAAAGGTCGACTGGAGGTTAAAAAAAGCTCGACTGGAACTTATGTATAGGGCGGAGGAATTACGGCTTGCGGTTCTAGGGCAGAAAGAGCAGGATTCTATGGATGCGTATGGGACCCCTCTAGTATTGACCCAGTCGCCTGAGCCTCATTCACAAGACCAGTCCAGGCATAGTGGCAGCGGTGATGGGGGTGGCGGCGGTAAGAGCCACAGTACCTCGAATACTGATGATGATATTACATTGGCGGTCGCTGCTTCCAAGCAAGTTCCTACAATCCTTACCTCCGAGACAGATGACAGACCAACTCTCGTATCGACACCTCCCCGTGAACCATCACCCTCATCTGTGCGTATATACCAAGCGACAATCAACTACCGAACGGCCAAGGGTCAACCACGAGCGCGGTCACCATGATAGGCGAGAAACAGGAAATAACCAACACCCACGCCAGCCAGTCATCGTCCCAGCAGCAACAAGGGACGATATTAAGCGAAGGACAGATATTTTCTAATCGAATGTCTCAAGAGCTGGCACGGCAGCAAGATCGTGGACCGGCAACGATAGTCTCGCTCCTTGCGGAAGCCTACCGCTGGACTCAGGATACTTTCCCTACCGTCACAGCAGTAGTCGCCCACTTACCATATGCACGTGTGCCCTTTGCTTTCACCATGTTCATTCTCGTGCAAGCGCTTGTCACCAAAGGTTGGATGCCCGTGTTTGCCTACGGATGGGACCATTGGGTAAACAAAACAGGCACAATCGGTGCAATTGGCGGCATGGGCTTTCTCTCAGTGATATTATGTAACGCGAGTTCTCCGTCGTTCCCTCCTATCCTATTTAAATGATTTGACGTCATCAAAACGAAACTTCGTTGGCATGAAGTTCACCGGAACGAACATCGGCACTACAATTCTCCTCTCCCGTGTCATCCAAGCATGGCAAAAAATCCACGAGGTGAACCACACCCCCATATCTGACCGCACATTCTAGGCGATGGATGGTGTACAGCATCGCAATCGGCGTCAACTACGGCGCATTTAGCACGGCCTTTAGCGCTTCACTCGCTGGTATGCTCTGGAGAGACATCCTAGCCCGAAAACACATCCGAGTCCGTAGCCTTCGAGTCAATCTACCCATCATTGCCATTCCATGGCGGTTGGCCTTTCTGTCCTCATCGGGGAAGTGTACATTATCAGAGACAACTCTCCCTACAAGCCTGTGGAATGATGTGACTCGCTCCACCGCGTTTGTTTGGTTTCTTTTATGTTGGCTTCTACGACGTTACACATTTCGTATCCTTAGACTTTTCTTTTTTTCTGGTTCTCAACTCCACTTCTTCTTTTCTTTTCTTTTCTCTTCTCTTTCTTTTCTTTTCTCTTCTCTTTCTTTTCTTTCTTTCTTTCTTTCTTTCTTTCTTTCTTTTTTCCCCCTCACTGTCTAGACAAATTCATGACGTAACGAACTTTGTAAATAATTCTTTAATGAATAAACTGTTAATACAAATAATCTTCACATTTTACTAGAGATTCTCTTTGACTAATTGACTAACATGGCAGTATCTATTGGACGTGGATAATTTTGTTGGACCACAAAAGGCAACACATCTCCTTCCGGGCCTAACGAAATGGCAGAATATAATGAGCCACCTGCGAGACTATGAACAGTAACAAGCAAATTAGTCCTTCGCAGCACGTATGTATCGTCTATTATGATCTAGCTATCGGTAGAAATGTGGAAGTGAAATATGTATATCTGGGTTAAAAACGAATCAGTTAACTCAACAAAGGTGCAATAAAATCGTTTCATCATTAGTCCTATGCTTCCATTCGCGCCCAGGTCATGAAAACCAAATCACAATCCTTGCGGAAAAGGACTATCTAGTTAAGAGCCATGAGAACATCACTGTCACCATCACTGTCACTGTCAACATCTCCATTAGCACCAACACCAACATCACCACGATCACCATCTGCCCCGCCGCCAACACCAACATCAACACAAGTATTAACACACTCTCTGGCCCGTATAACTGCCAAGGCAGCCTCTGCAGCCTTGGCCTCAACCTCCGTAAGGCTAACCCCCTCATTTTCTTCAACAACACACTCGTCCCCTACAAAGACCTTACAGGTCCAAAACCCCAACCCACCCACCTCTTCTTCTTCATCAACAACATGCTCCGTCTCGTAGCGTACCTTCATCCTACCAACTTCCTGTCCCAGGCGCTGCTTGGGGTGCATAATGTCCATACTCTCTTCAACAAGCATGCGTCGTAGGAACTTCATTAGTCCGATTCGCTCCAGGAATGCAGTGCAAGCGTCCAACGAGCCATGGGAGTCTATGAATATGGCTCCGAGAACAGACTCGATGAGATCGGAAAAGAATTTCTGCGCGCGCAGCCGCGACAGGAGAGTCCAGGGATATGTGTTGGACTTCTCCAGAGCTTCTGAAATGTCCGCCTGTAGTTTTTGGTACTGGTTTGCGGTTTGCTGCTGGGCAGCTGCAAGTTCCCAGGAGGTGCCGTGACGCATGTATTGCCAGAGGAAAACTTTGCGGGTAGTCAGACTTGTCACTGTATTTTTCTTGGAGCTCTCGACGACCTCGCTGCGCGCCTGCTCTGTAGACATGCCGATGCAGAGGAATGCAAGGAAATCTGCATTGGCCAGTGCTGTGCGCATCAAATGCATATCGAAATGTGGAAGATTTCGAGATGAATTGAACAGGTGATGAACAATTATATGATCCAGGATCGCGTCGCCGACAAATTCCAGCCGCTGGTATGACGATGTTGTCGAGCCAGGGTTGGAAGGGTGAGTGAAGGCTTGAACAAGGAAAACTTTCTTGTTGAAGCTATATCCCAGTAGGCTTTCAATTTCCTGGAACCAGGAGGTGCGTATGTTTTCATAGGCTTCTGGAACAGAGTTGTAGAGCGCATTAATCCGATCATCGAAGGGCATCCAGCGAATTTCAGGAAGGAAAATTTCGAGGCATTTTTCGGTCTTCGTTTCACCACCTTCGATTGTGGCTGCCCCAAGCAGAGCTTCAACTACGTCTGCAAGCGTCTTTGTGGTCATTTCCCGTTGAGGGATGCCCTGTTCTTCACTTTCGAGATGTACCTTATTATATCTAGGTCGCCATTTTGCACCCGTGAAAACGTCCACGAGTATGAACTTGTCTAATCCGGTTTCAACGGCTGCGTAGGACAGCCGTTTATTGGATACCACATTATCCTTGGCTCTTGATAGCAGGCCCTCATGCCAGACAAGATTTGCCGCTGATAGCTGGAGAGTTGTGTGAAATTTGAGTATACTGTCACCCAAAAATTCAATGCGTTGATAGTTGGTTGCTTCCCTCGCTACAGATGCACTTATCGCAGTGACGACAAGGCTCAGATCCGTAAAGGCAACAGGCTTCAAGATTGTTTTGTTCAACTGCTCTGCGATAAGATAAATTTCGACTTTATGCATGATTGATGGGGTGAGGAGGGCAAACAAGGAGAATTCAAGAGGCAATTTATCAATAGAGCAGTCGCGGGCGGGGTAGCATTTTTTCGCTGTGTGATGGAGATGGGAGCCATCATTATGAGCGACGGGATGCAAAAAGTCAGTACGTTTGGGCCATGCAGTGCCCTCAACGTGGAGAATTTCTCCCTCCTCAACCTCCGAACTGCCATCAATGCCATCAGGTTGTGTGTCTTCATAAGTCCTCTTCATCCATCTGTATCGTTCCACCGTCCACGGTCGTCTTATCTTATCAAGTCTTCTCACGAGTCCCAAGTTCATGAGACTCTTGGCGTCATAATCAGCAGCATCGCTGGCTGGGATTCTTCCTTCCACAGATGAACACCACTCCATGATAGCTTCGCCAGTTAACTCCACATCAGGGAGAAATAAACACGAGAAGTCCAAACTTTCAGGAAGCATCCTATGAGCAAACACTGAGGATAAAATGGTATAGGTTGTGTCGGCTGCGTATTTGATAAGACTCGTCCTAAGGTGCACCGACGGCAATGGTTTCAAACACACGGTGAAGGTATTCTTCTCGTTCCAAAAAATCGTGAATGATATCTCACACGGTAGAGGGATTGGCAGCACCAGGCGCATTTTTGGAAACCGGAGAGAACTAGACGATATCTCTATCTGACTCTGATAGAAAGTCTTTGTCGTTTCCCAGTGACTTGCAATCATAGCCCAGGGATTGATACGTCCGGCTACCTTCACAAGACTGGGCCGCTTCTCAGAATATTCCAGGGCTGGATCCTCCACAGGCATCCAGTGTATTGGTAGCAGGTTGTCATTGACTAATCCCTCTCGATAAAGCTTAACGTATGCCTGGAATGCGGCATCGCGCTGGGCCATTCGCTCTCTTCTCCACCATTTAGACCCGCGAATTACTCTAAATTTAGGGTCGAGGACGTTGGGTAGTATGACTTTACCAGTGACCATCCCACCCGGTTCGCTCTCACTATATAGAAAAACAGGTCGAGTGTCTGTAAAGTCACACTGAAGAGTGGCACAGAAATGTTCCAAATGGGGTCGAGCATTCTCAAAAGTTAAGAGTGCACTACTGCATTTTAGCATATAACGGAAGAAAGAAGAAGGAAAAATACATGGAAGTCAAGTTATAATCACTTACCCCGTGGATTCAATCCGGAGATATTCATTCTCTTTTTCGTCTGCTTCTTCTTCAATGTTCTCTATCGCCCAAATATTCTCGAGCCTGCGCATGTCCTCCTCATACATACTCTTCATCACGTCTTCCATCTTGTTCCATTTCTTCTCTTGCGACTTATCATCCCCATTCAAAAATATTACGAATTTAGAGCGTTCTTTCCGAGCTCGGCCCCGTCTTTGAATAAAAGATCGGAGGTTGCTGATGGCATCGAAACAGACCACAAGGTGGCAGGCTGACACATCAATGCCTTCTTCAAGGACAGATGTTGCGACGAGTAGATTCTTCTTCCCGGAACGTAGGTCATCTATTGAACCCCTTTGGGTCTTCGTGTTATGCAGTTCGGTTATCGTTGATGTTCGATCCGCGTAGCCAGCATCACCCAAAAAGGCACCAGGAACAATAAGATCTTTCAGCCGTGGGTGCTTAGATATAAGATGTGCAAGCATTGTAACAGTTGATCTTTGTTGGGCGAATATAATCCCCGTAAAATCTGACGTGTGCTCTTTTTCCAGAAGGTCTATGAGAAGATTAGCCTTACTGGAGACTAGATCCGGTTCACTATCCCAGTACTGTTTACTGGGATATATTGGCAATTGTGACAGAGTCTCAAAGACAAAATTCTCTTGTTCTCTTTCCAATGTACCAAGGTGATCTGCCGATTGCTTAGCCCGTTTAGCCCCAAGTCGTTTTAGGACTTCAGAAATGAATGCGTCTGCAGCCCATGCTCCCAAGTTTTCGTGGATGTTAGTAGCTTGTCTTCGAAGCTTAGTCATCTGTGAGATGGCAAAAGTTTTACGCTTCACCATAGCATTCAACAAAGTGTTTTGGCTTCTTCGGTCTTTTTGCTGTTTAAGTCTCTTGATCCAAGGGTCCTGCTCTATATCGACAGTTTCGACGATTCGATGTAGGCTTTGCAGAATGTCAGAACCTACTGACACATCTACCTGGAAATTCACAGTACAGAGCTCTGGACGATGAACATATCGCATCAGTTCTTCCCGATGGATCCTGGGTGTCTCGCAACGGGAATTCAAATTGTGCTCAATTTTCCTAGGTTCAGTTAATCCATGTGTATATGACATCTGTAACGGAACACATACATCAAATATTTAGGGTCAACCTTAGTAATGGGACTAGCAGTGAGTCCCAAAATATGAGGAAGATCATTCGCGGTACCTGTTCTTTGTAGCTGTTCGTGATAAAATCGCTGCATTAGGATATTAGGCGCTTCGTTTTCAGCGCAATGGTGGGCTGGAGTTTGAATTAGCTACCAGCGAACACACACGTATCAGCGAGGCGATCCTGATGCCGGACACATACCCTCATCGAAGACAAGTAAAGCGATCCGAGACATGGTCACGAATCCGTGGGTCATGGCATCAAGAAGAACTTGAGGAGTCGAAACGACAATTCTGATATTCAAGAGTATATCGTCCCAGATATTTTTGGTGGACCAGTAGTTCACATTGTCCGAGCCCAATAGGAGTCTTGTTTGATACGCAGAGAGCTGCTGTGATATACTTTTATGCTGCTGGTCGGCAAGAGCAACAGTGGGAGCCAGAAACCAGACCAGCTGTGGTTTTTATTGGAGGAGTCAGTGATACCCAAGAGAGAAAGGTGAATATACAAAAATTAATGACAGTAGCACTACCAACCTTGTGCGCAGCGCATGTTTCAAGTTCATGTCTGATTCGAAGAATTGCTCTAAATATCCATAGAATGGTCAGATCCGAAAAATAATTGAGCACTTGTGCATCTATTTCAAGTTCATGTGTAGGAACTCTATAGAGAGCCTGACGGAGGGAGTACTGTGGGACAGCGCAGGGTCCGCTTAATACTCCGGTAGTAATTTGAGACTTGACGGGAGTACAGAAAATATATGCGCTTACACCTGAGTTTTGCCGCTACCCGTGTCCATCTGCAAATCCATATATTAGAATACTGCATTGATACATGCATGGGCAGTACTAAAAGATGCATCTCGAAGACATTGGGACGAGACGAGTTTACTCACTGCAATAATGATATTTTCACGGAGACTCGCCTCTAGCATTTCCAGCTGGTAGGCTCGTGGCTTAAAAACCGGGGTTGAGCGACACCCATTTTCAAGCATTCCATTCTTCAACTCCGAATCAGCAAGGATATTATCAGATTCCACCAAGCTTCTGTGTCGCTCCCGACCATTTCGGTCGCCCTCACGAGGAGGCGGCATCGGCGATGGTGACGGGAATTTTGAAAAGTTGTTGTTGATGGAGGGAATGCGTGGAGTACATTGAAAGTAGTAAATTATCTACCTGTGAGAATACATTCCTAGAGAAATGGGGCATAAAGAAGTTGATGGTTATGCCAGCTCGGGCCGGAAAAACAGCTCAGCGTGGTTCCAATCCAATTTCAACCTGGACCCCATTAAAACTACATCCACTAGGCATATCCAGCACATCATCTCTACAAGCGTATTCTGCTGTTTCTCTTCTCTCAACGTCCAGTTTCTTAGTTTATAAGTGTATATTAGAGAATAAAACCCGAAATTTATATTAGAAAGAGTTAGAAAGTGTTAGAATTTCAAGAAATATATATTATGAGAGGGCATTGAGAGTGTATTAGTAATCTGTGTGTACTGCGTAATATGTGTGAGGTGTGTAGTGGGGTGTATTTTAGAGGCTCAAAAATTGGCACCACCACATTCGAAAGAAATATACTGGAGGCCTCAATTCAACCCCACCCAGCGACCAGCCGAAAGGGACTCCAAGTCGCTGGTTGCGATGGGGATGAGACACATTATTTGGCATTTGAAATAGAGGTTATGAAAGAAAGATGTATCTGGACGTGCTTTGGTTTTCTACATTCCAAAGCTAAAGGCAAATAATTAAAAAGCATCAAAAGCCTGAAAATGGCGCTTAATATGAAAGTCTATCTCATAGGTTGGTCAAGTAATCCTCAATCTCCTCCTTGGTCAATTTCCGGAACCGTGGCCCTCTGGCGCCCTCAACTCCCTCATATCCCAATAGATGGTCGGCAGGTGGTCCAACAATGCCTGTATAATTTATCAGTTGCGCTGAACAAGAAAACGTCATATTAGAAGGACAAGTTGGTTCTGATATCGTACCGATTTCAACAGTTTCACCATTCATCTCACCCTCGATGGTCTCCTTCAGCGTGAGAAGTGCAATATGGATGGCATCTTCCAGCTCAAGACCTTCTGTGTATCTCTTCTCAAGGAACGTTTTCGCGCTGGTCGCACTTTTCCCAATGGCTGTGGCCTTCCATGGGAAATAGCTGCCGCTAGGATCGACCTGGTACAGGCTAGGGCCGCCCTTGAGGATCCCTCCTGTCTTCCCTGACACCTTCTTTTTGTCTGTATCTGATTCACTTCCCGCGATTGTGGGTTCAACACCGTCATCCCAGCCTGCGATTAGCAAACTGACACCATATGGTCTGACACCACCGGACTGCGTAGCTTCCTGGACAACTCGGGCGACATCCTGGACCAATATTCTCGTTGGCGGGTATTCGTTGTAAATGCGTTTGTAAGCAGTGTGGGAGGTTTTACGGGCCTTATCGACGAGGACACGGTAATCGGGGCCCATGCCAGAGTAGACCATGCCGATATCCGGGGTGATTAGGGAGACCTTCGAGAGAGAAGGAGGCTCTATCAGGGGCGAGGAGGACTTTTTTTCTGTAGCAAGAACCACCCCATTTGTGGCTAATAAAGGAAAATAAGGAAAAGATCTCAGAAATAAGTTTCGTGACGTTGATATATCATGTGGAGCTTCAGACGGGTTGGGTGTTCTTACCTTTAATACCCAAAGCAGTAACACCTTGGTTCACGGCATTTAAAGCATATTCTAAAGAAAATTAGCTATCATAGAACCAGTGTATATCATGGGATATTCGCATACCAATCTGGACCAGCTTTCCACTATTTTCTTTGTCAGTTACTAGAGCTCCCAGCAACAATGTGGGGCGGTAAGAGCATACCTGGGAGAAAACGTAGTCAACGAGAACGAGTACCGATCGGCCATGATGAGACGCACAAGTAAGAACTTCAGAAGAGGGAGAGATGGCAAAATAACTGCTTCTAACAGCTTCTAATGGGACGGATATTTGATTGTATAGAGAGTGACTGAGATGGGTTGAAGGTGGTTGCTCCTGCGCTTCCCCCAGGCCACAGGCTGTTGACGCGGTGTTGCTGCCAAGCGCGATCGGGCGTCTATTATAGCCAATAATAGGAAGCAGCGCTTACCTAACTTGTTCCAGCTTAGTGGCGGCTCTTACCCTTCTAATTTCCATACAACGTTTCTTTCCCTGCAGCCACCTGTCAACATCAACTTTATCAACGGCAACAAACCATCCTTCTGCTGCTGGCGCATGATGTTTGTGCCACTGCAACGGTGGTCAACTAACCAGCCAGAGCTAGAAGCTGGTTGAGTATTTATAATTACTGTTTAATTGTTGGTTTGATCCGTTGCATCCAATACCTAACCTATATCTATCCTTAATCCTTAATTATTGAAGGCCCTTTTCTTCTCCGTGCAAGTTCAGAATGTCGTTTCATTCTGCCCGAAGGACTGATCCACTGTGGCAGTGGCCAGAGCCTGCAACGGAGTCTGCAGCTGAGGCTACAAGTAGCTCACGGCAGCAATCGAAAGAGCCTATTAAGAGCCAGACCCAACCCCGTTCGCAGGAAGCGGCTGAGGGAGAACCTACTTCGTTCGCATCTTCCAGCTCATCCAGATACTATCCTTCTAGAACATGTCGCATTTGCCTAGAAACTGTTCCTCCCACCTTCCAGCCTGCTTCAGAGAACCTCCCGGAGTTCCTTCAGTCCACTCCTCGGGTTACATACGAGTCGTCCGATCCCGAGCTAGGTCGTCTCATTAGACCTTGCAAATGTAAAGGATCCTCGAGATATGTGCATGAAGGCTGTTTGAATTCGTGGAGGCATGCGGATCCAGCATATTCGGACAGGAACTATTGGCAGTGCCCCACATGTGGCTTCCAGTATCGTCTTGAGAGGATGAGGTGGGGTCGATGGATCACGAGCACAGCAACTCAACTTGCCCTCACGGCCGTTATACTGTTGCTTGCGATGTTCCTGCTTGGTTTTGTGGCTGATCCGATAATCAACCTATATATTGATCCGTTTGATACCATACTCTCGCGATTATACGATCCCGATGATACTGAGAAGCTCATCTATCCCGAAGAGGATGTCCCGGTAACAACAACGTGGGCCGAACATTTCTTCAAGGGCCTTGCATCTCTGGGCGTTTTGTCGTTCGTAAAAGTCATATTTGCTCTTTCTCCATGGCAGTGGTGGAATCTGCGGAACTCGGGCCTTGTTGGCGGTGGGCGGAGACCCGCTGCCACTGGCAGGGATCGGGTGGCTTCGGTCAGCTGGATCGTTCTTTTGATAGGAGTGTTAACATTCCTTTGGGTAGGTTTTCACCACTCGTTCTTCTTCTCGGTCGCTGCTAATTGAAATCTACAGACTGTGTACAAAGGCGTACGGGCTTGGAGCCGCAAAGTGCTTCAGAAAGCAGGCGATCGTGTGTTGGATGTCCCATTAGAAGACGACGATGAACCTAAAGATACCGCTTATGCAGGTGCACAGGAGCCGTTGACTTCCAAGAAGGAAGATTGATTTCCAGATCCCTATTCTGTGTTTTATACCCCTCTAGTTGCAGTATTATGCAGCCTCGTGAGTTCATGATTAACAATTGATGATAATTGTCTATTCCTTGGTTCTCATCCAACTTCACCCGCCTGAACTTCCCATACACACCTCTTGCGTACCACGCACTACTTAAGTTGTCACGATCTTACCAATGATGTGCCAATTAGTCGATGTGCGAAGATCAACGAAACCTTCGTTAACTGCCTTCATTTCCAAACTACGGAGGGGATATCTTTTTTTAAGCATTGGGACGCTAAACGTTTTGTTTTTTGTTCTATTACGTGCTTTATCATCTCATTCTATGGGTTTGTCGGTGGGAAGGTTTGATCGTAGTCTCGACCGGTATGGTTCGCTCTGGGGAAATTGCAATCAAGTTATTCTTTTTTGCACCGTCCTACATCATGGTTCCTGTGTTTAATGCTTTCCTCTTTTTGGGGATTACATTTTACTAGAAGGGATCTTCCGAGCGTTCTTTTAGGGTTGGGCTACGGTACATGCCGAGATTGAAATTTTTTTTTTTTATTGTTGTCGCTCTTGCTCCTGTTTAATAGAGGTGTTCCTAAACGACCTTTATTTTTATACAAGCGTATTTCTCTTTCATCTGGCACCGCATACCTTCCTCACTTCCCTACATATACTTCCCAAACTTGCTGGGCTTGTTACTAAATAGCTAATAAGCTTTGTAAAGAACATTTAATTCACCTCCGATACTCCGCCCCACAATCTCCCATATCCCTAAATATTTCCCCCCTTCGGCTCTGGCACAGGACCTCCTCCAGCATTCTCTTATCCTCCGCATCCAAGTGCCACTCATACACCGCCAAGTTATCCTCCGTATGCTCACTAACACCCATGCGTGCTCCAACAAGTACGGCACCCACGTAGCTGAAGTCGAGCACCCACCGTATCGCTACCGCGGAGACACTTGCATTGTGTTTGCGGCCGATGGTGGAGAGGGTTTTGAGGAGGGTTTGGAAGAGGGACCAGGGGCCCCATATGTTTATCATTTCGAGGTACTAGACTGGGTGTTAAGCTTGGGTGGGGAGGTTGAAAGTTGGCATTGGTTATGGTTAGGGTTGGAGTTGTCACGTATACCGCGTACCTTTCGCAGACTGGGAGTCATCCCTGCGCCAAATGCATCTGGCTCATCTTTTCCGATCCATTTTTCGGAGAGGAAGCCGCCGCACTGCATATCAGGGCGGCGGAGTTAGCGGTGCAGAACATAAGGATATTAACGGGATGAGTTTCAATGTTAATATTGAGGAGAGCACCCCTTACCAATGTCCCATATGTGAGAAGTTTGATGTTATGCTTCTCGCATACTTCTGCCATGGCGTACTTTGGCCGAGTGTCGATGAGTGAGAACTGAAAACTGCTATCAGCGATTATATGGAACTGATGTGCTAGTGTTCTCCAGGGCGCCCTTCTTTCGTTATGAAGTTATTGAATTACCTGCACTTGATTTGTGGCGATCTTCACACCAGCACCAATAACCTCTTCCATTCTCTTCGTGTCAAAATTACATAGACCCAGCACTGCCACGCGCTCGTCGTTCTGGAGGAGTTGAAGGGCGCGGATATATTGTGCGTCATTATACTGACGTAAAGATTGTTAAGTTAGTATCATCGCTCTTCATTGATGGAGATATATGACACATGAAATTTGTAGAAATAAAACAGAGAGAAGAGTTAGGGGCCATGTCCCCTCCTAAGAAAAAACCAAAAAGTTTACGACTAAAATGAGATAGATAATAAACAATAGAGATCTGGAGGCGGAAGACACACATCATGCCAGTGAAACTGGAGCAAATCGATTTTATCCGATTTTATATTTGCCAGGCGTTGTGAGACGGCATCACGCATTCCATCTGGTGTCACTGTGATATGCTCAAATACGCAGTACTTGGTGGCGCAGAAGATGGATTTAGGCCCTGAGTATGAAAGCCGGAATTCGCCCTGTAAAGAATTTGGTTAGCCCTTACTTGCAACGGGGTATTTTTTTGGTCATTATTTTCATTATGTTCCCGGACGTTTCGCAGAATAGACGGGAGGAGAGGATAAGCTCACAAATACAATTTCGGCATCGCCGTAATGATCAGCCATATCTGCTCATAGAACTGGTTAGGATTTGTTCCCGGAACTAAGAACTGCAGATGGTGCTGGCCTCCTGTAATGATAGCATAATGACCATATATATCCTTTACTGTATATGGTATGATATGCAATAGTTTATGTTCGTCCATTACAAACGCATATACATATGTACCTACTCACCAAACGCTGTAAAGCCCGAGTCGACATGTTTCTGGAATTGGCTCAATATCTTCGACTTACTCGCAGACCCCCATGCTGGACTTGACAGCTGCCATAACCCGATGAACAGTCTTGGAACAGTGAACGGGCCCAGTTGGAAGTACTCAATTGCGCGTTCATTTCCCTGAAGAGACGGGGTTGCCATAGTCGAGACCTGCGGGCATGGCGAAAATGATATAGGTAAATAGGAAAATAAAAATAAAAATAAAAAGCAACGTGATGGAGCTTCTGCGTCTGTTGTAATTACGTAGTGAGTTAATAATCTGACGGGTTATTTATAACAATACGACCGGCGAATATGGTTTTTTGTAGAATGCTGTATGGATGGATGTTGTAGTATTTCTGGAACAATCCCGATGCAGTAATTTTACCCGCCATGTCAACAGGAGCCGAAGTTAAGATACGCCAACCAACCCGTCGATAGCCAGGGAGCTCGATGCCGTCGGACCCTAACGATTTCAAATGGCTTCGGAGACCGAGACAATTCGGGAGCCTAGGGCCGAAATATAATGGTTGTGAAGAAGACAAGGGGCTACAATAATTCATGACCACTTACTTTACTCACCCACCTATGTGAGGATATAATGGCAGTGCTACATTAGCTGAGAAAAAATAAAATGTTTTGTTTTCATTCCCTGCATTTGTAATCTGTCGTTACTATTGTATGAAGTGACAAGAGGCCCTCGAGACTGTATAGTTCCTTGGGAGGCTGATCCGCGAACTGTATTTGAAATAAGCATATCCCAAAGCGCAATTGTTAGAATGATGATTAAGGTTGCAATTTCAACGTGGCAGGCCAAGAAGGAGGAATAAGGTTATATTTGAGTGTAGTACGGTATATTTATATGTGATACCCTGCGGTTGCTTGCAGACTAGTTCGTCACATTTGATGAAATCTGCCCCTGGATATGATGCAACCGTAAATGTATCACAAAACCACAGGGGAAGTAAGAAAAGAAAAGAGAAGAATGATCGGCATCACATTCTGCTCCTGAAGGTCTGGAGTATTTGGAGATTCCGATAAGTGCCAGAAACGAGAGAGAAAATAAAAGAAAGGGGAGGAAGTTCTTTTCATTCCGACATCGTCGAGAGAATATTCTCCAGCATCATCGAGCCTCTTCCGAATCCGAATTCCACTCCCAATCCCTCATTCCGTTCTCTGCATTCCTTAAGGTCCGTCCGAAGGCTAAGTAAAATCTGCAGCCGTGCAGCCGGAATTTCTCCAGTTTTCCCCCAATTGTTGGCTGTCACAACCTTCTGCACTGCTGTAAGCGCCTGGACCAAATCGCCGTCTACGGCCACGAGTACCTCCGCCAGTCGCTCGCCTTCAAACGTCCTGCCATTCAGTTGAAGTGCGCGGGATTGCCGGACCACCTCGGCGAGTAGCTGTAGGCTTTAAAGGCTAGGCCTGAGCCGAGGAGCGAGCATACTATGCGTACGGCCTCGTACCTCGTAGTTTCGCCAATTCCGGCGTCGGGACTGGAGGAGGCTGTGTTGAAGAAGAAGGTGAAGAAGATGAGGCTGATGCAGTTGGTGTAGATTTGTCGGTAAGCGGAAACAATACCGGAACGGACGTTCTTTGTAGATCGTGTCGGAGATATTGCTGCACGTGGTTGGTGCTGCAACTTGTTCATCTGCTACGAGCATCGAGCGAAGAATTACTCGTAGAGTATCTGTATTGAGGTTGGCGATGACTGTATCTGTCATGAGGTTGACATGAGCCACCCTCGCCGCTGACGCACTCATCCTGTCGACTTCCGTGTGAACTTGAGCAGCGACTTTCTTAGATAGAGCCACAAATACATATTTATATATAATTCGCCACAAGCAAGGTAAAGCTAGGAAAATATTTATTTTCAGCGGGTTGTGAGATCTTTTTGCTACCGATGGCAGCGTTTTGAAATTTGAAAACCTTCCAGTGCTACTGTGTAGGGCTGGTTGATAGACGTGTCCTGGCCTCTGGGTTGTCCAAACAAAGTAGGCAGGACTAACTAGTTAAAAAGAGCCTCCGCGAAGCCCGCTGGCAGGGATATGGGTCCATACAGCGTCGGCATCCATTCAGGGGCCCAAATACACCGCGCGCATTCTTTTTCCAGTTACGGAAGTATTAGGCTTCCGCTAACAAAGTGCTGAAGATACCCGCAGATGCAACCCGTAGGGCAGCAGTGTGAGAATGCCGGTGTTCAAGTAAGCTCCCAGCTGGTTAGTGGGCGGCAAACATAGTGTCTTGGCCCCTGAAGGTGGGGTTTTCTTAAGGTTATTGAGCGCTTCGGCGTCTTTTCCAAGGGGATTGGTAAGGACATGGCATGGGTGTCCCTCATGATTCTGGATCTATTCCACAAACGAAATTAACTTTTAATCATTCCCGTTTGTAGAATTATCCTTCGCCACGGATGATGTTGTCAGCAGCTTGTGGAACGCGTCCGGTTTTATGGATGCAATGCTGGGGTTGTATGTCTATGAGGCTACCTACTGGTATAGCGTATTGTTTGTTTCGCAGCAGGTGGCGATTCAATCCATATAGCCTAGTCCATAGTTAACTGCTGCCGAAAGAACTGGACGTCCTATTTCAGTCAGCAGCTGTCATGGAAGTATTTCACTGGGCGGTAGACTAGAATAGAATAATGTAAGTACGAAGGTCCCTTAACCCCGTTGGAACCACAGTACATCGAGCGGCCCCAAGTTCTTTTATTAGGATAGAGCGCAAAGAAGAGGGGATAGAAAGGGATTAACAAATATATCCCATTAATTCCCTGGATGATGAACCTTAGCTGATTCGAGCGTCCCTGGCTTGGATAGTAATAGTAGTGTAGTGAGGATCTCATCAACCATCTTTGTATATACTCCGTACTGCGTAGTTAAATATCTGCCTGCCTCCGCTAGTTAACCTTTCCTACTAACTTACGGCATAGTTCAGCCGACTGAGTTTCCCCCTTGTCAGCGCAGCAAGGGGCTGGGAATGAACAACAACCCCCGAGACGCCGCTATAGTTCGGAGGGAATATGATGCTTCGACGTAATCTAAAGTTAGATTGTTCACATAAATATCCCCTGAGCATAGAAGCTTAAAAAGACGGATGGTCATTCAATTCTTACCTCAGCCGTTTCGCCTGATGTCCCGCTAACTAACAATGGCCGGTTTGAAACCGAAGCCTATCTGCCGCAGCTCTACTTCCACAGCCACCAGGATCTTCTCCCGGGACCTTCCAACGGCAACGACATTGTTACCGCACAGGAGAAATGCATGAATCGACCTTTTAATCGCCTATCACTTTGTTTGGTTTATTCCTAGAAATGCCGCCTGGTGCAGCAAACCCATCCATGGTGGCGTGCACACCATGCCGCGCCGTCAAGATGAAATGTACTCGGGAGTTGAACTCGACCATTTGTTCTCGGTGCAAGCGCAAGTCTCTGACTTGTTTTTTTGAAGCACATCGACGTGGTCGTAAGGCGGGCACAAAGTGAGTGAATTCTTTTTCGTGGGAAACCTACGGGTTTGGCACGTTCATGCGACTTTTCTTGTCAATATCATACGGCACAATAGGACACGTATTTGTTGGACTCGCCTAGGACTTTACGGCTATATACTACTATATTGAAAATATATCATTTATGGCCACTGATATATTCTCCCGACTACTTGGTCGCTGCTGGCAGGTTACGTCCAAAGGCGGAACGCATGCAGGCCAGAGGCTACATTGAACCAACGTACCGCACCCTCGCTACTCCATCAACCGATAGAGATGTGCCGGCGACCGTAGAACGACCTGAAGGCTCGGAGCCATCTTTGGCATCTGAGAACCTTGCGCCATATGGCTGCCTCCGGAAGTCTGCTACAGCTGGGAAATTTTCCATCGCAAACGTACTGAATGCGGAAGACGAATCTCCTACGTACCATTCTTCAAAACGCAGAACAGCAAGTTTCGCATCAGGAGATAGCTACAGGCATGATATGAATGACCCCATAAACCTCAACCTTGTCGATCTGCTGACGGCCCAAGATTTGTTTGATGGGTGAGCTCCGCCATCCCATGAAACTATCTAACAAGTTTGTGAGCGCTGCTGAAAATGACTGACCATGGCCTGTGATACAGCTTCTTCAATTACATGAATCCTTTCATCTTCCAATTTGATCCAAGGCTACACACGCTGAAATACATACGAACACGCTCGTCTTTTTTGTTTTCTGCCCTCCTTTCTGCTGCAGCAAAGATTTTCAGGCCATCTTTATACGATAAACTTCATGAGCATGTAGAAAGAATCCTTAAAGAAATCCTGAGCACGGGACAAATATCTACAGAAATTGTTCAAGGAATCTGTCTTTTGACCTACTGGAAAGAACCAAGTGACTCACGCGCATGGCTCTTGGTGGGTTATGCAATACGAGCAGCAATAGAGATGGGTTGGCACAAGTTTAAACCATCATGCCCAGACAGCTCTGCAAGCTCTATGCGGGAATCAAGGGAATCGGAGCTTGAAATGCGGGAACTGCGAAGTAAAGAACGAAGTTGGCTTATGCTATTCGTATATGACCGAAGGTACGTAAATTTATTTGTTGCAAAGAGAAAAAAAGCCCTTTCAATCCTACCTCTCTTGATTATTGATAGTTATGCAATGGCTAATTCTACGATTTTAGTGTGAGCCTACAACTGGGAAAGCCATGGATGATCCAAATGGATCCCTTGATTCGCAGCGCGGAACATTGGCACCAACATGTCTATGCGGTACCTGGCTGTGATCAAATCATGTCCGCCTTTGTGCAGCTCCGCATTCTTGGATCTGAGATTTTGGAACTCTTCTGGATCGATCCAGTTGCCACAACGGCACAATCGATAATCAAGATCGAAGTGATCTTGAAACTATTCAATGGCGACTTAGACAGGTGGGAGGCTAAGTGGTACCAGATTGTAGAGGAAGGTATGTTTCCTGAAATTGTCTGCCTTTGACAGGAGGCTGTTTCATCGAATCCCTTCTCCCTTTTAATCGCGTAGAGATTCTGCCATTTTTATCAAGGGAAAGAACAATATCAAATATGTTAATTCTAACAATTTTTCATTTTTTGTTCTCAATCTCTAGTCAGCACCAATGTTGCTCATCGCTTTATCGTCCGGTTCTACGGAACCCATCTTCGACTCCTTCTACATTCCTTTAGACTCCAGCTCTCGATTCTGAGTGGGAATATTTCCAAACAAGCACTCTGGGTTTGCTATACTAGTGCTCTGGACATGCTTCGTTTGGTCGTTGACCGACTCGGGGTAACGTCCCATTCGTGCTTCTGTCAAGACTCTGTTCATGTAATGGTTGCGTACGCTGCTGTGGTCATGAGCAAAGTATGTTGTCTCTATTATTTCTGCGTCTGACTTCTGTCATTACCCGTTTCGTACATATTCTCCCCGACAGTCTTTTGCCGTTGAGACACACCATCACTAATAAACATTAGATCCTTCTCTCTTTGCCGGGAGAACTCCCGAGCGAATCTGAAAGCTTGATCCTCGACCTCATCAGCGAAACAGGCAAGAATTTCAGCACACAAGGCCAAGCTACAAACACTAGCTCCTACCACCAAAGTAGATTCCTCTCAAACGTTGTCGCGCAGTACCGGAAGACGAAAGAAGAATCATGCTCCCCTGCAAACAGATGGCTTAGACAGCAACATCGGCTGCTCGAGCAAAACGGGAAACAAATGCATCATCTTCCCCATTTACCTCCTCTTCAGCAGCAAGGACGATATACACCATCCCAGAGATTTAATTCTCCGCACCAGTCGGTCCCGTCAATGTCCCCACCAACAGCTTCCAGAAATGTGCAGGGATACCAGCAGAGTCCGCTTCCCCTTCCACAACAGCCACCACAGCAACACCAGCAATTGCATCAGAATCCCTTCAACGAAAACGATACACAACAGCTCGAACAAGCTCAACCGCCGGACCCGCGCCAACTCCCTCAACCACTCCCACAGATGCCACAGGGTCCAGGCCCGCAGTTGAACGGCTACATTAATACCAGACCTCCAAATAGCAACATATTCAAAACCTCCACACAGAACAGCCTCGAAACCTTCATGGCGATGGATGGCCAGAGCACCGCTACACCGCTCTTCACGGATAACGTCGTCTGGGAGGATCTGTTTGCGCATGCTGGGTTTAACATTAGTAGTGGAGCATTTGTGCCGAAATTAGCGGACGAGGCAGGCATGGGCGCTTGAGTTTCCTATCGGGAGATTGAAAGCTTGTATTTAGGAGGCGTTAGGGTATATAAGTTGGCGTACTTGGTGACTAATGATGGTACGGACGTTATCCAGAATAACACCTGTGGCAGAGTGCCTATCTCCATACGGCATATGCGGCGGGAAGAGGAATATTGTAATATGGGCCAGCGAGGAGTGCTTATTCGATGATCCTTCATAAAATTTTCGGCTGGATAGTTGATAAATGGCTTTAAAGCCCCTTCCCCTCTTTTCAAAAAATATCGAAGAGACCTTGGCGAATCTGGTAGAGTCCAGTTGACTATGGAGAAGGATCCGGATACTTAATGTACTTTATCACGATTATCATCACATTGTAACCAAAACAGTTTACTTTACTTTAGTCACGATCATACACAATGCACCCGTCCGCATTGATCCAGAAATCAGGCCCATTCCCAATCCCTCGCGTCATCCCATCCTTCATTCCAAACACATACCCTTTCCTCAGACGCTCACACTCCTCAAAATGCCTACAAATATCCCCCATATAAAACGCCGCATTATCGACCCTCGGGCCGGTTGTATTCCTAGCATCAGCACCATGATCATCACCATCCCATATTAATGTGTCCCCATGGCCCTCCTCTTCCATGCCCTCGTCCTGCTCATACCGATACTCATACTCTTTCTGAAGCGTGCATGGGCTACAATAAATCCCGGACTCCGCCATCTGCCTCTGCGCATCCCAATACGGGAAATCTGTTGCACCCATCCCCATCCACCGTGACCTTGCCATTTCATAAATCTCCATCAGGCGCGGAATATTAATACTAGACTCCGTCCGCCCCTGATCCTGACTCAGACCTTGACCTTGACCCCGCCCCCGCCCCTGGCCCTGGCCCTGGCCCTGGCCCCGCCCCAGCCGCGGGGCCTTTAGAGAAGCTATACTCCCCCGAAACCGCTCACGAGTCCCCAGCCATTTCACCGTAGCCTTTTCCGCTTCCGCAATACTAACAAGACCAGTAGGTTCGTCAATGATATCAAAATGCAACCGATCCCTCCCATACGCCCCGGGAAAGACATGCACAGTCGGCAACTGCTTAAGTAGCGACACCAGCGCCTCCAGCTCGACAGGCGACAAGTTTCCGGGAAACTGGTCCGCCAGGAAACCGATGTGCGCCACCTGGAAGTGTGCCCGCGTCCACAGACACCGGTCGCAGCAGCGAGTTAGGGTGGGTAAGAAAACTAGCGGGCCGAAAGCGCCGCAGGCGCGGCAGTGTGGGTGGCGGAATTCGGTGTAGAGCTGGTGGAGGGGGAAGTGGGACGCGAGCTGGACTTTGTGGAGAATGCGAAGGGTATGTGGGGCATGTTGTTTTAGGAGGCTATATGGGTGCAGCGAGTCAATTAGCGTTCTATACAGGGTGTTTACGAGCCGGAGGGTGAGGAGGGAGTTTAGGTCCAGGTAGAGCAGGATGGTGGTGGTGAGTTCTGGGGGCAGTCGAGTGACCAGGTTTCCACCGCCTGCGCGCGGACACTTGCTGTCGAAAGTAGGGATAGAGGGGTTTGGAGGGGGAATGGCTGCGAGATCATGCTGTGTGTATAGTTCAAGCTTGAACCGAGCTGGCCGCAGTCGACGGTGTCCAATTCCAGGGGCCATGCTGTCTCTTCTTGTGCTGAAAGTAGTCGCATGAGAGAGAGGAGACGACCGTTCTCATATGGCAGCTCTTAAGCTGTTTAAGCTACAACCCCGCTTCGTATTTGGGCTGTGTCCCTGATCACCAGGTAGCTACGTATGGCACCGTTCTTTGTAGTATTATCGCCTTAGCTGTTTGGATCGCGGTCATCGTTCAGGTGCTGTTGATAAGCATCCTTGGCCTGCTTGCTTGGGTTTTTCACCAAGGATACAGCCCCTGTCTATCTATACTAACAAACGCTAGAAACTGCAGCGTCCGGATAGGGAATAATTGTAAATAAATTAACTCTGCATATTAGAACGATTGAATAGATAAGAACATAGATAAAAGCGAGCACCCAAATAGCAATAAATAGACAAATATAACATCATGCCGAATTGCAGTTTTGGTGGAAATACTTTGGCAAATCATATAGGAATAAACAGCGGATATCTTTTCGCCTCGATGAAAATAATGGATGACTTCTTTCCATCCCTTGACGAACTCATACATGCACTACCACGTGAAACCCATATGGGAAATAGACGTATGCAAGGAGTAGAGATAAGTATTAACGCCCTCCACGTCCAACACAAACAACACACAAACCACCAGTAACAATGGGTGAAGCTGAACGAATAGGAGAGGCGGCCGAAGTAAGAAGGGGAGTTGGTTTCATTACGCCCTTCCGAGTATTCCCTTTTCTGTTAAAGTCTTTGCGAAAAGGGCAATAGCTGATCCAACGAGGACCACCACTCCGGAAAAAATAGATACTTGGTCAAACCCGTGGTATCTAGAGACAAGTGCACCACTTATCGGCGGCCCTATCAGCCCAGCAATTGATGCAAGGCCCATACCCATGCCCATATATGTACCGATATTTTTTGGGTTATTAGTACATGTCGTAAGGCAGACAACAATGCCCGAGATGATGGCGCCGGAACAAAAGCCAAAAAGACCAGCGAAAACAAATATTCCCGCATTGGTTGTAATTTTTGGCCAGCAGAGTATGAGAATCCCCGAGGAGACTCCGGATGCTATAACCGCATTGAGGCGTCCCAATTTGTCACCCAAGACACCAGGAATGACTCTGCCAAAGAAAGACGCGGCGTTCAGGATCGCAACGAGGTATGAAGAAAGCGTTTTGCTCATGCCATACTGGACAGCGTAGGTCGGGAGATAGAATATTGGGGTAAAGACGCAGAGAATCATGAGAAAAGCAAATGCAATGATAGCTAAGTAGAGCCGATTCTTTAATGCAGAGAGGAGCAAAAAATTCCCCTTTCGTGGCGGAAGACGGGCACGGATAGCTAGGCATGATGGTGCCAGAATCGCTAGGATTAAGAAGCCAATAATGCGTAAAGACCATCCAAAGCCCAGTGTGGTGTCATTAAGCAGTTTCCCGAGGGCAATTGGAAAGATAACACCTCCAATGGAAGATCCAGCAACAGCAATACCCATGGCAGCTCCACGGTTTTTATCGAAATATTGGGGCGTGGCAGCCATGGAAGGAGCCATAGTCATACCCATGGAAATTCCGCCCAATACCCCCTGGGCTAGCATGAACTGGTAAAATTCCTTCGCAAGGCTTGTCATCATGAGTGAGAGAACGTAGAGTGCTGCTGATGGCCAGATGACCTAATGATATGTCAGTTCCCTTCTAGGATTTTGTAGGGTAAAGGGCGTGCTCTTGTAACATACCTTCGCTCCATATTGGTCAAAGAGGGGGCCACCCACAAGGGCACTAGCAAATAGGATAAAGACCTGTAACGATCCAATCCATGAGATGGCGGATGGCGACGTTTCAGATAGTTGATGGGACGTATAGTACTCTTGGAGGACCCTATAAAACGCGTCAGGGAAGCCACGAGACACAAGAGAAGAAGATGGGGCAAAAATAGCAACAGCGGATGTTGCTAGGAGACATATAAATGCTTACCCAAAGGCGTTTGCCATTCCGAAAGTGCAAAACAGTACACCAGAAGTGCCAGCCGCTACAGCCCATGCTCTGGCGCCTCCATCCGGATAGGAGTTTTCCGACTTGGTCTCGACGCAGGTTTCGGAGTCTCCCTCCTGGGAGTTCTTCAGATCATGCACTTCTGGCGTGCTTGACGTCTCGTGGACGCGGTCTGCCATGATTACAGGCTAACTGCGAGTTGCTAGAAGGAACTGAGAAGAATAAAAGAATACAAGATTGAATGAAAAGGGAGAAGAAGAGAAAAGTCTGAGGCTCAAAAAAGAGCACTGCGTGTGAAAGGGAAGCAAGTAGCAAAGCAAGCAGGCAGCCCCTTTTCTATCGTGCTTTCTTTCCTTAGAGAGATGGTACTGAAGGAAAATAAGGATGGAGAGGATATTAAGGATATTATGAATATTTGAGGGGTGAAGCTATTGAGAAAGCTATGTGTATCTGAAAGGTGCGTTGTTCAGATATATATATATACACTAAGTGTATACATTTGAGTAGATTGAACTGATTATGTGAGTGTGCACTTGTCTGTGCCATTATGAGCGTCATAATCATGCTGCCGTCCTCCGCCATCCAGAGGTATTGCAACCACAGCACTGAAAATCAGAGAAAGACTCGCAACTACGGAATAAACATGGATTATCTGGCAAAATACTGTAGCCTTCGAGCCATAGCAACCCCCCATACCCTTGTAGCATCGAAATAGTCGGGTCTGGAGGCACCGGCAGACCGAGTCGACGCACTCCGCGCTCGGGGATAAGAGGATGATGCAGAACGGGATATTCAGTCCTGTTAGGAATATCGGCTTGTAAACTCCAAAACCTTGTTAAGTACCAGGATTCCCCTCTCAACGGGTGTTTGTGAAAGGGTTATGATCGTTGAATAGATACAGAGATAGATATTCATACAAATCGAATATCCGCAACTTCTTCCTCCCGATGTTGTCAAAATTGCCAGAAAGGGGAACCAGCTTTGGCGGAAGATCTGATAAGGAATCATATCACATGACATTATCGCAAGATCTTTCGGAGATAATGACTAATTCACCGTGGCTCGAAGCGAATATCACGGACTTTTGCCCCTGAATACTCCGCGACTCCCTCCCCAACTAATCCAGGATCAAATTGAATTAGCTGGACTAACAAAAGCCGCAAAGAAAGGAAAAGCATGGGAAAAAGAGAAGAAAAGCAAAATCTGATATGGTTGTGGGGCCCGGGCTGTCTGATCAACTTGCTGATTGCCCCTTTAGCGAGAACGAGACTTCAGCTTCGATAATATGCACCACATTTACGGAATGATGCATGGTAATGAGATTCAATCGTATACCGGTGATGCTCCACCACGTAAACGACGGCGCCCGGCGTTGGCCTGCGATCAGTGTCGTCGCCGGAAGATCAGATGCGACCAAAAGGTGCCTTGCGATCAATGCCACCGATCCAAGAAGAGCCTCTCGATACATGCATGCACATATACTCATGCCCAAACTTCTGCTGGTCCTTCTTCTTCGTCTTCTGCTAGATGTTGTGATAGCTCACAGCCACAACGTCCTTCAGCTCTCCAAGCTCCCCCAGCCCCTACCGTACCTATTCCACAGATAAGCCGCCCTGGGAACTTCCCATCATATCCCTCACCTTTTACTGCAAACGAATCGGACCAGAGTACACATGCAGATGATCAAAGAAGTGATGTCACCGGATCTATCCGCAATGTTGCCCAGGACCTTCAATCTGCAGCGACAATTCAGGCGCTCGTCGATCGGGTCCGTCTGTTGGAGAAGAAGCTGGCCCAGTCTACGAGCACGAGCTCCGTTGCTGCTTCATCTTCTCCCGGAGGCAGACGCTTGGACGCATTGGAGGATCGTGAAGCCTTGCACACCCCTGTGAGAGGGACCTTCTCGAAGACCAGATTTTTCGGGCAGAGCCACTGGATGAATTGTGCCAAGGAAGTGAGGACAATTCCTTTTCATTTTATCGGCCCCATCCCATTCATTTCCTATTCTTACCTTCTCTCTTTCTTCTTAAATGCCGCTGATGTAGAGGGAGTTGTATGCCTGCTACGCTCTTAGCCAAATGGATTCGCTAACTGAAGCCAAAGTTCAATATGGTATACAACTTAAGGCATCGGCTTGAAGTCGAGGATAATTCCGGGATATCCAGGATGATGGATCGATGTAAGACATTAGCAAGGGCTATAAAAGTCAGACGTCCAACACGCCAGCCAGCTATATCGGACTTGACAGATTTAGTTCCACCGCGTGAGACGGCTGACCAGCTCGTTTCGGGCTATCTTCTCACCTTCGAGACTGTTTATCGAATCTTACACGTGCCGACTTTTCAACAGGAATATGCCCAACTCTGGAATCCCCCTCAGTCCGCGAGCCCTGCTTTTGTGGTGCGATTGCTTCTTGTCATGGCCCTAGGAACTTGCTTCTATAAAGGCCCTGGCAGCTCTATTACGCCCCGGATAACGGCAGCACCGTGGATTTATGCTGCCCAGTCATGGTTGGGAGGTCCTTCTGAGAAATCTCGCGTCAATATTGCTGCCGTCCAGATACACTGTCTTCTACTTCTAGCCCGGCAGAGTTGTGCGATTGATGGTGACCTCGTTTGGATATCGGCTGGCTCTCTGCTGCGAGCAGCAATGTACGTTGGTTTACATCGAGATCCACAATATCTTCCAAAGATGCCAGTCTTTCAAGCGGAGCTACGGAGAAGGTTGTGGGCTACGGTTCTGGAACTTTTGCTCCAGTCAAGCATGGATGCGGGAGGGGCGCCTCTAGTCTCCCTTCAAGATTATGACTGCGAGTCACCATCCAACATCGATGATCATGATATGAATCCTGATGACCCTGAAGCCGTCCCACACGTCACAAACGGATTCACCCACACCAGCGTCCAAATCGCGCTCGTGAAGTCATTCCCTATCAGACTCCAGATGGCAAAGGCAATGAATGATATACGCTCCGAGCCTTCGTATGATGAAGTGCTGAGACTCAGCAGTAAGCTTACTGCCATCCAGCGTGACAGTTCGCTTCACCTTTTCAACGCAGCCCATCACTCGCAAGACAGAGCCTCGCAACCGTCTGCCTTCCAAACCCAATCCGTCTCCCTTCTCACCAATAGGTTTCTGCTTGCTCTACATCACCCTTTCGCTGTCAAGGCAAAAACAAACCTAAAATACTACTTCTCCCGTAAAATATGCCTGGATGCAGCTCTCCAGATTCTTTCGCCAAATAAAGGCAACCACAGCCAGGATAATAATGAGAATGCCGCCGCCAGTACCAACAGTGACGACGATGACTTTGACCGCCTAAAGCTCCACGCCGGGGGCTTCATCCGCAGCTCCGCCATCTACGCACAATTCACCATCTCCCTCGAGCTCATCTACCAACTCCAGGAAGACATGCCAGGGTACTTCCTTTCAACCCCCGCGTCATTAAGCACCACCTCCTCGTCGGCGACACAAACATGGCGAAGAGAACTTCACACTGCGACCGACAACTACATGCGGCTAGCAACGGCGCGGATCCGGGCGGGCGAAACGAATGTCAAAGGCTATATATTCTCTGCTTGTGTGCTGGCGCAGATCAAGGCGATGGAGGCGGGCGTGGCAGAGGTTGAAGGGTCCATTATGGAGGCGGCGAAGGAGGCACTGGACCAGTGCTATCTTTGGCTAAAGGAGCGAGCAAAGCTACTCGGAGAAAGGGAAGTTGAGGTATCGTCGGAAGAGGATGAAGGGACGGGGTTAGATACCCATAACACGATATATGGCGAACGTGGTGATAGTGCTGAATCTGAGACTCAGAGGATCGAATTTGCCGATTGGGTAAGTTGCCCCTTCCTTATTTTTTTTATATTTGGTTTTTTCGTTTGGGGTTTCTTTTGTCTCGACTCTTTCATTTTGAATTCGCCATACTAATATCCGTATCTCCATTGCTAGGGCTCGCAATTTCTTTTCGACATACCGGATTCATGGTTATTTTCCGCAATTCCGTCTGGGGATCTGTAGTGTGGAGAATTTCCTTTTCCGGAGCGTGCATTGAATAAAATGCTGTTGCTTTTCTAGTTTCTCTTTTTTTTTTCCTTGCAAGGAACTGATCAGCATGTAAATTACACGAAATGGGGCGTTGGGGGGCGTTGGGGGGCGTTGGGGGGGCGTTGGGTAGTACTGGGCGTATGATTGTGTCTATTTTTATCAGCCCGACTTTCTTGCTTGCGTGAACGGTCGCCCCACATGTCAACCGGTTTTGGCTCTCACGAGGCAACGACCTTCAATTCCCGCATCGGATCTGACCGCAATAATGACGAACAGGCAAGTCATCGCGGCGGTTCCAGTCGCTTGCCAGCTTGCTTGTATGTATCTTGGGTTCATCCGCCTACATGTGCAATCATTTGCCTTTGATGAATGGGTTTTCTGTCAGTTATTAGAGTGACACCATCAATAAATCAATGTAGCGATAAAATTAAATAATTATGATGGGAGTCGAAGCACTTGGCTTGTACGCGCTATGTAAATCTGATTGGGTTTGGTACTGTACTGTACTGTACTTAGCTTTATAGTGCTAGCTATAACTACTATGTAGAGGCAAAGCCCCCACCTTCGGACATTCCAATAAATGTCTCATTGTAATGAGCTCATGAGGATTGGTTTATCCACAAACGCTTTTTGCTTTCCAATGACTTTCCTTATTATCGGGTATTTGGGTGTAGATGTTTTAAAATCATGTACTCCGTACTGCCGCACGCACATTGTGGTTAGGTGGCGCTTGCCTGCTTGCTTGGCTGTTTTCGGATTTTTGCCCTAATTCATTTTGATGTTTTGGGACAAAACAACCACAGATCAGAAAGAAGTAACTTTACTTCCGTATGTTGGAGTCACAATAATAACGACAAAAAACAAATACTGCACGCTCGAGAGTCGAGAGAACAAGAGCAAGACAAAAACAAATATCCCACAGTTTTTAGACCTCGGCCAACTGCTCCAGACTGACTCTCTCTTTGGCTCATGGTCTCCAAGGCTGACACCTGCAGATTACCGTCCGGGGGTTGGACTCTGTAACTACAACATGCATGTCCATGGATGGAGTAGTAGTAGTAGTAGTAGTTACTGTACGTACTGCGCAGTGCCCCAGACCCATCACCTGATGAAGATTTTAAGAAACAGACCAGCGGGAATTTGCTCCAAGGCGATTGATTGATTACCCAGTAACTTAGTAGTTAACCCAGCCACCACCCCCAGACGACAGACAAGCAAATCAACGTTCCCGAGTCCGGAGCCCTCTCGCAGCCTCGTTGGCAAGCTTCAGACTCAGCGTCATTCCTCCGCCCATCCGTAGTACGTTCCCTCCCATGCCATGCCATGCCATGCCATGGACCATGATATGAAAATGTCTCCGATATCCCATTATGGCTCTTGGCAGCTATGCGGAGTAGACAGGTTTATAGTACATACAGTAACTACATGGGCGGTCTATCACGTCTTGTCGTTTTCAACGCATCGTAGGACGACGGAGAGAGAGCCTCATCCTCTTGAAATATGCAAAGTTATATCTGAATACGAACCGGGCCAGGTTGACCGACTCTTTTGCAGCGGCTTGCATTTGAAATTCCCAACTGGGACATAGGTTTGAACTGTTAAATTCCTCGCTGCTCTTGTCGCCGCCGTCTCGTCTTGGGCTTTATTTGATTCTAAACTTTCTCAATCTCCCCCATCAACACATAACTACTGCGTAGCAGCTCATAAACTCCCCCCCTCCACCCCCCGGTCTGGTCTAGTAAGCCAGGTTTAACCCTGAAAGGAGAAGAATAATTAAAAGATCTGTGAACATACACGTACGCATCGCTTGGTAGCTAGCTCTCCCTTGCTGCTTCTTGGGATATTATCTCTCATGCCATGCCCCTTTCGTCCACGCGATTTAGATTAAATGGTTTCATTCCGGTGCGTCTTACCAACCAGCAGCCTTTGCCGCTTCCGGCGCGTTGTTTAATTTTACCTTCATTCCTCGGGGGATCTACTAACTTTGAAACAGAAGAAACAGCAAGTCTGATTTTAAACCCGCAGCTTGCTCTTTGTTCATGTTGTTTACCGAGCATTCGGGCATGCTCTCCACCACCAGCATCAACTAAATTTACTCGGGCTAGTCGGGCCCCGCTTGATGCCATTTCGGGTGCGTTTAAGGGCCTCAGTTCAACTTTTCTTGGAATCTTTTAACTAATCTTCATCCGTCAACTTCGGTGACTATGAGAGCTGCCTTTTCTACAGCACCCTCCCTCCCCCTCTCTCCCCACTACCGGAAACAGAGCACAAATGTTTCCTGATTATTATTATTATTATTATTATTATTATTAGTTTATTGTTAAATGCTTGCGGGTCGCTGTATTCAACTTCTTTCTCTTCCCCCCCCGCAGCGTCTGCAACAAATCTTTAAATATAGAAGATTAATAGAAATACCTGTTTCGATTTATCAGGAGGCTAAACTTCGGCGAGAACATATTATTGCCATCCCGTGTAACGAACAGCGAAACGGCCCAGAGGTCTTAAATTTCCATTTTTCTATAAAACTACGAGATTGATTCTTCGATCCCTCTTTATATCATATTTCCTGGCTCCTGGCTCCTGGCTCCTGGCTCCTGGCTCCGGCTCCCTATTGTGAGGTCCCGATATGGGACTCCAATTAGAGATCTCCTCCATTAGCATACGGATATCCCCAATCCCCTAAAATCCCTTCGTCGGCCGGCTCGCCATCAAGAGATTACAATGAGGCATCTCGAACGCTTCACAGACCTAGGTGCCGCCTCCGACCGCTCCTCCTCCGAACTCGACAATATCACGACCGGTACAACGAACCGCAAAGCCTCCCACGCTACTGCGAACACAACAACCCCCTTCCCGACACAACGGCAGCACTCATTTCTCCACTCCCGCCGCGAATCGCTCACAGCGGCCGAGCGTGCGCGAAGAAACCTCAATGCCAAACTCGCCAATCCGCTCGCAGGCCTTAGCCATAGCACCCTCATGAAGCGCGGCGGCCGCTATGCCCGTCAGCACCAGATTGGCGACGAGGAGGATATCCGTGCTTTTGAGCTGGGTGCGGTGCTGGCGCAGGCACCAGAGAAGTATGAGAGTGTCGAGGGCTTGACGGAGAAAGAGATGAAGGTGCTGAGGGAGGAATTTACGAATCGATGGTCGCAGCCGCGACTCATGTATCTGGTCATTGTTCTTTGCTCGCTCAGTGCGGCCGTTCAGGGAATGGGTTAGTTCGTTTATTCCTTCGCTAACTACTGCTCTCTTCTTCTTTCTTTCTTTCTTTATATTTTCTTGAGTCCCCGTTGACTGCTAAACTGTCTGTTCTGTTTCCCCCCGCTTCTTCATTCCCCCTAATTTTGAGATCTGGAATTTCTCCCCCACCTCCATCATTTGATTTTCTAGATTGTGTTTTGCTTTTTTTGTTTTCGGCCTTTCACTTTTCCCTTGTTCCGTGGTTCGCCGTGCGTTTGCGTTTAAGAGCTGAAAGCTTAAAAGCTTAAGGCACTCTATTTCTTTATCTAAACTAACGGAACATAAACCTAAAGACGAATCCGTCGTGAATGGCGCACAGATATTCTACAAATCGCAATTCGGCATTGGCGGCCTCGATTCTCGCTCAACATGGCTTGTCGGCTTAGTCAATGCAGCGCCGTATCTCTGCTGTGCTTTTATCGGTTGTTGGCTCACCGTACCCTTTAACCACTGGTTTGGTCGACGTGGAACAGTCTTCATCACCTGCGTCTTCTCTGCCATCGCGTGTTTCTGGCAGGGCTTTGTGAACTCATGGTGGCATTTATTCATTAGTCGTTTTGCGCTGGGATTCGGCATCGGGCCTAAGTCTGCCACCGTGCCCATCTATGCCGCCGAGACCACGCCGCCAGCCATTCGTGGTGCCCTGGTGATGCAATGGCAGATGTGGACTGCATTTGGTATTATGCTCGGTTATATGTCTGATCTGGTCTTTTTCAATGTGCACGATACGCCCAGCGTAACGGGCCTGGGGTGGCGTCTGATGCTGGGCTCAGCCATGTTCCCTGCCATGCTGGTATGCACATTCGTCTTTGTTTGCCCAGAGTCACCACGCTGGTATATGAGCAAAGGCAGCCATTACAAGGCATATCGCTCCATGTGTCGCTTGCGGTTTATAAAAGTGCAGGCTGCACGCGACCTATTTTATATGCACACCTTGCTTGAGGCAGAGGCGACGATGAAATTGGGCCAGGCGAAAATCCTCGAACTCATAACCGTCCCCCGCAATCGTCGCGCCCTTATCGCATCGGAAATTGTCATGTTTATGCAACAGGTATGTGCCTACTCATGCATTTCTATATATATATAGAAAAAAAACTCAAACCCATCACTGACATTTTCCATCCCAGTTCTGCGGTGTAAACGTCATAGCCTACTACTCATCCGAAATTTTCCTAGACGCAGGCTTCTCCCAGAAAGCCGCGTTAGCAGCCTCGTTCGGCTTCGGCGTGATAAATTGGCTCTTCGCCATCCCCGCCGTCTACACCATCGATACCTTTGGCCGTCGCAACCTTCTCCTCGTTACTTTCCCTCTCATGGGCCTCTTCCAGCTGCTGACCGGCTTTTCCTTCTGGATCCCCACTGACGGCTCCGAGACCATGCGCAGGGCCCACACCGGCTGCGTCGCGTTGGGCATCTACCTGTTCGGCATCGTCTATTCGCCGGGCGAAGGCCCTGTTCCCTTCACGTACTCTGCCGAAGCGTACCCGCTCTACGTGCGTTCGCATGGCATGGCGCTGGCGACGGCGACGACGTGGTTCTTCAACTTCATCCTGGCGATTACGTGGCCGAGTTTGAAGAATGCGTTCAAACCGCAGGGCGCGTTTGGGTGGTATGCTGGGTGGAATATTGTGGGGTTTGTGCTTGTGTTATTGTTCATGCCGGAGACGAAGGGGAAGACGCTTGAGGAGCTGGATCAGGTCTTTTCGGTGCCGACGATGGTGCATGCGAAGTTTGGGGCCGGGGAGTTGGTATACTACTTCCGGAGGTATGTGTTGCGGCAGAAAGGGCTGAAGAAGGTGGAGCTTTACGAGAGGGATGAAAGCGGGGAGAAGAGGAGGGGAATGAGGAGGGATCGAAGTGAAAGCGAAGGCACGGGTGCTGATCCTGATGCTGAGATCAAAGTTCATGTCAATGGGAGGGGTCAGGAGTTGAGTGATGAAGGGAGGTTGGAGAATGGATGATGTGGATTTGAAGTGTGAGTATTTGCTGCTCATGTTTTATACCTTATGCTTTATGATTTTCCTATATGAATTATCATGCTTGCATATATGGGATGGGGTCTTTTCCTTTGTTTTAGAGATACCTATTTTGTTCTATTTCTTTGCACATATATCTGTCCATTCTATTTTCCACCAGATGACATTTTGGGTTTACATACGGGCGCGGGCAAAATCATTATTTTTATCCTCCTTATTTCTGTCCCGTTCTAGTTTATTCGTCTGCTGGTTTACATATCCTATACATTATTACATAGCGCCAGTTATATAATATAGCTGCATAACTACTAATGGCCAACAGAACGCCTAATTTCATATATTACAAAAAGGCACGGTATATGATTTAAGTAGCAGATAAGTAATTTATAAATATTTATTCTATTGCGAGCTCCTTTAAATTCCGCAGTGAGAATACTTGGTTTTGATAACTTCACAGGATATCCACACCATATGTCGTTCAAGACATAAATATCTACAAGGTCTTCAAGGCGAGTTAGTCTATGATTTGTAGAGGATTGATATGAGAGAAACGGCGGAAAGGAGAGAGGATGAGTCAGACAGCAGTTGGTAATGTTTACTATCCACATTCTTGTTTCGGAACAGGTCTGTGTGAAAATTTGCTTCATCATAGGAAGTGGGGTAGGGGATATGAATTGAGGTTGGTACGTGTGTGTGGGATCAATATTTGAATAAGAGGGAGTCTTTGAACATACCAGTTAATAATGGGAGGCTTGCCATGAGAGAAAAAAAAATTCTACCAGACCAATCCTAGTTCTTCGGTTTCTGGAAAAAATTGTCAATTCGTTGCTGGGTCGCATCATGCTTTGAGCTACCAACGCCCGGAGTCCGCCTAAGATTTCTGAGATGTTCTCTCCCATTTATCGTTAGGATAGTAAGCGTACGGCCATGCAACGGCGGGTTCTGAGCATCATTTTTTGCTTTAGCTCTGTTTGAACCATCCATGGTATCCTGAGATTGACCACTCTCGTTCGCTGGAGCTGGGGTTATGAGGCCAGTTTCTATCCATCCAACATCAAGTTCTAGATAGCCCGTGTTCGACCACGTCGAAATGCGTTTTGTGACCTTAACGCCTGGCGCAAGGACAACATGACTTGATAGAAACAGTCGCGACAGCGCTTCCCACAGCGCAGCCAGCAAAATGCCATGAGAGACAACCGCAACAGCTTGAGCAGGATGCCCCGCATCAAGCAAAACTGGCAGCAGATAGTTGGAGAGAAAGGAATCTGCCCGCGAGGCGACCGAGGCATGTGACTCGGGCTCTCCAGCTGTTTCAGAAACGGAATTCACGGCTCCATCTCGCGCGGTAAGCCATGATTTTCCCTCTAGAGCACCAAAGTCCCTTTCCCGTAGGACGGGTAGGACGATAGGTTGTAACTGAGGCGAATCTCCATCCCGCCCCTCTCCGCCAGCAAGGCCACAGATGCCCTCAGCGGTAGTACGAGCCCGCAGCAGATCCGAAGAGAAGACCGTGTTAAACGCAATTCCCTGAGTCTTGAAGTGGAGAGCTAGCCGCTGGATTTGTACCATGCCATGGTTTGTTAAAGCGGAGTCTGTTGTTCCTGCGCTGAACAGAGCGTAACGAACTTTGTGTGTGAGCAACAGCCCACACCCTCACAGAGAGATTAAAGGGCAAATAGAAACGGCATCATACTAGACCTGGGCAACATTGTGCTCTGACTCGGCATGGCGGATGAGGAAGAGTTTCATCCTGGGCGAAGGGAGAAATTAAGGAAAGAGAGAGGCTTGAGGTTCATTTGCTAGCTATCTGGAGTTGTAGAAGCATTGTCGAGTGTCATACATGCAGGAAGACGGCGCGATCTTTTCACAGAGACATACTGCGTATATAATTGTTTAGGAAACACACAAATATATAAATAAAAATATCCAGAGAAAAAAAATAGACAAGAATTGAAGGAAGACGGGAAATTTTTCGCGGTTTTTATACCACGCTCTGTTAGCGCCTTGGCATTGTTCCCCATCTCGACCTCGCATCGATCTCTCTTCTCTTTTCCTCATACAAACAGCAACAACTTCGCCGCTTCAACATGGCCACTTACAACACGTGCTACAGTGGCAGAACAGCCAGCCAGCAGCTTTTTCTCGATGCGTGTAGCATATACTCTACATTGTTTCCTCGAAAGTCCTTGGATTTATACTCCGATAATGCGTGAAAAAAAGGCGAATCCGGCGGCCTGGACACATAACTTTACTCCACGTATAATGCTGCATAAATGGACCTAGAACGCTTTTCCTTCACCAGACGCCCTAGAGGCCCTTATCTATCTTGAAGAAGCATTTGAATTGACCGGTCTATTCCCTCTTGGTTATCTTTCCTATGCCGTCTTCTGCTGGCAAAAATATCAGGAGGGAGATAACCGGGTTTCGCACCTGTCCCTCCATCAGATTTCTTCCTACAGGCTGCTATCGCCGTTTCCTGAGCCTAGTGGAAGGGATACGTTATTACTCACGGAACCCAGCTGTAAGGGCTTCTTACGGGACTATCGTTTAACGTCCTTTTCATAGTCCAATGACCTTTTACTCCCATCAGCTCGCACTTCCATTGTTGAATCTGTCTAATATATCAGCCGAATGGCTCTCCATATATTTTCTGCCTCTTAATGTACCGTGATAGCCACAGGGTATCATTTTTCTGGGCTGGCGCAGAATTTGTCTTCGACGAACAGCTTCAAGTGGCTGTGACTGCGGTATTGAAGCTAGCGTTCAAGCTTAGGCTGTGAGCTTCTACTTCGAAGCTTCAATTATTATCTTCCTTGATGCTAATATATACATGCTAATTAGCAAGTGCTGCTTGCCCTGCATGTTCAGTTTCTATATATGTCACTTCATCTCCACGGGACGGTCGGGTTTTTCGCTTGGGTGGACGAAGCCAACGGTGGGTGAGGCCTACGATTCCTCACTATCGCGTTATTTGCACCTGATATCCTACCTACTCTTTGACTCTTCCCTGGCTTATTGAACCATCACATATCTAAATTTCATTGATTTCACCGCATCTTTCACTTTCCAGTTATATCTCCACGATAAGAGTTTGCCGAAGAACACTCCCCACTTGGTAGAATTAGTCGGTCAAACGAGCTCTGGCGCACCAGATTCTACTCACAAAGCTGAGTTCGATATGTTCCAACCATACCGCGAGTCTGCACTATCACGCTATCGCTTTTAAAAAGTTGACTAATTGCAGCCATGCCGTATTCCGACAACGATCTTGCAGCTGCTCTTGAGTTTACCAGGCCAAAGAGGCCAAAACTGACCCCAGATGGCTTACCCTACCATTACCTGGAGGACTATATTAAATACGACCTTCGCTACAGAGACCCATTGAAATGCCCTTCCACTTGGGTTGATGATGATCCCAGCGGGGACTTTGAATTATACGATGATAGCCGCTCTAGAAAGTCCCGGCGCCCATCAAAGCGCAAACCTAGTGGACCTCCCACTACATCGGAACTGCCAATAAAGAAGGTGAAAACCAGTAACGATATCACTCCTAACCAACCGCCAGCTATCGAGCATCCATCTATTGTCAATTTGAAATTTAAATCGCAGACATCGAAATGTTTTCTTGCACTCCTTGGGAAAACAGAAGGTAATTCTGTGTCCTCGTCTGCAAACATTGACGCTGGACCTAGTAAGCAAACTGCGTGGAAAACACCTCCCAAAGCAGGGAGCATGTCCCCACCCGCTGGTAGAAGTTCTGTGGACGAAGATAGGTGCGAAATCTGATAAAAGGAGCAATAGAGATTAAAAGTGGTAGGTAAAAAGAGATTAACAAAGATCTAGCAGCGTAACGGTGGCTAGCCAGGGCAGCCAGGAGACATTGACCGAGAAGGAGTTAAGAAGTCATGAACCCCTTAGTTCACAGGATGCCTACACATCCGTTAAACTCCAGGGACAAGAGGCTCAATATTCCCAGCATAAATTCGTCGCATCATTTAGCAAAATGGGTAAGTGATCCAAGTTCCGCTTTCATCGATGGATAGCCAGAAAACCTGCGCCCGCTAACAATTGCATAGTAGAGGATGCCATCCTACAGTCGAACATACGCACCAGCATCGAGCCAAGACCGGAACAACACGATTCACGGGAAATTCACACACCACTCCTGTCCTTAGAAAATTCCGCCCTGTCGCAGAAGGCAACCCCGTCTATAGAAGAAATATTGTTGCGGGAACTTTCTAAGACATCCGCTGAAACTGATCTACCCGTTGTATTAGAGGAGGCAGCGTCTTGTATGCCGAAATCTCCAAAGAAGAAAACCCCAGCTAGATGCACCACAACATCTACAAACCTTCCATCAGCAAGCCCCCCACAGACATCAGATTACTGCAGCATCATCCCCAACGTATTATCCGTTAAGCGTCGCAAACATCGTACCGCAGGCCCAATAACCAAAAGGATCCGCACCTCCTTCGCGCACCCAATAGCCTTCACACACACCCCTAGCCCCGATGATCCCAGACCGTGCCACTGGTGCCAGGATTTCACCTACGGGATGCTAGGCCTGGGCCAACTACAGGTGGACGTTCTCGACCGCCGCGACGGCAAGGGTTATGCAGAACTCAGCACCGGCCACGCCTCCTCAGGCTATGAGCCGAGTCGCATGTGTTCCAAATGCGCGCTGTATCGTGTCGCAATCCTCGAATGCAACACCACCTACCCTGCAACTCATTCCGTAGTGCCCATACCGGGCATGGACGAATCGAGCTTCGACGTGACGACGGCGTTTTAACTCTCTGTTCGCGGCTGACCGATGGTGGTGGGTGCGGGCCGCCGCATCGATCTACATCGGCGAATCCTTGGGGTAGTATCTGTGTTAATCCCGCTTTCTATAAATGTGCAGGAAAGCCGGCGGATGGCTCTGTTATCAGGAGTTTAGTTGAGATGGAGATGGACATGAGTATAGGGGCGACGGGGACGGGGGCGGTGGCGGTGGCGGTGGCGGTGGGTGATGCGCTGCCGCACAGTTGCGGGCTTTTGCTCTGCGGGCCGTGCGCGTCGTTGATGCGCCAGTTTAGGGGTAGATTGGGACCGACGGTTGAGAAGAGGAAGAAGGAAGGGGTGGAGATAAGGGCGGACATTGAGTTTTTGAGCATGGCCAGCGCGCTTTACCAGACATATGAGAGGAGGGCTGTGGGGTTTTGGTAAAGGCTTCAGACAAGGGTGGTGGTATATTTCTTCGTTGGGATGGATGGATGGATGGTTTTGATATTGTGATGCTCTTCTTTTCTCGAATATCCCGTATTTTTCATCCGCCTCTCACTGCGGCTATTCTAGGGTTTGGCCTGTCCATATAAGGCGTAACTTATTCTAGCTCTTCGGCATGCCAAATAATTTGGATTTTTCTTCTTTTATATTCAACCATTTCACCGTGAGAGCGATGACATCATCCCTACAAAAAGTATGGTTCTTGGCAATAATCCATCCTTGGATGTGGCGTTTGGCAACGCTTTGTGCTCGCTCGATTGGAAAATAAGCACCTTGATATTGGCCAAGATCTTTTCCCTATTCACAGAAAAAGGAGGACGACTTTGCAAAAAGGGTCGGTCTCTCTGCTATCAGTCAATAATGCAAATGCTGCGACAATAATTGCCTGCCATTGCGTGCCCCTCCCCTCTTCCTCACTGCTCAGCCCATCCATATTTCCCTTCGGCCCCCGTCCAATGCCACCGCCCAACATCTCGGCTTTTATTTAAACTCTCAGCGGGTTCCTGGCGCCAGCAGGGCCAGGAATAGCTTTGCTTTCTCTCGGCATATCTCGCTCGCTCCGGTCCTAAGCCGTCCGCCCCATTCGCCTTCAAATCGTCCTCAATCGGCCCCAAAAGCACCGGGGTAGTCTGTTGGGCCAGTTGAAATATATATTATTGCTGTTTAACTATTCCATCCCAACCCAACCGCCCCAAAACCCCCATGTCCACCCGCCACACCCCGTTTAACTGGCTTTTCTTTTTTTTATTTCTTCAAGCTGAACGAGTAACCACCGGACACGAATTAAATATTGTCAGTATTCCTACGATAGCCTACCACGCACACACCGCTCACAAACATACATAGTCGAACGATATTCGCAAATTTCTTCCCCTTCTTCTCCTCCCCTCTCCCTCCCCCCTCCCCCCTCGATGAGCCCTGCTGCTGTGTGCTGCGAACTTTGTATCGGATTGCTCCCTCCTCCTTCCAGCAGCACAATAGCGCCATTCAAAATCGGCACTATTAGGACTATAAAACTGCAGCAGCATCATGTCGTTCGGACAATCTGGTCGTCGGCCGTCGACTACCAAAATCTTCTCTGCCTCGGTGAGTTGAACTAATATTTTTTATTTTTATTTTTATTTTTGGTTCCTCCGAGTTTCCTTTTGAACTACACCCCCGCCTTAGCATCCCCCTCGTCTTCTACTGCCCGCCCTAACACTCGCCATTGATTTGTTTTCTATTCATATTTTTCATATTTTATTTTTTTCCTATTTTACCTTTTTTCCTTTTTAATTGTACGATTCTTGTATATTCAGTCAGGATGCGGAAGGAGAGCACATGACCACGCGGATTTTCCCGATTTTGCACAAGCCACAAACAAAACCCCGTGATATGGAAATGTTTGTTTTCTCTCCTTCCTCTTCCACCATTATCCATTTTCAGACCGTCCGTCCAGAGAGCAATAATAAATGGCCAGAATAATACGCGGAATTGGCGAGGACTCTGGGCCAGTCTAGTCTGTGTTGGTTTTACTGTGCTTTGTCGGCAAACGTGACGACCTCTGCTTTCACGCTTCAGCCCAGCCAACCACCGCTTCCATCCTGCCACGCGGGTCCACCGAATGCCGCTGTTCCCTGCTCATGCCCAGGGCATAATTTTGCGGCTTGTCCCTGCTCTGTACGCTCGGATTTCTGCCACTAGGCTGGGGCTCAGGCGAGACGAGGGGCCAAAACATCCCCACATAGCCCCGCCAATGGCCGCTTGAGCAACTTCCCGCCGGGGGAGGACGGCCATTGGTGGAGGTTGAAAAACAACCCGAGTTGCTCGCAAATCCGGTCGATGGAAATAATGCGGCCAGTTCATATCGAACTTGATTGCTTTATATCGCATTTCTTTACCCTAGACTGGATCTGGAACGGGGGGACGGGGATACAGATATCCTGGTCATGTTTGCGCTATTCCGCTTGGATGTGGGGGGCGGAGTGGAGGGGTGCAGCAGACCCCCCAATATGCTCATGGCATTTGGGATTTTATTGCGCAGGTTGCCCAACGGGCAAATAAAACCATTTATGAAATGGATAACATGCACAGGAAGCATACTTGCCTCGTGCATCCGGCGCTATAGTTCCAAAACAAACCACCCGGCTCGATTTTCCATCTCCCTGTCAACCTTTGGGCTGGTGAGCTGGTTCCATCCTTGGAGCTGTTCAACTCGAATGGCAAGGGTTCACCAAATGCACTTCATGCAGGAGTGGCATGGGGTGTACGTGGAACTTTTTCTGGCCGTCACGGGCGAGTTTGGAGACTTGGTGACCGTTTCTTCACGGCTGGTGGGGAGCTCGACCGCCCGCACTAGCCTTTGTCGAAAGTATACCAAGATCGAGCAGGCTGCAGGCCGGGAGCGAGGAGCATCTCCGAAAAGCACTGCCTTGCTTGCTGCGGATATGTGGACTACAGGTCTTACTTTGGTGAGCTCTGCTGGTTCTAATCACCGAAAGAGAGGAGTGGCTTGTGCGGGTGAGATTCTTTTTATCTGCCCCCAGACGACTCATTACGTGCCTCTACCCTCCTCCTGGTCATTGAGCACGTATCGAGTAACACGCCGTTTGAGAAGGACGTTAGAGGCAAAGGAGGCTACCACGAAAGGCATGATAATGTATGATCCATTGTCATCGCCATTCTCCGCCTCATCGCTTCTGATTCTTGCAATCTTCAATTTCGCGTCCCTGTCATCAACAACTGTTGTCATTCTCTCGAGATAACACAACCGCCTCTCTTAGTTGGGTTCCTGTGATCGCAGAGCAAGCTCAAGTTGGCCAGCTGTGTGGGGACAATAATGATCTTTCTACCAGACAGCAATGCACTTTTCAATACTTGTTAAATACTTCACTATCCAGTGTCAAGTGCTCTCTAGCCTCGTGCTCTGCATTTGTTACGATACAAATATTTCTGTCCCCCTCCCATTTCAATATCTTTGCTCCTTCACGTCTGCCGTCGATTTTATTTTCTTATTATTCTTCCATTATTGTTTTCTGAATCGGGTTTTCGATTTATTTGTGCTTGCCGAACTTTTCAAAAAAAAGCACAATGACCTACCACCATATGAACTTGGAGACGGACCGTTTGCCCTGCGTGACTAATACTTCTTTACTACAGAGCGATGACTCTAGGATTTGTGTTGTGATGGTTGGGTTACCAGCCCGTGGGAAGAGTCTAATCGCTGGCAAAGGTTCGTTCATCAAGCTGCATTTGTGACTCTCCATATGTACGCTTCTCTAACATCTAGTCAGCTTTGCGATACTTGGCTTGGGTCGGGATTCCCGCGAGGATATTTAATGTTGGCCAGTATAGACGACAGGACACGCCACGACCAACCGCTGCATTCTTTGACACATCCAATCAGGACGGAGAGAGGTTACGACGGGCTGCCGCCGAAGCGGCGGTGGCGGATATGTTGCGTTGGTTTTCCGAGACAGATGGACAGGTAGCAATACTAGATGCTACTAATTCTACGAAAAGTCGTCGGCAATGGATATACAGGAAATGCATGGACGCAGGTATCGAAACGCTGTTTGTCGAATCGAAATGCGATGACGAGGAGCTTATCATGAACAACATTCTTGAAGTCAAGACAACATCACCAGACTATGTCGGCCAGGACCCGGAACTGGCCGCGCAAGATTTCAGAAATCGCATCCGCAACTACGAAAAAGTTTACCAGACGATTGATGAGGATGAGAAAGATTACGCCTATGTCAAGCTCATAAATGTGGGCTCGACTGTAATCATCAATCATATCAAGGATTATCTGTCCAGTCGCTTGGTTTATTATATTCAAAACCTCCATATTCGACCTCGCTCGATCTGGCTTTCTCGAGTAAGTCTATCCTAAAAGCCATTCACTACCTCCTTTTGGGACAAGCTGAATAACATTATGTTTTTTCTAGCACGGAGAGTCCGAGTACAACCTTCTAGGCAAAATTGGTGGCGATGCAGACATCTCTTCGCGCGGAGAACAGTATGCGCGCGCTCTCCCGCGACTTCTCGAGGAGTCTGGTGTCCCTCCCGGCACCAAACTGGTAATTTGGACATCCACCTTAAAACGTACGATCCAGACGGCACGCCACCTCGCTGCAGAAACCGGATATGATAAGCTAGAATGGAAGGCCCTGGATGAACTCGACTCGGGGGTCTGTGATGGCCTAACATACGAAGAAATCGCCGAAAGGTACCCAGAAGATTTCAAAGCTCGAGACGACGATAAATACAACTACCGCTATCGAGGCGGCGAGTCGTACCGGGACGTCGTCATTCGGCTAGAGCCCATCATCATGGAGCTGGAGAGGAGCGAGAACGTGATCATCGTCACTCACCAGGCCGTTCTTCGGTGTATCTACTCCTACTTCCTGAACATGTCGCAGGAACAGAGTCCGTGGATGGAGGTCCCTCTCCACACGCTCATCAAGTTGACGCCCGGCGCGTACGGGACGGAGGAGAAACGTTTCAAGGCGAATATCCCGGCCGTCTCGACATGGCGAGGTAAAGGTACCTCTGCGAAGCACCAGACACCGGGTGAGCAGCAGCAGTGAAGGCTTCTTTTCTCTTGACACCAGGCTTCTTGGAACCCGGGGGATTTCTTGAAGTCGAGCTCACTCTATGTATATCTCTTTCCTTCTAGTTACGTTGGCGTAGCATCGAGGCCTCCATCCTTTTCTTTTAAGTCCTATCTTAAAACCCCTTTTAAAACCCCTTTTAAAACCCTCTCCCTCCGCATCAATCTTTAAGACACGACCGACTCCAAACGTTGCAAAACTCTCCACTTTTCCTTCCCATCCTTTCCCCTTCCCCACCTTAAACAATACATCAGATACACCATACTCCCCTCCCCAAAACCTTTTACATTCGCATTTTCTCAGCTAAAGATTTTTTTTCCTTTATATTTATTCCATTTTGTTTTACTTTTCCGGGCGGAAAAAAGACCAAAAAGAAAGCAGGTCCAGACTCTCACTCAACCGGCCAGACATTGGAACGGCGGATCTTTGCATCGTATCGCGTCAAAACAAAGGAGGCAGAGATATGTATAAGTATATATATATATATATTTATATATATTTATATATATCTGCCACATATGTGTTTTATAAAACGGGATACATGCGTTTTGAGATGATTGATCGATTGGTATTTTAATTATTTCCCCTCTTCTTTCTACCTTCTTAGACGCGCTATGGCGAGGGCGTTTCGAGCGTGGAATTGGGCTATGGAAAATAGATTAGAGAAAATTGGCGGACGGGAGGGCGGTTTTTGTTCTCTCTCGCTCTCTCTCTCTCTCTCTGTGGATAGACATCACTGGACGCTAGCCTGGCTTTTGTGCGCAGGGGCTGGGTGTATCTCGGTAGGCGTGTTTGGTGTCTCGCTTGATTTTCTTTTTAGTTTTTTTTTTCTATTTTCAATGGGGTTCCTGGCTTTTTGTTTCAGTTGGGATGGCTGATTGTCAGAGTGGTGTGTGGTATATTACGTTCGGTTTACGGGATGGGTTTTAAAGTCCTTCTCATAATACTCAACTCATGCTATAAGTAATTGAAAATATATATATGGAGAATAATATTTGAAGCGTAAAGACTAAATAAAGAATGCCAATCAGCGCCATGGTGGCGGTGAGCATGGATCCCCCATACAATGCTGAAGCAAGCCGCCCTATTTCGTTGGCGTAGAGGAAAGCAGAGATTGAAGCGACACAGAGAAGAACTGCAGATACGCTTGATGCAAGGAAGGATGTTGTCGACGAGAATAATCCGGCTTGTTTTAAAGAGCAGTGGAGCATACTGTACTCATTGGGTAAGCTTCGCTGTGGCGATTCGGGCAGGTAGAATAGAGATACTGCGGAGCCTGCATTGCGATCGGGGATCGCCATGAAAAAGCTGGACTGTACGCGGACAGTTCCGTAGCATGAAAAGCAACCAATTACAAGGCCTGATGTTATGAAAAGCTGAATGAGAGAAGCGAGCAGCCCGCGATGTTTGGTTGCAGAGATCTCACATATGTAGCTGTTGGGGTGAACAAGGTCAGCGATATCACTTTTTGCCCCTCGATGAGGCAGTTTACCATTGCTATTAGGACCGTTTGATTCCGGGGAATAGTGGAAAAGGCCGCAGGTTCATACACGACTAAGGTGCTCAAGAACAGTCCCTGTCCAATTTCGGCAATCAGCCGCCTGAATATAAATACCCCTAGGACACTTGCACCAGCCTCGACTGTAGCGCCAACGGCAAACAGAAGTGCACCAAACGCTGCATGGTCGTCACAGGGCCAATGACGCCAGTGTCAAGTCTGAAGAATAACAGTTAGCTAAGTAGATATGTAAACGGGATTATCCCCAGTTAGGCGTGTATCCTACCCATTGAGAATGCCCCCTGTGGATGTAATGACTGCGGCAGTGACCTATCGCGGCGGGAAATTGATGTGAGGCAAATTAAAACCACGCATAACTTGGTTTTGAATCCCAACCAAGCATCCATGGCGGGGAAGAAAACTTCGCATTACTTTAAGGCAGACGATCAATTTACCATGCTCTTAGCAAGGTAGGAGTAAAGTAGCAGTTAACTACATGACGGTTTGTGCTGACTAATATAGCAGCAGCTCGGATGACGTGATGTTCTCTCCAACCAGCTTCAACTCCAAACTGCTCATAACAGTCTCGTCGCAAACATCCAAGCTTTCCTGAGAATGGGAGGCTGCATATCTCGACACACTCATTCGTTTCTATGGACGTGAAGGCGCAGTGCTACTGGTTTCCAAGCTGACGACACTTGCTGGGACATGACCTAAATCTCACGATCCAAACCAAACCTTCCTTGAACAACTGCCGAGCTTCCACACTGGAATCTGCTGCAGTAGTCAGCACCGGAACGGTTCTATCTACATTCGTATTCCTCCTACCTCTAGCGATAGCAACTATAGTAAAAAGGCCATGTTATCAGCCTTCACGGCCCGCCCTCTCGTCCAGCTCAAACAGCGCGACAAGTCGAGGATCGAGTCGTTCCTAGCGTACGGTGACCGATTACTTGTTGGATTGAATACGGGCACGCTGCGAATATATCGTATCAACGAGCTAAATCATGAGCATAATGGGCATGGGGAATCTCAAACAGATGGACCACGGGAGCAAGAGAACGGAAGAGAGGATGTGGATGCGAATGGCGCTGCTTTGCAAAACGCAGAGCTACCAAACGTAAAGCCCACAGACCTACTTCGCGAGCAGGAAAAGTTTTCACGGTATAAAATAGAGCAGCTAGCCATTATTAAAGAGGCGGGCATTCTATTATCTTTATCGAACGGATATGTTTCTATCCACGACCTCCAAACCTATGAGCTACAGCAACTGTTAGCGAGGACTAAAGGGGCGTCCGCATTTGCGGTTACATCAAATATCGTAAAGGACCCCTGTACCGGCGTGCCGTCCATCGTATCTCGGCTTGCTGTGGCAGTTAAGAGGAAACTGATGCTGTGGATGTGGCTGGATATGGAACTGGAAGACGACACGGCGGAGATCACATTGGCAAGCGGAATTAAGACTTTAACCTGGACGACTGGTACCAAACTCGTTGCGGGCCTAAACTCAACCTATGTGATGGTTGATGTGGAAACTTCTAAGGTAACGGATATCGTTGGGCCGGGAAGTATCGGCGGGCCTGGTGGACAAGAGACAAGTCGACTTGGAGGGGTAGGCGTCGCGAGTATGAGCTACATTGGCATGGGAGGTGCCGCGCCTAAACCTTTGGCAACAAGGCTGGGAGATGGGGAAACTCTGTTAGCTAAAGATGTCAATACACACTTCATCGATACTGACGGCAACTCCTTGGGACGGAGGCAGATTCCTTGGACCACAGGCCCAGAGGCTGTGGGTTATTCATATCCATACCTCTTAGCCTTGCAAGAGCCATCAAAAGGAACGTTGGAAGTCCGAAATCCAGAAACTTTGTCTTTACTTCAATCCATTTCCCTCCCGTCAGCAAGCATGCTGCATATACCACAACCAACAATAAGCCTAGCACATGCGGGGAAAGGCTTTCTGGTTGGTAGTGAGCGCACCATCTGGCGAATGGGTGCGCTGGACTACGACTCGCAAATCGACTCACTTATCGAAGAAGGTCATTTAGATGAAGCCATAAGCCTAATCAGCATGCTGGAAGACGCCTTGCTCAAAGACAAACCGGGTAGGCTTCGACAAGCGAAGCTGCAAAAGGCACAAGCTCTATTTGACAAGCAGAAGTATCGCGATTCGTTAGATTTATTTACGGAGGCATGCGCTTCTCCCGAGATGGTCATTCACAAATATCCCAAAATCATTGCTGGGCCACTCTCCACTTTCGACGAGGAGAAAAGCGAGGAGGATTCATCGGACGCGGACGACCAAACGTCTCAGAAAACAAATGGCACTGCAGCTAACAGTGTAGACGCTACAGCAGAAAGCATGCCAAAAGCCAAATCACCTGCAGGATATGCACCGTCTGTGAGGTCATTTTTGAGAGGGAAATCTGAAGACGCCAGCGAGACAGGTAGTATTCGTGGAAAGCCTCCTGATATGAAACCGGTGGACAAGCCGCTACGTATGATTTCCAACCACACTGCCTCGGCTTATTTAACTTTGATACTAATACCCACGTAGAAGGAAAAGATTTAAAAACCGCTGCCCATGCTCTCCAGGGGTTTCTGGCAGACATCCGGCGGAGGCTACAACGATTTCTTAACCCCGATGGGACCGTTACGACTTTAGCATTGCAGCTTACCAATGAGACGGACGACTTTACTCAGTCAATGAGGAATGTACTAGGCCTATCTCCAGACGATACCTCAGACGACATCGCGAAGAAACTCCGCGAGACAGCTACGTTGGTTGATACGACTCTCTTCCGTGCCCACATGTTTGCAACGCCATCTCTCGCCGGATCTCTCTTCCGCATCGCCAACTTCTGTGACCCGGACGTCGTGATGGAAAAACTCGAAGAAACCGGACGTTACAACGACCTTATCGACTTCCTCTTTGGCAAAAGGTTGCACCGGCCCGCCCTCGAGCTACTGCAGAAATTCGGCCAAGCCGAGGCGGACGAAGAGGACACTGTCGCCGCACAGCTCCGAGGCCCCGAACGCACTGTCACCTATCTGCAGAATCTCCCGCCAGAAATGATCGATTTAATCTTGGAATTTGCCGAATGGCCTGTGCGGACACGGCCGGAACTTGGCATGGAGATATTCCTCGCTGATACAGAGAATGCGGAAACACTGCAGCGTGATAGAGTCCTAGAATTCCTCCAAAATATCGATGCCAAGCTTGCTATTCGATATCTAGAGCATGTCATTGGCGAGTTGAATGAAATGTCACCAGACTTGCATCAGCGGTTGCTCTCATTATATTTGGATAGGCTCAAACGGTGGAAAGAGGAAGAAATTAGCGCACAACAAGAGTTTGAAAACGAAGAAGAGTGGAGGGATTGTAGGGAGAAGTTCTTGCATATGTTAAAGGACAGTGAGCAGTACTCTCCGGCTAGGATGCTAGATCGACTACCTAGAGAAGGTGAACTTCTATTTACTTCACATCTGTCTTGCCCTTTAAACACCACCAGCTAACTAAGCGCTGGAATGATATAGATCCTGAATTTTTCGAGCCTCGAGCGATTCTTTTTAGCAAGATGGGCCAACACAGACAAGCACTGGAGATTTATGTGTTCAAACTAGAGAGTCCAGATAAAGCTGAAGAGTAAGTGTGGTATACCATTGTTAATCCTTTCCCTTGGAAGACATCCTATACCCTATGGTTAACCCTATGAATAGATATTGTAACTATATTCACCGGCTTGAAGAACCTCGGACAATAGATACTACGACAAAGCGCGTCTCACCCACAGACAACGAAGATGGCCATCCATCCATTTATCACACTCTCCTGTCCCTTTACCTCTCCCCACCACATAATTACAAACCCCAATACGGTCCCGCTATTGAAATCCTTGCCAGACACGGTTCTCGTCTCCCCGCCGGGTCCACCCTTGATCTAATACCTGAAACATTCCCCGTGCACGAGCTAGAATTCTACTTTCGCGGACGCATGAGGGCGGCCAATTCAGTCGGGAATGAAGCCCGGATTGTCGCTGCGTTACGCAAGGTGCAGAATATAGCTGTCCAGGCCGACTTGCAGCTCGGTGAAGAAATCATGAAGGGGAACAATAAGGGCCGGAATCGGTTCGTGACTATTAGCGAGGAAAGGGTGTGTGGTGTATGCCACAAACGGTTGGGCGGAAGTGTTATTAGTGTTTTCCCAAAGTATGTTCATTCTTCAGTTTCCGGGCCCTCCCTACAGTCCGTTGGGCAGTGTTTTCTTTCGAAGGTATCCCTGGCTAACCCATATTATTCGAATAGCAATACCGTTGTCCATCTTGGGTGTGCTGGTAAATGGAACGCCGCTCCTACTCCCTACGTGGGCGCATAAAAATCGACTTTTTCTGTGACACCCCTTTTCCATTTTAGACACATAAATCTAAGCGGATACATTGTTCATACGTATTTTGCTCTTCTTGGTCTGCCCGGCTCTTCCCATTTGCTATCCTTTCCACTTCTCATTTAACAATTTATGCACGGGTATTTCTCTGGCCCACTCTCCCTTCCATGAGCATTCCAAGCACTTGTTTTAGATACCCATTCACCCATAATCCGCGGCTTTGTTCTTTATTTTGTTGTTCAGTTTAGGAAAGGTAGTGTAGTTGCCGGCATTTTGTCAATGGCAAATGCATCCATGAGCCATGAGCAATATATACTCAATATCCATAGGAATTAAACTCACGGCCGGGGGAACTGAAGGTAGATCGCTCAAAGCAAAGCAGATCCTCCACCGACCATAGAGCGAGGTTGCCAAGTAACGCGATGGAAAACGGGTAGGCTGTCTTTTCCTCAAGAAATCAATCCGCATCGTCCAAAACTTCCTCTCCGTAATTCTCCTCCTCTCTCCGCTCTCTTTCATTCTTCGCCTTGTCCGAACCACCACCAGATGCCTGTCGATTATTACTGTTGTCTTCGTCCATACGGGTGGTTAAGAACTCGTTGACCTCGGTCTGCAGTGAGCTCACGGCCCCGCGTAGCTCAGAGAGATAAGCTGTCTTTGCGGGTGTTTCAGAGCTGTCCGAACTCCGAGGTAAGGGTGTTGAAAGGGTATGAGCAAAGGTGTGCGTTTTGTTTGGGGAAGTGTATGTTGCGTGCAGAATGGAGGAGTTGCTTGAGGAGGGGTTCGGCGGAGCTGCCATCGTTGATACTTTTCCCATTTAACGGCTCGGCTCGGGTGTTACGGGCTGTTTGGTTTTATCGAAGAGGCTGTGATGAAATTGGATCTGTCTTTCGAAGGTTCGAATAGAGAACCAAAGATGTTTAAACTGAAAGACGATACCTATCTTTAGTCCATAATCGCTTCCATCTTATCGAAGCAACTCGAGCAGCCGAAGTCGTGAGCCTTGGCGTCTTGGTCACGTGAAGTTCATTTTGAGCCGCTTGGACCTCAACATGTCAACATCAACGTCGTCTTGAATCTGATCGAAACTTCTACATCACTGTTGCAATTGTTTGCCATTGACTATCCAAAATGCGATATTGGCCGTTCGGCAACCCTCAGTATCTTCCATTGCATCACTCAAAGAATACATCAACAAATTTTTCCTTTAATTCAAAGGAGGAGGACATGGCAGAGCTGTGGCAGTCTCAGCCATCACGATGCATGCATGCATGGCGTGCTCCCAAGGCTGACGGACGGTTAGCCTGAATCCAGGCCCTGGAGACAAAGAGGAACGTTGGGATGGTCGACACAGCCACAGGTTCACCGAGAATATAAAAACCAGGCAACCAGTCCATTTTTCCACGGGCTGGTATCGCCGTCGCCATGAATGATTAGATGATTAGTTGCCCGTTTAAATCTTACAATCAGCCTGGTCTCAGGTTTTTGCACAAGTTATACTGTTTCTTGTCCCAACTCGCAAAGCGCTCCAATAGCCCCCTGCCTATTGTATTCGGGCGCAAATTGAATTATTTCTGTTGACCAATGAGCCTTACGCAATAAAGTAACCCAAAGCTGCATCGCCGCTATGGATCCTGTTTCCGCCATTGGTGTTGCTGGAGGTGCTATTCAGATCGCAACCCTTATTACAAAAACAATCCAAAGCTTATCCACGCTCCATGGTAAATTCAGTAACGCGGATCTCACCCTTAATTCCTTGATCGCGGAACTCTTGACAATCAAAGCTGCCATTACTCATCTTCATGAATTGTCCAAGTACAACTCGAACTGCACACCAAAGCATCCAGAATACATAGATGGGCTGGATGTCGCATTGGACGGGTGTATCGCCATTGTGGATGTACTGTCCGAGGAAGTTGCGCAGCTGACACCCATCTCGTCGAATGAAGCACCACATCGAGGCTGGGGCCTGCGAGCCAAGGCAAAAGTTGTTTGGAAGGAGGATTTGATGAGAGAGCATAGTCAGATGTTACATTCCCAGGTTCTGGCATTACAGCTACTTCTGCAAGCTTGTCATTGGTATGTGGCCTTTGAAAATCCCTCTCTGAAAACACGTCTAAATAAATTGTGACCATCGGCTAATATTCATATCCAGTCGCACATCTTCGGAACAACTTGAGCTTCTTCGGAGACAAGAAAACCGAGATATCATTAAAAGGGTGTTAAATGACACTGCAACGTTACGGTCGGCGACCAGCATAGTGGGAGCTCGAACAGACGAAGCTGCTAGCAGCACTAGGGGCTCGTGCACTGGTAACACGGTGTTTGAATTTGATCAAATTCTCCTCAACGAGGCCCCGTATCGACGTGCGATGCGAAACCATCAGCTGAGCCTTAGGCAGCCAGCCATAGTGCCGAATCGTCAGAATTCAACGTCAACTCCAATATCCGGAACAGATGAAGGCTATGCTAGCGGTACATCTGAATCTACGAACCCAAGCCTGCTCCAAAAGTTCTTAGATTCTACAAATGGCGATGAAGGCATCATCGCTCGCCCGTCAGAATTTCTGCAGTGCCATGAAGATGTGTTAAAGCGCCATACTCTCTCACCCCGCCCGTCACGTTCCCCCGAAACTGACAAGGGCATCGATCGCTCCAAGTCCGCAACTTCCTCGCTTGGGCGGAGGTCTTCAGGGTCGACAAAGGAGAAACTCCTATCAGCATTGCGGCGATTGAACACTTCAAGCCGCTCTAACTCAAGCCTGAGCATATCGCCAACTTCTGGCTCAACAAAGCGCCGGCGAAATCGCGCGAGCGAATCAAACATTAGCATTGACCTAACGTCGATGGACAACATAAGGACACCCGCGATCGTGAGAGCCTCTCAATCAGGTGCGATTTTCGAGGTGGAGAACTTTATCAATGCTGGGGCGGACATCGAGACGTGCGATGTTACGACCGGCCGAAATGCCCTAGCAGTCGCTGCACATTGCAATAAATCCGATATAGTTCGCCTGCTTATCTATCATCATGCGAAACTCGATACCCAGGATGCACAATTATCCACCCCCTTGCATTTAGCAGCGTCTAGAGGTCATACGCATATTCTACAACTCCTTCTGGAAGAGGATGCTGGGGTCGACCTGAAAGATGCCAATGGCAGAACTGCCTTTATGGTTGCTGCCAATGCCGGCCACACCGACGCAGCGAAGATGCTACTTGACTACAATTGCAAGATTAATACGCGGGCCACGGATCAAATGACAGCGTTACACATTGCTGCCAAAAATGGTGATTACGAGATTGCATCTCTCCTCCTCTATTACGGCGTTGATATCGAAGCGAAAGATGTGAATATGATGACTGCTACCCATCATGCTTGCGAAAAGGGCCATGTAGCCATTTTAGAGTTGCTCATAAAGCACAAAGCAAATATTAACGTTGTTGGTGTGGACGAGATGACTCCCTTGATCTGTTCCGCAGCTAATGGCCATTTCCCTACTACAAATCTCTTGCTCCGGACGAAGGCCATGGCTCATAGCAAAGACCAACACGGGATGAATTGCCTACACTGGGCAGCATTTAATGGTCATTCGGATATTGTGGGTCTCCTACTTCAGAAGAAAACCTCGTTGTTTTCGCAAAATCTACAAGGACGAACTGCTCTACATCTAGCTACTATGAATAAGCAGTTCGCTGTTGTTGAGCTCCTTCTTCGCAAAAATGCACCAGTAGAAGCGCGATGCCACCAGGGCTTCACAGCGCTTCATTATGCCTGCTGCGCGCAGTACGTTGACCTTGTTCGTCTCCTGTTGGCGGCTGGAGCCGATATTGAAGCGCAAGTCGATAAAATTAAACAGCGTCCAATACACCTTGCAGCTTCCCTGGGCACTCTGGAAATCACAAGGTTGCTATGTGAAAAAGGTGCTTCAGTAGACGCACTCAGCTCCGATTCGGCAGGCAGGAGAGCGCTCTCTATTGCTTGCAGAAGAGGCAATCTAGAAATCGTGCAAGAGTTGCTTCGATTCGGTGCAGAACCCCGCCTACTCTATCCCGGCAGTATAGTTGAAGATTCGCCGATTTGCATTGCCTCGAGAATGGGCCATGTTTCTGTGGTCTCACACTTCCTTGCGAATGGCTCTTCTGCATTGGAAAGTGATGAAATGGGCTGGAGTCCCATTCTCTATGCGGCCCATTTTGGACATCCCCAAGTGCTCGAAACTCTACTTCAATATTATCGCCCAACTGCGGATACTCATCTATTCCACATGCTTATTGGAATAGGATTTACACCCGATGCTCCCATATCTCCCGACAATAGAAAGCAAGTACAAAACCTCATTCAACAAGTAAAAGATCGCCAGTTGCTAGGCGACCGTTCACAACCCGAGATTCCGCTGCGGATGCCTTCAACTTGCTCCGCGATACGATCTAACTCCCAACCAAGCCAACCTAGACACCCATGGGAGCGGCAGGAGATCTCTCCCACTCTAGTGTATGATGCGCCAGTGCCACAACTCTCCATGCGACGTCCTTTATCTCGAATAGAACTTCCCACCACCGTTAGTCAAGGCCTTCCTGATCCTCGCCGGAGGATGCAAGGAAGTGCCAGCCAGGAGACTACCCCACCTAAGTCTCCAGCCGCGCACATACAGTCTCCAGAACCGCCGATCAACGGCGGCAAGTCTAACCTCAGAGGCATGAGTGTGTGCCTCAGAATCGTACTAAGGCGCCTGGAAGGATTGGGCTTCGGTGGATGCAAGGCACGAAAACTGTCATCCAGCACGAACCATGCGGAACATGCAGGATGCACAGGAGGAAATAACTCCTCCTCTACCTTTAATAAGGTAACCTTATTCGGGGCGACTGTGCCTCTAACCGCAGAGACAAACACCCCACCAAACAACGGGAACCCCGATGAAATTGTACAACCACCCGATGATGCGGAGGATAGGGATCGTAGCGAGGACAGTATTGATAACGATGAAGACGACCATGATAATTGTCCATCAGATACGCAGTCCTTCTCTACGATTTTCACGGCGTTGGAGGTTTTGGATGACGATAACCGCCCTCGGATTTTTGAACTGGAGGCCTGAGATTTATCTACTTTGACTTTTTGTATGGGCTTGCAATATATATGTTTCGTTGGTCTGCACACTTTGTTATATAAGCTCTATAAAAGAGATAATATTCAGAGAGGTAATAATAATAATATCAAATGGCTCGGCAATTGAGTAAACTTTCCTCCTTTTCCCGTGCCCATTCAGGGCTACATAACTATCCTTAGTCATTCTCACGTGCTGCTGGTGACGTCCATCATCTCGTCGCAACCTCACCTGTCCAAGATCCATCCACATTCCAGCCAGTTGGGCGGGAACTCGCCCTGACACCTCCAGCTAAATGCCGATACTTATATGTGAATACGGTGCAGTAGTGTTATGAGAGCGCGGCCCAATGCTCCCTCTATTTCTCTGTCATCTATTATCACTCGTCTGGGTGCGAGTGTCCTGAGCGATCATAGCAACCAACCCAACTGACTTCGCATCGCCTGTCTGCCCACCATGAGCAACCGAAGCCCTGTTCTACGCCGTGCAGATGTGAGCTTTCCTGTACCACCAGAGTCTCCCGATTGCGTTGCAGCAACCGATCATTCTGCACGGCCAAGTTCCTCCAGCAGCGATGCTTCCTCGACTTCCTCCAATGTCGCCTCCCTCAGCAGACCCAAGCGCGCCCTATACCGTGTGAAACCTCAGGTGTCTAGCCCTCGAATACCGTCAGCAAGCACCAATAACAGCAACGCTTCTCTCCCAAATTTTTCGCGTCCGTCAGCGCCTCAGATGCCACCAAACAATCCCTTAGCCCATAAAGCGCTACCTCTGCCTCCGCCTCAGGAACTCCAAAAACACAGACCTCGTCAGCACTCACAGGGGTTTTTTGAACCATCTCTTCCCACCGCCTCATTATCCGAACAAACTCCCGTTACTATGACGAACTTATCCGCCTCTCAAATAGCTGCCCAAGCTGCTATGCAACACCAGGCAAGTTCACATCACTTGCGGAACCGGTCGCAACCAAGCAAGGTACCTCAGGATAATGTAGCCAAAAAAGGTTCCAAAGATCATTCCCATCAGGTTTCCCCAGGACACCAGCAATACTCGAATGGGGTGGTTGGAGGCCGTGTCCTCGCAGCAACAACTGCTGCGAACGTTGCATTTCCCCGAACTCCGGGCTTCGCGCCCTCGTCAACGAATGTCGACCATGAGAGTGGGCATAAGCAAAAGGGGGAGAAGTCTAAGATGAAGATTTTTTCAAAACCGAAACATATTGGCCTATCAAGAGACAAGGATGGGGACAAACACAAGTCTACACCATCCCCAAACAATCATCTTCCCCTTCCAGGCCCCAGTGGCTTGTCACGAATGGTGAATGCCTCTACGACAAGCCTTAACGAATCTTCCACTTCTGCCAGCTCCTCGATGTACAACCTAGCAAATTCCTCTGCAACTACGGTAGTGCTTGCAGACCGACCAGCCACAGGTGAAAGGGAGAAGGATAGGGAGAAAGACAAGACACATAAACATCACTTTTTATCACGGCAAAAGCTAAAATTAAAGGACAAAGATGACCATTTCAATCTACCACTTTCCTCTGCATCAAGTAATTCGAAACCTTTAGATCCTAGCGCTCCTCAGTCACTCTACTCCTTCACTCCTCAATCTCCGTCGACAGCGTCCTTCGCCAAATCGAAAAGTGGGCTCGACCTACGACACGGAGGTCGGGCTCTACGAGAGAAAAAGAAGGAAGAAAAAGCCTCTGCCGCCGCTGCTCACGATATTGGACATCGAGACATGGATGATCGGGTGACTAATGGAGCAGTTGGAGCTAGTTCTTCGTCTGTTCATAGCGGTCCCATTTCACTTGGAAACACAGCTCCGAGTGTATACGGCGGAGAGTCATCTTTAAAAGAAACTTTGCAAGGGTTCGGGCTTCACAACATGGCTCCGGAAGATGCATGGGACTTTTTAAAGGCGAAGCTTTTGGTCCTATTCGAAGGAGAAGATGTTCGCATTGCTCTAGAGGATCTAAACAAACTTGTTTCGATCCATATACAACGATGCGTGCGAAAACATATCCCCTCTGTTATCGTGGAAGATTTGCGTGACCTGCTACAAATGGGCTTTAGTTCCTTAAGCCACTCGCTTCATTCTGTCCCTGACGAACGCGTTGTTCCGCATCTCGTCCAGATGTGGCTATTGGTGTTCGGCGGGGTACTTCCTTTCATCCAAGCTGTCTTTCTACCTCTAGACCTGGAGTTTAAAGGCCGCGGCTCAATCATGACTTCTCGTGAAGCGAAAGAGTTTTGGGGCGCACTACCCAACGGCGAAGCCTCGAATAGATCCATGGGTGATGAGCTCGATGTTCGCACCATCGTCCTCATCTCCTTCCGCGACAATGTCATCCTCCCCCGCTATGAAATTTTGAAAGCAACATTCTCGCGCCTCAGCCTTGAAAGTATCCATGTGAATGTCAGCGCGCTCAGCACGACCCCGAACAGCCGTCCAAGCACCGCATCAGCACTCGACTCCGGGTTTGGAAGTTACAACTCCCAATCTTCCACCCTCCTCAACACCACCGCTGGTAGTTTCTCCTCTGACTCCATCGCCGCCTCCATGTCCCGCAGTCGCGCTGCATCCAACACCTCTAACCCCGAATACGTCACCCCATCATCATTTACATCCATGTCCCCACCGCAAAACTCCATACTCAATCCAACCCTACAAGCGTTCCCCTCGCGCACTACATCCAATTCCGCAGACACATCTCATCTCATCACCGAAACCGTTGGCCGCATGCTCCAATGCATCAGCGTGCTAGCCAGCGTACAGACAGAGGACGACGCGCAGAAGAAGATAGAAACTCTCAGCAAGGCGCTCAAGCACAACTGGCTTGGCCGGGGACGGACGGGCCGGGACCGTCGAGGTTTTGTGGGTACTAAGATCCGCCCTGTAGTACCGCGGAAGGATAGTGACGATACCTCGACTAGCTTTACCCCTACTGATAACGAGAGTGACGATGGTGGCAAGCTATGAGATGGGGGGAACTGTGTGCAGTAGACGTTGGGGAATACCTTTTTTCTTTTTTATCTTTTTCTGTTTTTTTATTTCTTTTTCTTCTTTGGTCTCCTTATGTACGTTCTGCCGGGCAGCGTACGGATATCGGAAGCGGAAGGCGCCATGAATGATGGAAATGACAATGTGTATGGAAATAGCATCTACGCCTATTTTGTTTTTGATTTTTTGCCATCTGGATGCCGGGATGGGGGTTGTTCAATGAGTGCGGTGCATGATTTTTTTCTTCTGGTTGATTCGACATTTGCCATATATTATATACCCTTTGCCTTGGGCTGCGTGGGTGTTTTTCACATCTATTTGGAATTTTGCAGGTAGTCTTCGACCTCTTCGCTTTTTTTTTTTTTTTTTTTTTTTTTTTTTCCTAACCTTTCTTTTTTTACAATTTCTACATTTCTATTAATGTGTTTTATGACATGAATACACTATGTGCTTTTATTGACAGTTAATCCGCTGGTTATTATCTGACGTGAGCTTTCTTGAGTGTTTGATCGAGAGGTCTTTTAGCCATCATTTGGCCGCTGACCGGTATAAACACACAGATCCATACTTACTCTTAACAGTAGCAATCGCACATTCCATTTTCTTTTTGCCGTCTTTCCTTTCCTTTCCTTTCTTTTCCAATGACATAAAAGGCAGATAATCGCTTCATGAGGCATTTATAAGGATTAGTTAGAGCTTATATCCCTTCGCGGGGGAGCTAATCATGATATCGATATACTATACCACCATATCGTCTCTTCCTGCCATGTATGGATCCAGTGCCTCGTACCCGCAAAATTTCGCCTCAATGCCGTGAAATGACCATGGAATCAGCTTGGGTGAAAGAAAAGGGGGTGTATGCGTATCTACATAACAAGCCTTGTTCTGCTCAAGACACTCAAGAAGAACCAGTATCCCGTATCCTAAACGAATCGAATCACGAGCAGCATTAGTCCACTTTATATACGCTCCATCTATCAAGCTTGTAAATCAGTAAATAACCTTCGTGGGTATCAAGGTGAGGTTTGCAGGTCATAGCGATAGGTAGGTAAACGGCTACAGAGAACTGGGCAACTGGTCCGGTCTTGTTAACTAACGGCTTTAAAGACTGGAAGGGATATTATATGGATACGACCGGAAGAAGGGACGGGAGGGACGGAGGAGTGATATATATGAAAAGGGCTGATGATCAACAAGGGGGAAACTGAATTGTTGAAAGTAGCAGCTTGGGAAGAGAAAAGGCGAGTGTTGAAAATAAAAGCTTGTGATGAGAGGTAGATGTAATGGAACTGATAATGAACCAGGAGCACTTGCAGAAAATCATTTCAGCTGGACACGAAGTCTTTTTTTCTTGCTTTCCTCACATATTCCACTTCTATAGAGAAATTCTGTAGTTTTGTTGCTTTTCAGTTTTGAGAGCTTCATTGTAAGTGAGAGACTGCTGTCTACATCAACACTGAAGCAGCTGGTGGTGGGAAGATGTTGTGTTATTGCTGAAACATCTCAGAAATATCAAGATCTCAGCTGCAATTGCTTGTGCACAGAGCATATTAACAGCTACCACACAATTAAAGTGCAGTGGAGAGTTTATTATCCAAAACACTTAGCAAGCAAGTGAGAGCTGAAGGCAGGTCATGCTCTGTTCTTAACAGGGTGAGACTGACATCCAACAGAATCCACTCATCTCTCCTTTCTTTCTAACTCTCTTCCTCTTTCTTCACCTCTCTCCATCTTCTTCATTGTCAACTCTTTTTGAATCTTGCTCTTCTCTTGCTTTCTTTTACCTCCCACACTCACTGCATTGTCCCAACCACAACAATACATCGCTGGACTGATTGTCAAAGCTCGAAGCCAAGCTGCTCCTTGATCCTCATAACTTCGTTATCGGTTAGATTCTCTTTTCTTTCTCCTTCATCAGGAACCCTCAACAACCACAACAACCCTCCAATCTCACTGACATCCACCACAATAACTCATAAAGCTTTCTTGAGATAGCTTCTACTGTTTCTGTAGTCGAAGCACTCATTTTGCCAGACGACGCACAATGTCTGATTTCACCCCCCTCAATAAGGTTGAGAAAATGAAGTTCGAAGATACTTCTGGTGCCGAAACCATCGGTGACACCGCGGAGGGAATCAAACAACAGGACCCCGAAAATGGTAACCCAGCAAACGGCAACTGTGAAAATGTAAGTTTTACATAACAAAATGCAACACCCCAATCACACCAGTAGCACAGAGTACCTGGGTTCCAAATCTCCATGTCTTCATGTTTCAGTTTCGCGAATAGCCTCGCTAACCCCCCTCCCCCCCATCTCTCCTCTAGGAAACCAAAGCAAATGGGAATACTGCAGCTACACCACGCAAACGTGCGCGAAAAGCAGGTGCTAAAAAGACCAACAGTGGTGAAGGCGAGGAGGGTCAAGATGAATCTCCAACCAAGAAACAACGCACTCCAGGCAAGGGAGGCAGAGGGGCCGCATCTGGAGAGAAGCCGAAAGTTGGAGCGCGCGCTATGCCTACCTCATACGAGAATGCAAGTCCCGAAGACAAAATGCTGCTTCGCATGAAGGATGAGGAGAACAGATCCTGGGCTGAGATCCGCCAGGCCTGGGAAGATATTACCGGGGAGAAGGTTGGAGGGAGTACTCTCTGTACTCGCTATGCTCGTATCAAGGCCAACTTTATCGATTTCACGCCGGAGGATGTATGTGTTCCAACTCCTTCGACCCCTTCCTTAATTATATTTGTTTTGAGTGTTGCAAAATGGTTGCAACCGATAGCAAAATATAATATTTCTCATTACTTATTGGGGCATTATATAGGAGGAGCTCCTGCTCCGCTTTAAGCAGGAGATCGAGGAGAAATTCGAAAACGACAAATGGCGTAGTGTTTCTGAGGCCATTGACGCTGCTGGGGGGAAAAAGTATCCGCCTGCCGCTGTGCAGAAGCGGTTCAAGATATTGAGCAAGAACTTGTCCAGAATGGAAATCGGGCAGAAGGTTAATGACGCGGAGGACTCCTCATAACTGTCACAAGACGGCATCTCTCCAACATTTCTTCAGTCCGTGGAATGGGTCTAGTGATGGAACCGAAGTTTGAACGTGCTTGGCTTTCCTGTCCTTTTTCTTTTTTTCTTTCCTTTTTTTATTCTCTCGTCCTGGATATCTTCCGGACTGCAACCTTTGCAACTGGGTGTTAGCTTCTATGAGAGGAGGAAATGGGATACGGTATATGATGAGGGTTCAATGGTTATTTATTTGGTGCATCGGTAGCTTGCGCAATGGGCATCAGTGAAAATGGATCTCACCCTTCCATCCTTCTGTTTCTGTGACAGAAAATATGAGATTTGAAAATTTGCGTAACACCACCACTTCGGTTGAAAGGGTTTCTTCTCCCATCAAGAAAAAAAAATAATGATAATAAAAATAAAAATATGATTTGTACTCCCCTCATTCGCTGCTCAACTGGCAGCGCTTTTCGAACTCTCGTCAAATATCAAGAGAACCAATCTGCTCTTTGGTCAAAAAAACGGAGTTCAAAAGACAACTGACTTGAAAGGGCAATGTATGCCATGTAGTGCCAGGAGTCGATCTTCCGGCTGTCTTGGTGGTAGCATGGGCCGATACTTCACCGCCGCTCATTTGTTCGAGCCCGACAAGACAAGATCCATGCATGCATCGGCAGACAATCGACCTGCATCGGATGCCGATCAGATTGGTTCTGGCATGGCCGAGAGCGCAGGAGGTTAAATTAATCAGCCAGAGATGCGTTGCCAGCAAACCTAGTCTGTAGTTTAGTTAGAGCAAACCCATCCTACCCGAACACATCATATACCTAGGCCTAATAAAAAGTTTTAAAACAACCAAAAAGAGGCGACATTTCAATCGTCCCCGGGAGAGCAGAATATCTTGGTTTTCTTTTTCTTTTCTTTTCTTTTCTTTTCCCATTTCCTTGTCCTGATTTGTTGATCAGAAAGGAAACCGCCTTTCGCATGTGCTAAATATGGACATACGCGTCTCCGCACATTTGAAAAAACTGGAATGGTTAGATAGATCTTGTATATCCCCTTCCTGCCCGTGGAAGATTGAAACAGCACGGGGAGTACTGCAGCCATGGTATGGTACGGTGTAAGCGTGGTCCGGCCACAAGCGACCGCAAAATACGGATATATATGGAACAGGAATATTCTTGCAGGACAGCGGGATTGGATTGGGATTGAGATGAGAGAAGAGGAAGGGATGGGTTCATGGGAGATTCTCGAGTGGTGTTGGGAATCTTGCACAGCATTAGTGTTGTATAACGGTTGTGGGAGAAACAAGATGTGATTTCGCTGTCGCAGGCGGTCTCTGATGGTCAATTCGGGAGTAACCTGAGTGTGTGGTATGTTGCCCGTCACCGTCACAATTGCTGCTGGGGAATGTGACAAGCGCATAGCCTGAGGATATGGGGATATACCGATGTGATAGAGGCGGAATTGTCGAGGACTGACCCTTGGGTTGAGGTTGAGATGGGAGTTGCCAAATCGGGGTTTTTGCCCTAACCGAAGGAGCCTCAATCCATGGAAGACAAAATCGCCAGACAGATAACTACAGAGTAGAATGGTGATTGATTGACAGTGATTGACATTAATTGGCTCGAAGCAGGGCAGGAGGATGAGCTGCCGATATTTCAGGTTTATCGTTTTGCATCTCAATTATTTCCGTTGCACACAGCACAGATTATTGGCGTCATGGTAGGTAACTAGGTACTCCCATGTCACCTACTTGTACCAGCTTAGTGGACCAGCAGCCTCACGGTACCTCCTCGTGACACGCTAGTACATCCATCCATGGTCTATGGTCCATTGCTCCACTCGCCCTACGCAATAGCAACAGCAACTTTGCAACAAATCAACTCCATTTAGCATTCATCATTCATAGGATATGATATGGTGGCTAGCAAAGGATGGACAGGGCGAAGTATTTTCGAATTATTGGCGGGAATCTAGCGCAGCCTCGCCTCTATTATGTCTGTCTAACGGGGCCAAGTCGAGTTCTGGTCCGCAGCCACTCACTCAGCGCGCATTGGTTATGCTTGAAGCTTCCCGGCATTCGTCCACCCAGCGCCACTCACTTGCAGCGATTCGGCCCTGTCCAGTGTCCACTACTAACTTACTACCGTCACTACTGTCCATGCGCTCGCTGGCTCTGGTCTTGGTCCTTGCGCATCATCCCATCGTCGTCGTCCCTTTTTCCCCGAACCAGCTCTCCCCGACACCCAAATCTACCACAATTCTTCCAACTTCTCCCCAGGCAACCGCTGCCGCTTGACAATTCACCTCCCGCTGCTGACGCAGCCTTTGGTTCTGTGCTTTTTCCCTGTGCCTCATTGAGTCATTCTTGTTGTTGGGCTGCCGTCGTCGCTGCTGCCTTGATGCTCGCGGACGCCAGACAGACATACATATAAAGAGAATAGGTGCGTTCGCGTGGAAATTTCTCAGGAAATTCAGTTTCCTATTTATTGGCTCACGGCATCCTGCCGCATTCCTCCACCTCATCTGCTACTTCTTGGGTGATTCCGGAAGTTGTTTGCTGTTGTCGTTCTATCTATCTATCCATCTCCTTAGCTACATTTGTCTCTTCTTCTTCACCGCTCTCTTCCGCAAGTATATATATATATATATATATATTATTAAGGTTAGATCCTCCGCCAACAAACGACTACATTAAACTGTCAGATTTCCATCTCTCTCTTCCGCCGTGACTTTGCTGTTCAGTTGCCCTCTCGATTTTTCTTACTCACTCATATAATACCTTGCGCGATCCGTCTGTTCTATCTCCTCATTCCTTGCTCTCTGACTGTCACTCCAGCTCTTGGCTCTTTAGATGCCGGGCCTTCCAATAAAAGAGCAATCTACAAAAATCCCCGACCTATTATCCCCCTCGACCTCCGGTATAACGCAGAAATCCAGCTCTGACACAGATTCCCGCGATCCCAGCATCACCCCCGTCTTCACTCCCGCCTCCCCTTCCCCTTCAGGCTCTCCCCGACAGGCAGATAACATCCAAGACGAGATATTATTGTCCACAATGGCCGATCAGGTAGCTACTTCGTCCGGTAAAGCCGATGCTACGGAGACGAAACAAGAAGTGGAAAGTTCCCCAGTGGCAACCTCCACAACGACAGAGCTAAAGTCGTCTCCGCCAGCTCCAGACTCTGCTCCGAAGAAAACGTCCTGCAAAAAGCATACCAACGTAAAGTCCAAGGCTCAGAAGAAGCAAAAGGACAAGAAGAAATCGAAGAAGGGGATGGATTCGTCGAGCAGTGAGAGTGACAGTTCATCTTCATCAAGCTCTAGTTCCTCGTCTTCGGACTCTTCAGACTCAGACTCGGAATCGCCTAACTTGGATTCTCACAAAAAGAAGAAGAAACGCGCCAAGGAGAAGGAGAGGAAGAAAGCTAAGGCCCGCAAGCAAGTGGCCTCTACGAGTGAGGACGAGTCGGAAAGCGAAGAGGAGGAATCGGAAATAGAGGACAAGCCTACCAAGAAGCAGAAAAGGGCCAGAGCCAAAAAGAAGGCCAGGAAAGCCCGAAAATCTCAGGATGATGAAACCGATGATGAAAGTGATGTTGAGGCTTTGGAAGAGCAGCTCCGAGCTACGCAGCAAAAGCTAGCGGCCCTCCGTTTGAAGCAGAGTAAGAACTGCCCACAAATACTCCTTCGTGTAAGACAGGTTCCTGGTAGGGAGCCGCCAACACTAACTCTTGCCTAGCTTCACAACGTAATCAACTCCAGAATAAGTCCAAAAAGCGAAAGCGTGCGTCGAAGGTTGCTTTCAAGCGTGTGGACGAACGTAAGGTCCCCCATATCCTCTGCCACCACTCCCAACAATGCTTGTTGATTACATGCTAACACATTATCAATAACAAAAATACAGTTTGGGATGACACCATACATAATTACAAGCTAACGGAAACTGTGGACGATCCTGACGCAAACGAGTGGGACCAGTATATTTTTACTGTCCGTCGCAAATTTGACTGGGAGAATAAATACACGGAAACTGTAGTAGATATCAAGAGCAAACCTCTGCGTGAGGCCCTGGCCCACGTCATGGACGGTGTAAAGGGTGTTTCGTTAGTGCAGGAGACCCCTGTTGTTGACCCTAATATGCTGTTTTTGTACCTGGAAGAGTCTCGGGAGTACATCAAGGAGTTGAAGGCTCTCGCGAAATCGGAGAAGAAGAAGAGAGCCAAGCGGCTAGCTGCGACAAAATGCGCTCACTTGAAGGTCTTGGTGAAATATCTTGACAACGACTACGCCGAAACGAAAAAAACACTGTATCCCCTCCTCGAGTCGAACATGATTACCTTTGATCTTCTATGGGCCCTTTTCAAGCCGAACACCGTTGCCTACACTCCGACTTATTCCAATCCCGATGAGCCTCGTGCTTTCAAAATCGAATACGCTTCCAAGGAAAGCTCTTTCATGAAGGGACAGTGGTATGATATTGAAGGCCGCTATCTCGAGTACGATGGAAAGTCATTCGGCATGGGCACCATGTCTGTTGAGGTTGAGTCATTCAAGGGGTCCCGCAAGATTTCGACCCTTGCTTGCTATCCATTGAAATACCATCGAGACCCAGAAGGTTTGAAAGCGAAGCTCGTGGAACGTGGCAAAAAATTCGTGACACTCCAGGGTGTGAATTACCGTTTCCACAAGGGTATGGCTTTCTACAAGAAGAGGAGATCGATAATCAAGGTTAATATCAACGGGCGGGTCATGGTTGATCCAGCTATTCACCGTCGAATTAATCCAAACTATCCTATCAGCACCGTGAAACCAAAAGACCCGGACTTGATCGACGAATCTGACTGTGAAAGCGGATCGGATGATTGTTGCTGTTGTGCCGGGTCTAGATCGGAATCAGATCACGAATCTAAGGACGATAGGCCCAAATTGAGACTCAAATTGGTCGAAGATGCATGCGGGAACCCATGTATCGTCGAGGTTGAGTGTGATGAGGACGGCGATGAAATTGTCAAAGAAGACCTTGACAAGATTGCCGGTAAGGACCAGGCAGGTGGGAAATTTGAATTTTCCGACGAGGAACTCTTGATCGCAAGCCCTGTCGTTCTCGGGTTTGCTTTCAGCGAGAAACTCTGGTTGGAATTCACTGTTTCTGGCATCAAAGACATCGAGTGGAATTCGGGCGCTTTCGACTCCCTGGTCCTCCCCGACAATCAGAAATCGATTGTCAAAGCGCTCGTGGAATCCCACACCTTCCACGCCGCTGAAAATATCGACGATGTGATTCAGGGTAAGGGCAAGGGCCTTGTAGCAGTTCTCCACGGCCCACCGGGTACAGGTAAAACTCTCACAGCAGAAGGCATCGCAGAACTCCTTATGCGCCCGCTCTACATGGTTAGCGCCGGCGAACTGGGCACGGATTCACGAACTCTGGAAGGGGAGCTGAACAAGATTCTGGACATCGCACATTCATGGGGTGCCGTACTACTCCTCGACGAGGCGGACGTATTCCTTGAAAAGCGCACCATCCACGACATCCACCGCAACGCGCTCGTCAGCATCTTCCTGCGCCTCCTCGAATACTTCCAGGGGATCTTATTCCTGACCACTAATCGTGTCGAGACCTTTGATGATGCGTTCCAGTCACGGATTCACGTTGCGCTCCGATATGGCGACCTGACGCTCAAGGCCAAGCGGACTGTATGGAAGATGTTCCTCGATAGAGTTAGGGTTAAGGATGGGGTGACAGTTGTCCCGTTCACGGAGGCGGATTATGACTCTCTCGCTAGACATAACTTGAATGGTAGACAGGTAAAGTTTTCAATATTATTTCTTTTCATCCAAACTTTCAAATGTGTACATGTTATAGCTAACATCAACGATTCCGTCCGGCAAACAGATCAAAAATTCCGTCCGCACAGCTCAGGCGCTCGCCCTGAACGAAAATACCCCTCTCTCCATGGAACATATCTCCCGCGTCCTTGATGTAGCAGAAACGTTCGACCAGGACCTTAAAGGCGGAACGGGCTACATCGATGCCATGCGAAGCTATACATAAAATACCAATCAGCTTTCTTCTCGCGCATTCCTTGTCAATACCCGGCTTTTTCGCTCTAATCTCTCCGTTTGCTTCTCCGAATGAAATCATTGGTAATATTTTGTCTATTTCCGTATTTCCGTCTGCTACATCAGGTTTGTAACAACTAATTTTTGGCATATTTTCTTGCTTTCGTATCTTCTTTTTGCCTGAAGTTTAAATTTTTTTATTTCGAAACATTTCATGACTTCTTAAAATTTTGTGGCGAATGTGAAGATGGATAAAGTGTCCCTTTTTTTTTTTTTTTTTTTTTCACCCCAGTTTTTAATTTATGGTTTCGATCTTGGAAACATCTTGCTTTTTAACACTTCGTTTTTAATCCGATCTTGGCCCCCTTTCTCCCTACTCACTCTCCGTCTGACCATACCATACCATACCCTATATCATGATTATGATATGATAATGACCCCTTAGTTGCCCTGTCTACGTTTCCCGCTCCCCCGATGTTGATTCATAGATCGCGTAGCTGCCCCGTCTTGCTTCTGTTCCCAAAACTTGTTGTTTATTCCCTCGCCTCTTCCTCCAAGCCCTCTTCGGCTCCATCAAACACTCCGCTCCGCTCCGCTTCCCAGTAACAAAAGACAAAAACACCAAGGAAGATAAACGAGACAAAGAAAAGACAACAAGAGCGAAATAGAACCCATTTACTTTTTTTTCCTCCTAATATCGTCTGGGAAATGTCACCCGTAATAAAAACGTATATTTAAATATCTTTGCCATTATCTGTTTCTACAATATCTACTTTGATATCTCCTATGACGATTTGAATATAACACATATATGTCTTCGTTTTTCCCATCCCATCCATCCATCCATCCCTTCCTCACCCCTATTTTTAGTTCTAATTTTCACGGCCACTGGGTCTCTCTTATCTAATTTTGAACAATGGCTCTTTTTTTCTGGATTTTTTTCTTTCTTTCCCATTTTTGCCCCCTTTCTTCCAACTACAACACCATCCAATTAATTACAACACATATCCATCTACCCATGATCTTCGATATTAAGCGAAGCACCTACAGCAGCAAGTAGAAAAGAAGACAGGACAAAGAGGGCCCGCATTATTTTCATAGGAATATGAATACATATATATACAGAGAAATATATTTTCAGACGATGCGTAAACGTCACACACACGCACACACACACAAAACCTGCCACATCCACCCTAAGGAACGGAACATATTCTCACTCGCTGAAGAAGTTCTAATCGCTAAAACACACCAGATCTAAGGAAATAGAAAAGAACTGAGAAAGGAATGTTTTCCATTTAAATGGCCAGTAAAAAATAAAAAAGAAAGAAAGAAGAGAGAAATAATGTTTGAAATTCATCAACCAGTTTTTCCTTCATTTTTTCTCTTCCTAATTGATTTGAATTTTTAAAAAGCCTTTTATTAAAATTGTTATTTTATTTTATCTTTTTAGAGGGTGGTGTACAGTTGGGGCAGAGGGGGCCGAGGTTTAGAAGCGTCTAATGTAGAAGGGGACGAGAGAGAGAGAGAGAGGGAGGGAGAGAGAGAGAGAGAGAGAGAGAGAGAGTAAAGTGAGAAACTAGGGTGACAGGTATTAAAAAATAAAAGTAAAATAAAAAACATTCACATTCCATCGTTTATGGGTTGTTCTTAACGAACTCAACACCCTTGGCAATATTCTTCTTCAGATCAACCAGGCAGGCATCAACGAGCTTCTGCTCGTGCGCGGAGACCTTGCCGATGGGCAGGATCTCCTCGACACCATTAGGTCCGAGGCGGACGTTGGAGGCGAAGAAGTTGACGCCCTGGTCCTTGTAGAGCGGGCTCTCGACGAAGGTGGGCTCGACGACGTCTTTGACGCCTTGGGAGGCCTTGAGCAGGCTCTCGGCGAACCGGGCACCGGCCATGGCCATGGAGAGGGTGGCGGAGCCAGCGCCGTCCTTAGCCTTGACGACTTCGTCGCCACCGAATTGGATGCGGTTGACGAGGGCGTCGAGCTTCTCGCCGGAGATGTCGGGGTGGTTGGATTGGGAGATTAGAGGGACGATGGTGACGCCGGAGTGGCCACCGACGACGGTGACGTTCTCGTTGGCGGGGTCGGTGCCCTTGACTTGGGAGATGAAGCGGGACGCACGGACGACGTCAAGGGTGGTGACGCCGAAAAGGCGCTTGGGGTTGTAGACGTTTCTGGCCTTGAAGACCTCCGCGACGATTGGGACGGTGGAGTTGACCTGGCGGAAAATTCGGGGTTAGAACTACCAATCCCTCGCGGAAGGGGAATATTACCGCATGGTGGGTAAGGGAGATTAGATACGTACGGGGTTAGAGATGACGAGGATGTTGGCATTGGGAGAAGCTTCAGCAGCAGCCTTGGCCAAGTCACGGACGATGGAGGCGTTGGTGTTGAATAGATCTAACAAGGCCGAGGAGCGGTCAATATCAACATTTGTATCAGAAGGAAGTAGTGGTTCCTGTTGTCGTTGTGCTGAGGAAATATCATACCGTCACGGGTCATGCCAGGCTTGCGAGGAACACCAGCGGGGATGAGGACGATTTCAGCATCCTTCAGGGCCTCCCGAAGACCAGAGGGAGTAGGGTCATAGCCGGTAACGGTGCTGTTTGTGTTGATGTGGCTAAGATCCGCGGCAACACCTAGACAGACGCAAACAAAAAAGTAAGACAAAAGCACATCAGCACGTGTTTCCATTCAATGTTTTGCCATGGATTGGGTTATGATCTTATGAAATCCCCAGCATTGAATTTTCTCCTTTATAGAGCCAATTGGGTGGTGTTTGGTGTTCAGTCATACCTGGTCCTCCCCGGATATCGTACAGAGCAAGCTGGGTAACGCGAGGATTAAGTTTCATCAACAGCGACAATGGCTGGCCAATGCCACCAGCAGCACCGAGGACAGTGACTTTAGAAGACTATTTTAACCAGAAAAACAGGTTGTTAGCATCGAGTTCTTTCCTGAGACTCCAGCGTGGATATAGTAGACAGGCGATTTACCTGTTGCGCAGAGACGGAGAAAGCTCGGCGCTGGGCAAAGCCAAAAGCTCTTCGTGCGGCAAACATTGTGGCTGTAGGGTAGGAAATATAGGATATTAAGAACGAAGAAGGCGATTGAGGCGGGGGTGGGTAGAAGCAGGAAGCAAGAAGCAAGAAGCGGTGGAGTTGGAGACGTGTGAAGTAAAGATGAAGCTGAAGCTGGCGTTGAAGATAAAAGAAAAATGTTGCAGAAAAGTTGCCGGGACTGCGGCTGCATCGGCAGGTGGATTAGGTAAGCAGCAACGTTTCCTCGGCCGGATTGGGAAAGAGTCAGGACACAGGAGCATTGCATCTATAGATATATATATATCTATACCTATATAGCTATCTATATCCAGCGTGTCAAAAGCTATATATTACCCTGTGAGTTCCCCACACTGTTCATGTGAGAGTCTCATAGTTATGTTTATGTCTCTTACAACCACTGCTTCCAATACACGCATTCCCCAATCACTGGCCTTGTCAACCAACGACATCCTACACTCGATTCTAAAGAAAACGTTACCCTCTGGCACAGGGCACAGGTTCATTCGAACATCCTCTCAGCGAGGGGATCAAGCTAAATATTGAGCTCTACCTTGAAACCATGCTCACTCTCCCCTGCGTTCGGGGTATTATCCTGCGAAAGCTCTACACCTGGCCACGATGTCTAGGGTGATCTGCTTCTGATCCCAGGCAGGGCTTTTGATGAAAACCCGGCAGAAGCTATTCACCCTTGTTCGTTGTGCATGCATGATAAAGCCCCTGTTCTGGTGTGCTTGGTTCGGAGCAGTAGAAATCCCCTACTAGGCCCTCGAGCTCTATCTAATACATCGTGACGTCCTTTGTCTGTTCAAGAAGCTCGACGTGGTATATTTCTACAAAAAGGTATTTGCCAGGCAGAGATTCAAAACTATTAACTAGGCATATGAACGCCTGCAAGTTTAGATTCGCTATACCGTTTCCCCGAAGAATATTGGCAGCTATTCTCTCTTATTTGAGTTCGTAATGAATTTCCGCCGAGACAACATCACTCAGATATATCCCCGAATCCAACTAAACCCAGCACAGGACAACAACACAAGGCACGAAAAGAAAATAAAAAAATATGCCTCAACAGCCATACGAAGTACTGCACGGAAAACCCAAGCCTTCTTTCCCCCCTTTTCGCAACACTCCGTAAAACAATCGTTCATCGGATGCGTCGATCTCCAGCACTCCATGTCATTGGCGGTATGGTAGTACTTGTATCCATGTTGGGAACTGTCCCTTTCCATTGCTGGGAGAGCCCTTGTAGCAGAAGTAGCAGGACGAGTCGGATGAGTCGGCGATGACGCTGGCGCTGAGAGTCAGGAGAGCCAGGGTTGTGGGATTGCGACGAGCATTGTTGGAGGTTTGGTGGATATTTCTTATTTTTATTGATTTAATTGAACTGGGTGATGGAGGGAAGCTTTTGAAGTGGGTTTTCTTGTTGTTTTCTTCTTTTTTTCTAGCGGTGTTGGCTGGGAATGGAGGCCCTGTTGCCGTCGTCATTTCAGGGGGTTTACTGGGTAAAAGTACTGTATAGGGGACTGGGGAACGCATCCTCCAGAATGGACCGCAAGGTGTATTCTGAGTTGCGCTCGTCCAAATCTCCCGGGATCGCCAGTGAAAATTCGAAAAGATACATGGTTAGGATAGAGGAGATATGGGGATTCATCTGGGTCCGTCTCCTTTGGGCGTACTAGCCATTAGTATAGCAAGGGAAGTAGGCAAGGGCGGAAGCATCTGAGCAAAGACGCGAAATGCAAAAAGTGACTGATAACTACATGCGTTACATTACCCATGCCGAGTACCAAACTAAACCGCAAAAATAGGAAAAAATAGAAATAGAGAGCATCAGAAAATCACAACGTAGACAAAGCCTTCAAACCATCCACTGATACCCGATCCATGGACGTATACATACACATACATACATACATACATACATATATGAATCTTAGAAAAATAAAAAGCAACAAACCAGCAAAAATCCCCCTTCACGTCAAAAAATGCAGAACCGCCCAACAAAACAAGAAAAAAACAACAACCCCTCCCCAAAATATCCATTTATCCTGCTTCGCCCGCCGCTCAATCGTCCGTATCGTATCCCCGCTTACCCCGAGCGTATTCCCAACGCTATATAACCGCCGCTGCGTCCCCTTGAGTATCTCCCGCTGCTGCCCGAGGTCACCCAGCACCGCCCGGCCCCTGTCGAGAAACTCGTCTAGCTGTATGTTGGTGTTGGAAAAGAAGGATTGTTCGCGTAGGACTTGGTCTTCGCGTGCGTAGTTTGTTGGGCCGCCGCCGAAGCCGCTGGTACTCGGCGAGGAGCGGTGGTGCGGGTAGTTTGGGTTGGAGAAGGGGGAGGATTGGGGGAGGTTGGATTGGGCGTAGGGGTTTTCGGGGGTAGCTGCGTGGTGGGGGCGGCGGCCGAGGAGTTCGTTGCGGTTTGATATGGATTGCTGTTTGTTGGTTGAGTTGGTTAGTTGAGTTGATAGGATGTAAGTGCGCAGTACTGTTTAATATTATATTGATGGATAGATGGGTGGATATATATCCACAGTTTAGTACGTACAGCATCCTCGCGCTCTTTCCTTAGCCGGTCGAACAATTGCCTGTAATCTGCCAGCTCGGTGCGGAAGTTCTTCAACCGTTCGAAGGCCAGTTCCTGCTTGGCCGGGATGAGTTCTTGTTTGGAGAGAGAGGAGTAGTCGTCGATTGTGCGGGAGAAAGACGTGAGGGAGGCGGATATTTGGCCTGATCCACAGGCAGTATATAGTCAGTACGTTGGATATTCATGGAGGGAGAGGTAAGGCTTTGTCCGAACCTTGCACGGCGGGGGATGTTGTTGTAGGAGCTTCGGCAAAGGCCTCCAGATCGCGGCGGAGCGCAGAGGACTGCTTTAGCGCCGCGTTGAATAACGAGTTCTGAAATATATTAAAAAAATATGAGTTTCTAAGAGTAAATAAATGAGGAAATTTGAGATACAACGGGATACTGACCATGGTGCTTGAAATCGTAGATAGGGGACGATACTAGATAACTAGAAGCTCTGTGCGGTATATTTATGAGGTGTTGGCGGCAAAATCGGGAGGTGAATCCAAGGACAAATGAAGGTATGGGGTTTGCTAGAGTAGTCTCAATTGAGCTGATGGGTGTTCATGACAGTGGCCAAGATGGTATATGATAGAAGGGGCAATCTGCGTAAATGAGCCTGTCCATAGTCACAATGTGGTTTTTCTGATCTGCAAACTGTCCACTTGCATCATCGCCAAAACAATGGAATTAATATTCTGACCCTCTTCACCGCTTTCATATCTTTATGTCGAACGGGGCAACTCCTGGCCTTGACTTTGGACATCTCGAGGAAAGATAACTCCAATGAACCTCTCGGTCTACAATTTGGGTTGACTTCCATGCCCCTATTATTTCCGTCTTCCTCTTTCTAAACTACCAGCGCTTCAGAAAATGCCTGGTCGATGAGATACAAGCTCTCAGAATTCCAATAAAAAAATACAGCTACAATCAGATTTCCCCCTTTCAATATGTGATGGGACATAACGATAAATATATTAAACAAGTAACGGCCATAAATATACAAGTGTATGTACATGTATACGCATGTGCATCCGAGGCCTTTTGTCTAAATATTCCCCCCCTTTTCTGGGACTGGGTAACCAATTGATACACATGCATTTTATCTGGAGCCAAAGTGAAAGCAATACATGCAGCAATGATAACAGGAAATCACCCAGATGGTACAACTCATTGTTTAGGAAAGGAAATGTTTGGAAGAAAGAATTAGAAGAAGGCAAACCACAATAACGAAGTCAGTGATCCAAATCCCCAAACCCTCCTTGCCTGTACTAACTCCAGTACATGAAAAGAAAGCAGAAAGAAGACGAAATAGAAGCGATCGGGCAAGATAGGAGATATTTGTGCATATGGGTAATACGTGCTTCAAGACGGCTGATATAGGCCAAAAAGCCGCGCATTTCACTTTGGTGGATACTTATTCTGCAAGAACCATCTACACAAACAACTCCAGTCAGCACGACTCAAAGACGGGGAAAAGAAAACTAAGAAATTGAAAGTCAAAAACATAAAAGACTCACTTGCTAACAAAATAATCCACAGCCCCAACCGCACCCACCGCACCAGACCAAACTCCCACAACGCGCCACGTCAACGAACCCTGAGCATGCTTCTGATATGCGCCAAACCCCAGCCCAGCACCCGCAACAGCGATCAACAACGCATTTCCCAAAACGACCGGATTCGACTTGTTACGGGCGAGACACGACTTGGCTGCGACTGCTTTGTTCTTCGTTGCTTTCGCTTTCCCCTTGGAGTGTCTTGCTGCGTGACGCTTGGCTTCTGTTTCGGCTTCTTCGCGCCGCTTTTTCTCCTCGTGCTCGCGCTCGATGCGCTCGGCTTGGGTGTTTGTCTTTACGCGCTGGGATTCGTAGGTGGGGGGAACGGAGGAGACATGCGGGGAGTCGACGTCGATTAGGGAGGTTGTTGCTGGCTCTGCTTCGGTGACTTCGACTTGACGGGGTTGGGGGGCGGCGCTGATTTTGCGGGTATTGGGTTAGTTGGATGTATATATTTTGTTTTTTTTTTTTGTGGTAGGTTGGTTCAGGTGGGTTCATATCGTGTGAGAAGTGTGTTTAAGTTAACTTACGCCTATCTAGTTGTTAGTATATATATATCTATATATGTGCATGCATGAAGGAGTAGACCACTGTCGTTAGCAGATGAATGACGTACCTCTTCGGGAGATTGTCGAGCACCGTGCGAGACTGCTTTCGCGTAAGACATCTTCGAGGTTGTAGTATCCAGTTTGTCGTTTAAAAGTGATGAGCGTGATGAGGGAGGTACTGGATGCCTTCGAGATCGGGGAATTTGTATAAATAGGCAGGGAGCTATTAGGTTTATTGTCAGCTGTCTGTGTGACTTGGAGGGAAAGATGAGCTATATAGCTGCTGATATAGGTATGTGGCTTAAGTCGGATGAGAGATGACAGCAGTCCTGTTTCGTACCTGGCAGATGGGATAGTAGGGATCAGGGGTAAACCTGGTGGGAGAGGAGAGGGTAGGATGTACTTATTCAAAATGACGATGAATCCGGAATATGTCTCTGCCCATGTGACTTTGACTGACTTCGAACTTTGAGTGTGACTATGCTATGAGAGGGGATGGGGGGTCTTTGATAGGCATGAGGATGCTGAGGGGAGAAATTGATGAGCAAAGTAGGACCTACGTACCCAAGGTATATATCCTGCAGTCTTTGTAGCAGATGTACTTCCTCAGAGCTGCTATTTTGCATTTTGATGAATTATCTCTCGTTACGGCTTCCATGGAAAGGAGAGGAGTGTCATGACGTCATGGTCACGGGCTGTTAAAAACTGCGAAAAAATCACCACCCGGAAAAAATATTATGTCATGGGTTCAGTGGATACACAATTGCGGATACTGCCAGTTTGTAGCTGTATGGGCGATGACGAACGGACGGTAAATATATTTCCACAAGCACATGCGTCACAATCATGTACTGTACACACCTCAAATGAGAATGATGGGCTGTTGATTCACGCTATTGCAAATATAACAGATATGCGAAATTAGTGGACGAGAGTAGGAGGGGTGGGAATTGAAGCTATTACTTTTATATTCGTAGAATGAAAAGTTTTGACAGGGTAGATACGCGACTTGGATTTTCTAAAGAACTGAGTAACTTAGGTATTTGGGGGTAGAAGAATTCTTTTCGCTGCATACTGTAAATAGTGGCACAAAGGTAGATCGGGAGATAACTAGGGAGGTATGGTGGGGGAAAAAAGGGGAAGGTAGAGGAAAGAACTGAAAATAATGAAAGAACGCAAGGGGAAAGGATAGGTAGGGGAAATATGGTCAAGAATACATTTTTGGTACACGCTGGAATTCCAGATAAGAGGTATGGAGCGTTGTTTCGGTTGTTGTAAGAGAAAGGGGGAAGAGAAACAAGTTTTCTGTGCTGTGTCCACTCGTGACAGATCAGCTACCCACTTCAATCATTGAACTTGAGTCGCTAGCCAAATTTCTAAAAAATTAAAATAAAAAGAGGGGTAAGTGGGATTTATTTGTTTAGAGAAGTAGCTCGAGCGGGTTCTCCACAATATTCTTCAGCTCCCTCATGAACTCAGCTCCCACCACCCCGTCAACAACCTTATGGTCGAAGCTGCCAGTCACCACAATCTGGTCATCCCATTTCACAGACGCGGCGCTGCCCTCGTCCTCACCCTCCACGGGCACTGCTACCTTGCGCGTCGTACCCACGGCTAGAATTGCGGCTTGCGGCGGGTTGATGACGGCGGTGAAACGCTCAACGGCGGGATTCATACCCATGTTGCTAATCGTGAAGGTGCCGCCGAGGTATTCCTCGGGCATCAACTTGTTCTCGCGCGCGCGCTTGCTTAGGTCTTTGATTTGGCTGGAGATGCTGGATAGGCCGAGGGTCTCGACGCTCTTGACGATGGGTGTGACGAGGCCGACGGGCGTTGCAACCGCGACGCTGATGTCTGCCGTCTTGTGCTGGCGGATGGTCACCTGGCCGTTTTCCTCGATCCAGCGCGAGTTTACGGCAGGCACTTTTAAGAGAGCGGCCGCACAGGCTTTGACGAGGAAGTCGTTGACGGATAGCTTGTATTTACCATCCGCGGAGGCATTGAGGGCCTTGCGCAGCTTGAGAAGTTTGCTAACGGAAAGGGTTGATGTTACGAAGTAGTGTGGGCTTTCTCTGACGGATTGAACAAGACGGTTTGCAATGGTTTTGCGCATGGACGTGGCAGGGATATCTTCATAAGCTGGACCGGCCGCAGCAGCGCCGCTGGGCTGATATTTCTCGATATCTTGTTTTGTAACTCGCCCACCAGGACCAGTACCCTTGACATCCTTGAGCGGCACGCCCCGCTCCAAAGCTAGAGCCTTCACTGCGGGAGCAATAAATGGCACTCTGTCAAGACTTGATTGTAATCTCTCACCAGTCGACTCTGGTTCCTGAGCTACAGGTTTCGATTCTTCGGTTGTGGGGGCGGGTTTGGATTCGGGTTCCTTTGGTTGTGCTGGTTCATTCTCCGCAGCTGGTGCTTTCTCACCACCAGCGTCTCCTAGCGAGAAGGACTCGAAAGATGAAATATCAGTCCCCTCTTCGACCATGACGGCAATCGGCTGTGGAGAATATTAGTTTCCGGATATAATGTCTACCCCGAGGTGAAAGAGAAACAAAGGAAAGATATTGCGCTCTTGCATAATATCACAAAAACACACTTACATTACCAACCGCAACATCTCTCTCACCGGCTTCCTTCAGAATTTTTGCCAAAACCCCTTCTTCTTGAAATTCGAAATCCATCTGGGCTTTGTCTGTTTCGATCTCCACTAGTACATCACCGGGAGCAAGGACGTCTCCAACCTTTTTCTGCCACGCCCCGATATTACCCGCAGTCATTGTTGGGGATAGCGCAGGCATGCTAATAATTGTATGTGGGGGGTAGGCTGATACAGAAAACACAAGAAATCCATATTAGTAACAATAATCCAATGGAAATTTGCGATCAATATATATACATATATATATATGATTTCGTCACGCTGGCTTACATTTGGAGGCATAGTATCTGGCAAGGGCCGCATAGGCCGGTAATTGTGGTCTATAACGGGGAGAGAAGCGAACAATCAGAAACCAGTTCAAGGCACACAATCATAATTGATAGGCACTGGAACATACCGGACAGCATCGCGGAGGCGATACAGATGCCGTGATTCCCGTATACCGGTGGATGCGGTTCTGGACAATAAAGAGCGGCAAGAAGCAGACCGCGACATGACGGTGGCAGCCATCTTGAGCTATGGAAAAGGGAGGGCAGCGAAGAGGGCAATTGAGCGCCCCAGAGTCACAATGGAATGAGGAACGAGGTTAAGAATCTCGTGGCACAGAGATACAGAGAGAGCGAGTGAGCGTGGGTGTTGGGGTGGGTGTAGTCAGCAACGGCGGTGGTGCGTTTTGTTGAGCTTGAGCTTCCGCCAGGGTCCACAAGGGGTTTAGTGTGGCTCGGCGTTCCTTCGACCACCGCAGTTACAAGAACGGCTAGACTGGAACGACACATAAACAGAGGTAAGGGGCCCCTACTACTAAATTAGGATTAGCTTCTTCCTTTAACTACCTACACTCAGGAATAGCGCTTGTGGTGCCCCAGATTAGTCAGTATGGCTGCTGAGTAATAAACCACGTGATCGCAGAACCAGGGCTCTCGGCGCTGCTATCTGGCTCCATTTCGCTGGCTGTGCATAGTTCGCGTCGTGACTTTTCATGCTTTTTATGCTTCCCCATATACCCTGTGTTGTTTTGTCTCTCCTGACTTCCTGCTTTATTCTCCAGTTTTCGATGTGGACGGTTATCTTGGTGGCGTGCAACCCCCCTATGCTCGCTTGTCCTCTCAATGGCTGAGCTCGATTATGTTCCTCCTGCGGCTTCGGCGGAGTCTGTCCAGGTAGGCAGCGGCCTGCAAGACGACGAACACGAACTGCCCCCAAGGACAAGCTCCCCGCCATTGTCGTCCGCTAGCAATGGAGAGGGAAACTTCTCCGCTAATAATAAAAACGAAGTAAATATGGATGTTTCCCCGACCGCCACCTCTCCCGACCCTGAGTCCGTTCGGCAGCAGGATAAGGATCCCCACCTCTCGACAGCTGGCAGTCCCGAGCGGACGCAAGCGTTTAGCGATACTGAGAAAATAGATGCAGAAGAACCGAGTTCAGATAATGTGGACAACGCTTCCGAGGGCCAGGAAGGCGTTGAGGGTTCTGTACATAAGGTCGAGCTGGAGGAAGTCAAATCTCCATCAACTGAGGATGGTGGCCCAACAGGTCCGTTCCACGCGCGAGCAGGCACGCCTGATGTAAGAACACGTTCGGACTCGAGGTCCACCGTTGCGACTCAGAATACGCAACGATCCACGCCAATTAGCTCCGCCGTGTTCATTCTAACTGCTCTCGATACAATCGGGTCTTCAAAGGAGGCACGGCGGAGTACGGAGTTGGAAGATGCTGTGACCAAAGCCCGTGCGAACATCAAGCAATCCGACGAACGACCTATTGATCCGGAAGTCATCTTTGCCCCGTTACAGCTGGCTACGAAGACGTTTAGCATACCTTTACAGGTGACAGCCCTTGACTGCATCGGCAAACTCATCACCTATTCTTATTTCGCGTTCCCGCCGACCCCGGCCGCCGAAAATCCACAAACTGCCCCCAACCGGCTTCCGCTCATAGAACGGGCTATCGAAACAATTTGTTCGTGTTTTGAGAATGAATCTACCCCACCTGAAATACAACAGCAGATCATTAAGTCCCTCCTCGCCGCGGTACTGAATGACAAAATTGTCGTCCACGGAGCTGGTCTCCTAAAGGCCGTTAGACAGATATATAATATCTTCATATATTCCAAATCTAGTCAAAACCAGCAAGTTGCCCAAGGGTCACTCACCCAGATGGTAGGCACTGTGTATGATAGAGTCCGCATTCGTCTGGATCTTAAGGAGGCTCGGATCCGTGATAGGGAAGATCAAGATGATTCCTCCCCGGCGCCCGACGCAATCAGCCAGGCCAATGGTGGTTCGCCAAACGAGCAAGATGCGTCGTCTGAAGCTTCCCAGCCTGTTCCTGACCAACCCGTCGCCAAAGATTTGACAGAGAAGCTCACCCTGCAGAGCTTTGAGACAAATAAGGATGCTCTTCTGGTCAACGATAATGCTCCAACGATGGTTACGCGCGCAAAAGTCAGCAGGAAGCAAGCCAGGTCCGTATCTGGCGAGGAAGGGGACTCTTTCGCCGACGATGACGTAGACGAAATATATGTGAAAGACGCCTTCCTCGTTTTCCGCGCATTGTGCAAACTCAGTCATAAAATCCTTTCTCATGAACAGCAGCAGGATATTAAGTCTCAGAATATGAGATCTAAGTTGCTTTCCTTACACTTAATTCAACATCTTCTCAGCAACCATATCGCCGTTTTTACCTCCCCCCTCTCCACCTTGAAACACAGTAGCACTTCCGCCGACTCTATGACGCTTTTAGAAGCCATCAAACCGCATCTTTGTCTAAGTCTGAGCAGAAATGGAGCCAGTTCTGTCCCGCGCGTTTTTGAAGTTGGTTGCGAGATATTTTGGCTCATGCTCAAATATATGAGAGTTATGCTCAAGGTCAGTGCTTTAACACACTTCGCCTTGGGTATTTTCTAATTAAATTCCTAACAATATCCACAGAAAGAAATTGAGGTCTTCCTCAAAGAAATCTACCTCGCCATTTTGGAAAAGCGAAGTTCTCCAATGTTTCAAAAACTGTATTTTATGGATATTCTCGAAAGGCTCTCCGCTGATCCAAGAGCGCTGGTGGAAATTTATTTAAATTACGACTGCGATCGCACTGCTTTAGAAAATATATTTCAAGGGTATGTCAATATTGGACTCTGATAAAAGCAAGCTGTTGCTAAATTAACGGAAAATAGCATTATCGAGCATTTATCGAGACAGTCTAGTGCCCCTGTGACAGTCACGGCGATACAGGAGCAACAATATCAGGAACACAACAAAACTACACCTAATAATAATGATTGGCATCAAAAAGGGACACTTCCACCCTCTCTCTCTACTGCCAAAATGAGCACTGGAACACCCGCGGGTACACAAAATATCCCCCCAGAATACATCATGAAACAACGGGCGCTTGAATGTCTAGTGCAAATTTTACGGTCATTGGATATTTGGTCATCTCGGAAGCTCGAAGAACAAAACCCTATCGGTCGCGAGGTCCAATCTAGATCCTCCATAGGAGGCTCCAGGGAATCTCTAGACACAAGCTCTATCTTACCTGCGACTTCCCCTAATCCTGAGAACGGAGAATTTACACTAAGTCATTCTGCCCCTATATTAGATGACGATCCCAATCAGATAGAGAAAGTAAAGCAACGGAAAATTGCCCTTACAAATGCTATCAAGCAATTTAATTTCAAACCTAAAAGAGGAATCAAGGTCTTACTCTTGGAAGGATTCATCCCATCCAACTCCCCTGTCGATATCGCGAACTTCCTTATTCGAAATGACCGATTAGATAAAACAATGCTTGGAGAGTATCTCGGCGAGGGCGATCCGGAAAATATTGCCATTATGCACGCATTTGTTGATTGTATGGATTTCAAGAAACGACGGTTCGTGGATGCCCTCCGGCAATTCTTGCAGAGCTTCCGACTGCCTGGCGAGTCGCAGAAAATTGACCGGTTCATGCTTAAATTTGCTGAACGCTATTTAACCGGCAATCCCAATGCCTTTGCCACTGCTGATGCTGCCTACGTCCTTGCCTATTCAGTCATCTTGCTAAATACAGATCTTCATAGCGTCAAGATGAAGGGGCGACGAATGACCAAACAGGATTTCATCAACAACAATCGTGGGATCAATGACAATAGCGACCTTCCCGAGGAGTACCTCTCGGGTATTTATGACGAAATCGCTAATAATGAGATCGTGCTTAATACAGAGAGGGAGAATGCTGCTAATCTGGGTATTCCAACGCAACCACAACCGGGACTAGCTACTAGGGCAGGGCAGGTTTTGGCAACGGTTGGCCGAGATGTGCAGGGTGAGCGCTATGCGCAAGCATCGGAGGAGATTGCCAACAAAACGGAACAACTTTATCGGAGTTTGATCCGAGCGCAACGAAAGTCTGCAATCAAAGAGGCTCTCTCGCGCTTCATCCCCGCAACCTCGGCGCGGCATGTTGGGTCCATGTTCAATGTAACTTGGATGTCCTTCCTTTCTGGTCTTTCAGCGCATGTCCAGGACACTCAACAATTGGACACGATACGCCTCTGTATGGAGGGAATTCGTTTGTCTATCCGCATTGCTTGCCAATTCGACCTGGAAACTCCTCGCGTTGCCTTCGTTACCGTGCTGGCGAAATTTACAAATCTAGGCAACCTTAGAGAAATGATGGCTAAAAATGTGGAAGCGTTGAAGGTGTTGCTTGACGTCGCCATCACTGAGGGCAACCACTTGAAGGAATCTTGGCGAGAAATCTTGACTTGTATAAGTCAACTTGACAGATTCCAACTCCTAACCGACGGCGTGGATGAGGGGGCGTTGCCTGATGTGTCGATGGCTAGGCTTACTCCACCGTCTACCGCAGATGCATCGCGTGCCAGAAAGTATTCTCAAGCATCCCGGCGACCACGACCCCGCTCTATCCATCATGCAAATGCACCCTACCGTGCAGAGGTGGCTATGGAAAGTCGCTCGACAGAGATGATTCGCGGCGTTGACAGAATATTCACGAACACTGCCAACCTCTCCAACGATGCCATTGTAGACTTTGTTCGCGCGCTTAGCCACGTGAGCTGGCAAGAAATCCAATCTTCTGGCCAAAGTGACTCGCCTCGTACTTACAGCCTCCAGAAAGTTGTTGAGATCAGTTACTACAACATGACTCGAGTCAGGATCGAATGGAGCAGGATCTGGGATATTCTAGGCGATCACTTCAACCAGGTTGGCTGCCATACCAATACAGCCGTCGTATTCTTTGCCCTCGACTCCCTCCGCCAGCTTTCCATGCGGTTCATGGAATTGGGAGAACTACCCGGATTCCAATTCCAGAAAGATTTCTTGAAACCCTTTGAGCATGTCATGGCCCACAGTACGGCGGTTACTGTTAAGGATATGGTACTTCGCTGTCTTATTCAGATGATTCAAGCTCGTGGCGATAATATTCGGTCTGGGTGGAAAACTATGTTTGGTGTTTTCAGTGTTGCTGCGCGAGAGCCCTATGGTATGTTCCAAAATGCGTTAAAAGGGGCGACTTAGGCTTCTTAAAACAGCTTCTAACCATTGTGTACAGAAGGAATTGTTAGCATGGCGTTTGAGCATGTTCTGCAGGTTTACACAACTCGTTTTGGCGTTATCATCACCCAAGGCGCCTTTGCAGACCTCATTGTGTGTCTCACAGAGTTCTCGAAAAATCTGAAGTTCCAGAAAAAGTCACTTCAGGCAATTGAAACGTTGAAATCGACCGTTCCTAAAATGCTCAAGACTCCAGAATGCCCTTTGTATCAGCGTCGCCCTGGGCAAGGAGAAGATGGTCTACCAACTGCTCCACTGCAACCGAGTCGACAATCGGCAGAGGAGCAATTCTGGTACCCTGTCTTGATTGCTTTCCAAGACGTACTGATGACCGGCGATGATCTTGAAGTTCGATCAAGGTAAGAGAATATCAAAATATTCGGTTTATATTGTATTTTTGTTTGCTAATGTGTGACAATCATAGGGCATTAAATTATCTCTTCGAGACTCTAATTCGATATGGAGGAGATTTCCCTCCTGAATTCTGGGATATCCTTTGGAGACAACTGTTATATCCTATCTTCATTGTCCTCCAGTCGAAATCGGAAATGTCCAAAGTGCCGAATCATGAAGAGTTGTCCGTCTGGCTGTCAACCACAATGATCCAAGCGCTACGTAATATGATTACTCTGTTCACGCATTACTTCGACTCCCTCGAGTATATGTTAGATCGATTTTTGGAGCTACTCACGCTGTGTATATGCCAAGAGAACGACACGATCGCGCGAATTGGTAGCAATTGTTTGCAACAACTTATCTTGCAGAACGTCTCCAAATTCCAACAGAAGCATTGGACCAAAATTGTGGGCGCTTTCGTGGAATTATTTGAGAAGACCACTGCCTACGAGCTATTTACTGCTGCAGCCACCACAGCGCCTATCAAGGAACCAGAGACCCCAAAGCGCACTGCTGAAAGTGCTACTATCGTAGAATCTGCTGACGGAACTTCTCAGGGAGGGCTTTCGCCGACTTCTACACCTACGAAAGTTAATGGAAAAAGGTCTTTTGATGAGGAAAGTCATGACGCAGAGGATAGCCAATCGAGCGCTAGCCATCCACCCCCAGCTGCATCTTCTGAACTTGAAGATTACCGTCCTCAATCCCAAATGGGGCAACCTCCTGCAGTAGTAACGGTTGCACGGCGACGATTCTTCAACGGTATTATCACCAACTGCGTGCTGCAGTTACTAATGATTGAAACCGTCCACGAGCTCTTCTCGAATGATGCCGTCTACGCACAAATACCAAGTCAGGAGCTTCTGCGGCTCATGGGGCTCTTAAAGAAGAGTTACCAATTCGCGAAGAAGTTCAACGAAGCCAAGGATCTTAGAGTGCAGCTGTGGCGACAGGGATTCATGAAACAGCCTCCCAATCTCCTCAAGCAGGAGAGCGGAAGCGCAGCTACATATGTCAATATTCTCTTCCGCATGTACCATGATGAGGGCGATGAAAGGAAGAACAGCAGAGCCGAAACTGAGGCTGCACTTATCCCGTGAGTCTTTCTTTTCCCTTTCCTTTTCCGTTTTCGCACTCCAGCTCCAATATGGAAGTACAATATTTCCGAACGCTAACATGGTGTTTGTACTTTAGTCTATGCGCGGATATCATTCGCGGTTACGCTCATCTGGACGAAGAAACTCAACAGCGCAACATCGTGGCGTGGCGACCAGTCGTTGTGGACGTTATGGAAGGGTACACCGGTGTGCCCCGAGAGACGTTCGAAAAACACATTGAAACTTTCTACCCGATCTGCATTGATTTGCTCGGCCGCGACCTCAACAACGACATCCGCCTTGCCTTATATTCCTTCCTCCGCCGGGTAGGAGAGTGCCGCCTCGGGATGCCTGCGTACATCCCTCAGGAAACGCCCTCCAGCCCACGGAGTTCTACTTCTCAACACCATTTCAATGGTAGCAGGCGACGCAGTAAAGGGCGTTGAATGAAAAGCTATCTATCGACTTTTACAAGCACACTCTGTTTCTACTTACGTTTTTACTACCTACTTGTTTGTTTTTTTCGTTTTCTTTTTCATCTGATGGATTTTGTCTACCCGACGCCCTCTTTTGCCCTGTACACCTACCTAGACTTCCTTGGTTTGATCATGTTTTTGTTTATTATTTAGTTATTCTCCTCTGTGGTCAATGCGCTTGGCGTTTTTTTTTATCTAGATTTCGCGCGTTTTCATATATGTATACCTCTCTATTTATATAATCGATTGCCTGCTCTTGCCGTTGTCGGTTTTGGCTGAAATGATGATCGTTGGATCATGAACAAGGCCCATAAAAATTTCAATTCTCCAACACCATATAATATGAACATGCTAATTTAGTTTATACTCTTACATGCTTCAGTCCATAAGAGATCGCCATTACCATGCTTAGGCTTGCCGCACATTATTGCAAACAATTAGGAATTTGTATACGCACCGGTAAATGTGCATTAGCATACAATCACTTCCACTCGCACCTATCCAGCCAATACAATAACAATTTATACATTCGGAGGGAAAGCTCCCTATCAACAGCTAAAGCCCATACTCCCGTCAAAGGCAGTCAAGCTGGCTTTTTCTCCCAGGCGCACTTGTTCGAACGTCGGCACCTTGTCTGAGGGATAGTAGCCAAGCAGAGTCTCGATATCGTCCTCGTCCATCTCTACGAGTTCTTCTAGGCTCCACATTTCGCATATCCGTGATATCCTATGCAGCTATCAGATGGAAAGGGAACGATGGACATAAAATCACAAACATGGAGAAGAGAGGTTGGGGGGAAAGGGGGTGTCTGAACCATGAACGCAAAACAAGTTGGACGTGACTGACCATTTCATTCTCTTGGGCCCATCTTTGTGTGAAGAAGCGATCTCTCTAAGCCTCCTCCGCAACTTGCCAACGTTTTCAATCGCCGCCCCTGTGTTCCTTGGCAATGTCCGCGCAATTTCCTTCCGCACCATACTGGCCAACTTCGGCCCGTTCCCATTTGTACTCACCATGATCTGCAAGGGCCCATCGCGGTGCACGCTTCCAAAGTAAAAGTCACACTCTGATGGTACATCGGCTATATTCGCGGGAATCCTGCGCTCCTTGCACAGCTTCCAGATCTGCGTCGACGCCTCTGGGTCATCGACGGCAACGAGCACCATGTCTACCACCCCAACACCATTATCATCGTCGGGATCAAGGTCGCGAGGCTCGAATTTGCGGTCGATGTGCGAGACTTGTTTCGAGGCGATGCGGTAGGAGACCTCATCGTTGAGACCTGAGGATGGGCTGATAACGGTTACCTTTGCATCGGCATTAAGCGCATGCACTATGCGGCCGGCTGCTACCTGTAGGCACTCTCATTAAAGCTGGGTTAGTTTGAAGGAAGGCCAATTAGAAATTTAGGATCTGATATAATTATGCAGCAGCGACGTACCTCACCACCACCAACCACTAGAATGTGCTTGTTCTTGACCTGCCATGCGACGATCAAGGAGCCGCCTGGTTGGATCTGCGGGAATTTAGAGGACGGCATAGCAGCAAGACATGTGGATGGGTATGCTTAGGAAGAGGAATCAAAGTAGATTATATTTATTTATACTTAGAATAAGAGCTAAAAAAGAGTTCAGTTGATGGTTATATGGAAGTTATTTAATTGTTGCTGAGAAATAAATAATAAATAATCTTGCCCGCGAATTCTCTTGGCTGGCGATAAGATTGATTGGCCTGGTCACATGCCACGCCTTAAATAAGTAACTACTAAATAAGCTAAATCTCGTCCGTATAAATTCCAAAATCCCCTTCGAAAATTCAACTCCGCCCCTCAGGCAACAGCAACACCCCCCTGGGCCACCATCACACCATCAGCAGGTCAAGATAAGAGTACCACAGTGGCTGCAAAGGATAACAGTTGATGTTGGATGCATTTGACTCCTTATTCTTCCATGACCGCTAACAGTTGACGCTTCTATTCCCCTCGCCCATAACACACCCTCATAGCCGCGATGCGCGGAGTCCAAATTTTCTCAGGCAGCTCGCACCCGGCCCTGACAGAGGCTATCTGTGAACGTCTGGGCACTCTCCCAGCCAAGTGCGAGCTCCGCAAATTCAGCAATGGAGAAACAAGCGTTAATATTGGCGTCTCTGTGCGGAACCAGGATGTTTTCATTGTTCAAAGCGGCAGCTCCAAGATCAACGACAGCGTTATGGAGCTGCTTATCATGATCTCCGCTTGTAAAGGTGGCTCTGCTAAATCTATTACTGGTATGTAGAAATACTTTTGACGCTTCTATTCGGATACAGCAGCTTGAGTTTGAAATACGTGTTGTCTCTAACCTTTTTTTTTTTTTGCCCTTACAGCGGTGATGCCGTAGGTTACACATCCTCTCCCAAGCCATAGCCAATTCTACTGACATGCCAGAGTTATTTCCCCTACTCCCGCCAATCAAAAAAGAAGAGCCATCGTGGCGCGATAACCGCTCGGATGCTTGCCAATTTGCTCACTGTCGCTGGTGTAGATCATATAATCACGGTAGATTTACATGTATGACGATCTACCCTTCAGGCAGATAAATATCCTCCTTTGTTTATTTATGGTTTGATAGCGCTAACGGGTCTGACCTCAGGCCTCTCAAATGCAAGGTTTCTTCGGAAACCCTGTCGATAACCTATTCGCTGAGCCCCTAATTGCGCGCTGGATCCGATTGAACGTGCCTCGCTGGAATGAAGCGGTTGTAGTTACCAAAAATGCGGGAGGAAGTAAAAGGGTAACGTCTTTGGCAGATGCGCTGAAGCTGAACTTTGGCATTGTAAACACGGACCGGAGACGGGGGAACATTACTGCAGGATTGTCAGGAAGCGCTATATTTTTCGCTTCTGTCGAACCCGGTCTTCCCACTTCGAAACATGAACAGGCCCCTGTTGAGTTGGCTGATAAGTCTGAACCGTCCGATCCCCTCCCCTCTTCAACCAGCGTTCCCATCCGACCTCCTCAACGTACTATATCTCCCAGCCCTTTAGCACAAACAACTTCGGCCGTCGAGTCTGCATCACCATCACCACCATCACCATCACCATCACACGCATCGCTCAATGTCCCTCAACAAATGGAATCATCATTTGCTGCCCGGCGTCCCTCCGAGCAAGAAGCCGCGTTTGAGTACACCGATGAGCGCGCGAGAGAGGTGATCACAGGCAGATTGGTGCAGGGCCATATTGTCGACGATGACTACTCTTCGCCAATCCTCTCGTCAACTTCTGTTAACACGCTCTCTGGGGATCGTACCGAATATGAACCACCTTCCCGTGATCCCATGACTTTGTCCTATATCTCCAACGCGTCGTCTTTCCAACCAGACCATGCTCTAGGAGGATCATTTGATGCTACTGTTTCCTCCGATGAGGAAGATAATAAACAAGAAATGTTCACCCGGGAGAGGACAGTCACCCTCGTTGGGGATGTCAGGGGCAAAACAGTCTTTATTGTAGATGACATGATTGATAAACCCGGTTCGTGGATCGCAGCTGCGGAGACGGTGGTGAAGAGAGGCGGAGCGAAAAAGGTCTACTGCATTGCAACACATGGATTGTTCAGTTATGATTCGTTGCAGGAGATGGAATCCTGCGACTGCATCGATTATATTGTGATCACCAACTCGTTCCCGATTCCCCCGAAAGCGAAGGAGTCGAGAAAGATGATCGTCCTTGATTTATCGGCACTCCTTGCAGAAAGCATAAGGCGTCACCACTACGGAGAGAGGTTTGTCTGATCCATTTATTTTTTGACATTTTGTAATATTATTATCGCTGACCAAGCATCAAACAGTATCTCCGCCTTGTTCCTAACTAATGACTAGCCATCGCGATTTTTCCGTATAATGTATGCATTCTTTATTCTACCTACCTTGCCCTAGTAGGTGTAGTATGTCGCTCTGGCGGCTTAAGCGAAAAAGGTCTCCGGGGCGTCAGCGTCAGAATTGCCCACAGAGTATAGACCTCCCTTGTCTTTCCTTTGAACTTCTAGCACTTCCAAAAACGCACCACCTTTTTTTTTCTTGGCGACATGATATGTGTCCGGAAGACGACTTTTCTCTGTTTTAAGCTACGGTAGAACCACACCTAAATGAAGTTATGTATGACTACTACTTACCTCCTCCAAGTTCACCTTGTTTTCACCGTCACGCCCGGCATGAACTCTACCATATGCTATTATCAGGGAAACCATCCTGCTTTGATACGCTACACCGTGTCCTGGTGATCTGATCAACGTTGCACTCGCGCTCTATCCCTTTCTCATCCAAGCGTTCTTGTTGCATTTGATTGGCCATCTCAACTGCTACGCCATTATACCAACTTCAGTTCCCATCGCACACACTTCCACTCCTATCCCGCTCCTGTTGCCGTCCTCTCTCGATCCTACATGCATACTGATTATTCTCTTTCCTGCGTAACATACCCTGGGCCCTATGCACAGCCACCTTGCTTATGTTTTCGAAGCAGAAGCTTAAAATGGAACCTTTTTCCCCCCCTTCAAGAGAACAACCATTTAACCAACGATGCAGAACCGTACTAGGGTACTGCAGGGACATCTGGAAAGAGGATTAACAGAGGGGAGGTTATTTATTTTTAAATAACCTTTGCTTTTTCCTTCTTTACCTTCACCACTAGGATTGTCCTTAACGGAGCGTTGGCAGATCAAAAATTCAAATCCTGAACCCATAGAAATATGGATTATGGGAAACGGGAGTTTACAGACACGGTCTCGGGCTTTTTCAGTTAGATTTGGTTTTTGTTTCTAGCTCCTGTTTTCTTTTTCCTTTTCTTTCCGTTTACTCTCTTCCGCTTCCCTACTCTATTCCATGTCTTTCGCGTTTCTTCCCCTTCCCTATCTCTTGGAATGTTTTATTTCCGTTCGTTTCTCTTCTTGGATTAACCCTGCTCATGTTCTGTGGGCCGGGGGTTGTTCTTGAGAGTGAGCTGTGATTGAATATGAAAGGAGAGGGGAAATAACAAAGGGGCGGGGGCGTGGTTGGTTTGGGGATGAGAGGCGAGCTGGGGAGGAGATGGAAGGAGAGAAAGAAGAGGAGTGGGAATGAATCCATATTCGTCTTTCTCCAGATGAGGAGGTCTGAATCGTGTCCTCCAGGCCTCTTGATGTCTTGTTTTTAGCTCCGACATTTGTCAGTAGTACTACTAGGTCTTTTTTTATTTTTACTAATTGATCGTATGTTTAACTGCCCCTGGTGTTAAGTTTTTCCGAGTGCACATAATGGGGAAATAGTTGATAGAAACATATCATTACCTCCTCGAACCATTGCGAAATCGGTGTTCCCACCATCCTGTTTAATGCTATCCATTAGTTTCTAGTCTACATTGTAGGGTTCTATAAACCAAGCATGACATCGAAGTTTTTGGATTAGGGATATCCCGTCACGAGGAATCAGCCTCAAGTGTCCGTACAATCGTCAATGGAACTATGTAATGTAGTTAGCTTCCAATCGATCGCACCTGTAGTAGCTATCACTTTCTGAATATGACTATTTTATTTTATGTTATTTTTGTTGTTTCTAAAGAGTGAGTGTCACTCCCTGTATATGGGATCGCGACCAACAAGCCAAACAGCAAACAACATTAGCTGCGAACCCTCGACGCTGGCCCTGGCGCTGCCTTCATCAGATGTATGAATACCAGATACAAGCTGCGCAACACAGTTGCAATATCCACTCATTCCATTTTTCAAGTAAACTAAACTCCAATCAGGCAAATAATGGTAGATGCACCGGGAGTTTCAATTTCTTCTGCTAATAAATAGTATTTGAGGGTAAACAGGCGTGGGGAAGCATGGAATGAATGACCTTTCAGAGGAACAGAGCTAATAACCATGTTCTTCATTTCCGAAAAATTTTCTCTATCATCATGCTTCATACGTTTTTAGCTATCTAGTTAGATTATTCTTCCTATGTATTGTTAAAAGGAGAGAGGGGAGCTAGAAAATCAGCTTTCAATTAACTTGCTATAGGGGGTAACCCAACACTAAAAATGATGCAGAAAATATCTCCCTAAGTTTCCTATCCCAACCCATCCCAAAAAAATAAATAATAAATAGACAGATAGATAAATAAATAAAATAAAAATATATTAATAGGTTAGATAAAACTGAAAAGCGAACCAAAAACAGAGGGAATACAATTGAAAAATAAGAATACGCAGTAAACAGACAGCACGACCGAAAAGTAGCAACACGCCAAAAACTGGATGAACAACCAATCTAGAACTTGGAACTATCCCTTTCTATAGCAAGGATCACACTTATTCTGGTGACAGAGTTTACACTGCCAGATTGCAAAAAAAGGACCGGACGTACAGTAGGAACAGTTCCAACTGAGGAGGCTCAGGTCACTCTGGATAATCGCCCATTGATGGGGACAGGTCGAATTAGCCATGATGAGTATTATTACTTTGTGATTGTCGGCAGGATGACGGAATGCACGACCCGAGGAGTCGGTTGTATTAAAAAGCAGTTCTGCGTCCACTGGCCAATTGGGCTTCCGAGTCGCTCAACGAACCGAATCGTTCCTTTGAGTTTTGCTAGATTACCGGTGGTGCGGTTTTCGGGACCAGCTTCGGCGGTCCAATAGGCCAGACTAGCCTTAGTTCGGTGGGTCGGCTTCAGGGCTCGGCACACGCTAACTCTTCAATCACCTCTGGGGATTTTCTCGCTGGGGACTTCGGGAGGAGCGCTGAAGGGGGATGGGATGGATGGTTGCTGTCAGTAGTGCAGTGCGCCACGAAACCCAAGGTTTAAGGTTGGTTGGGACTGACAAGGGGCGGGAGTTGGCAATGCGCAAGGGGAGCTTTTTTTCTTCGTTGAAGTTCTTGAAGGTGACCAGGCCTGTAAAGCGAAAGTAGGTAGTAAATGTTGTCGAAAGAGAGTCGATGATTTTTGATGGGATTTTTTTTTGGGCCAAGAACGATCGTTCGGGGTTATTTATAGTCGTGGCCAGAGAGATTCACAATGCACTCTGGCTCGTGGCAGTTGAATTAGTCTTCGATTGAGAGCCGTGAATGTCAATTGCAGCGTAGATGGGAGAATGCGGTCGTTTCGGAGAGTATAGTAGTGTAGAATTATTATAGTGGAAGTGATATCAGTTGGTTGTACATGTACAAACGGCGACTGTTTTCGATCGCGTTTCCCGAAACCAAGGCGATGGAACCTGCATGCAGACGCAGCAAAGGGATTCCTCTTTTCCCAGCAAGGGGTTCGAGCCGATGTCACCGGCCTCTGAGAAACGTTCTAGAAAAGGATAGGGAGGTCAACGATTGGTGAGGACAAGCGGCAGACCAAAACACAAGAAGGGATATCTATCTCTGGTGGTACACAGTAGAAATTGGTGCACAATCAACGAGTGCTCGGAAGGAGGCGGCGACAGAGTGAAGACAGACAGACAGACAGACAGACAGACAGACAGAGAGGAATATGAAAGGCGGAAAGAAAGGCGTCCGTAGATAGATATAGCGTCTGCTCAATTTTTTTGGCAGCTTGCCCGGCGCATATAATTTCTGCCTTAATGGGACAAGAGCCTGGCAGCAGCGCCATCCATGGTTGATCTCGCCCACAGGCTTTCTTAGCAGAATTGGCAGAGCCATCGGCCTCGGACGACGATGTCTGCAGCCCATGCCATGCCAAAAGCAAGAGCTCTAAAATAATAGTCAGCAAAAAAACCATGTCTTTCTTCAGAGGGAGCTGGTTGCAAGCTCACAATCAATAGTCTCGTGTTTCGAGCTTGGAGGTCCTTAGTGTGTGCGCCGCGGATGGAGCCAGAGGGTTCCTGATACGACATTTTGACCAGTCGCCTACGCTTCCTTGTTTTGCTTAGATTAGCATTATTCCTCACGACTATCGCAAACCGAGAGTCGCAGAATGAGAACCAGGGGGAAATGCCACAGTAGTCGCTTAGTGGTGGTTGCAATGGGAGGCAGAGGTTCGGAGAGCAGAAGACGAGATGGTGTTGAGAGCCGCCCATTTCTTCACATCGAGGTTGCCAATTCTCGCCGCGTTGAAACCGAGATACATACATAAGTGGGATTCCGATCAGGCGCGTTGCTGTCATCATGCAGATCTCATTCTAGTTCACTGTTTGCTTTTTCGAAGCTGCTCTTTGCTGCACCCAGTCCCCGACAGTCTGGCACGCATCGATGCTCACTGGGTGTTCTCCTCTACACGCGTCCTGGACATAATATGTCCACTACAAAACCCCTACCCGGTTTACCAATATATATAATATGCCTGATGGAGATAGGCCGCCGCTCGATTCTTGTATCATGCGGATACTCATCGGGGCTGCTCGGCTCTCAAGATCGACATAACAGAAAATTCCCAAGACGCATGCAACAGCTGAAAGGGGAAATAATATATGTCACATAAAAGGGAGGCTTCTCCCCAAGCCAAACGAAGACACGCTTTGGAGGAGCTGGAAATCCTCAACCTCCCAAGCCTTCTCAACTCCGTTCCTAGACTCGTGCAGCTCTGGGCACGCCGCCACAGGACCTCTACAAGTCATTATCTATACCCAAGCACGGAGCGGAGCAGCCTATCAATAATCGATCATGGCAACATCTGCCCCCGCTATCGCCGTGGTTTTTTGCAAAGGTCACCGCTACTTTTCTCATTGTTCTATTCTGAATCACAACAGAGTAAAGAGGAGTGAGGCAACTATGGACGTCGCCAACCATTTTCCAGATGCAGCATCATTCCTATGCCTGGCTAACTAGTCCCTAACCTGAGCAGGAACGATAATTGTGCTCCTGCCATATACATTTACATACATCAAAGCAGCGATATCTCCAGATTGTGCAGAGTTACAGGTACCCAGAGGCGATTTGGCTTCACTTGCCATTTTCGATCATGCTAAGGGTTCAAAATCGAAGTTGACCCTCATCGCAACGGGTCCACTACCTGCCAAGTCTTACGCTGGGCCTCTTAATGACGTCTGACTCGAAAAACACAGGCCTGACCACTAGGCCTCTAAGGAATGATGTTTTGAGATTATTTCACATAATTCGTAAATCCCTATTGGCAGCCTTGTCTCCTAGGAGGCCTATGCTCATCCCGACATTGCTTATCACAGGATGCTTTACACAATCATGACTGATTGCCAAGTTCTGGCTTGCCGGCTGGTAGGGGGTAGTGTGTTCTGAAGTTGTGAAAAAAAGCTGGAAGGCAGATGACCATAATAAGGGTTTCCAATGCCGATATGAGTTTTGAGGCCTTAACAGCCGATAGCGGTAGTGCTCATAACTTGGAGACGAAATTCGAAAGCCTAAAACGGAAATCCGAATCCTTTACGTTCCGTTTCTTCATTGAACTACTACCGAGCCATCATAAGCCTGGAATATGGCCAAAACTGATAGGTTCGAGCACTTCGGGAGCACCAACCGGATTGCGTCTTTTACCCTTTAAATTCCTTTCTCCTCATGCGCCGGTTGTGGCAGAGATAGAGCCAGGATGGTAGTTCCGCCGAATCAAATGAAACAAAGGGAATAAAAAAGAAAGCCTCCTTTACCGATTGGTCTGCCACCCACGAACACAAACGAGGGTTCAAGGATGAGCTCATGAGCTAGGCTGAACTTGGAATTTCGACATGGCCTGGGGCACTTCTTGCGCGGTTGGGACATGCCTACGATGGCCACGCGCCTGCGAGCAACCTCTGTCGATCCGGAAAGTACGAATTGGTTGGCCCTCATCGGGGCCCGTGCGGGTTGCACTCTCCGGCACTTCTGCCCTTCTCCAGTGGCGTGGGAAAAAAGAACTTTCCTTTTCCCGCCACAGATCCAATCCACATCCAGAGAGATTGCCGTCAAATCTCCCCCGTCCTGCATCCATCCGCTTGCAAAGTATCCGGGCAGCCGCTGGATGGAACCAACCGGTTTATGATATCTACTTAACGGAAGCCTGTTCTCCACTCTAGGAAGCCTGATGTGCACTTCAAGTTGTGGCCGGAATTGTTTTGGAAATGCATGCTTTTAATTGTCGTACGATGCAGGGTTCCCCATCTTGACGCCCACCCGCATCCGAACATCGTTTTAAACCCAGTCTTGTTGGCGGGCCGGGTTTCATATTCGCCTTGTTTTTCTGGATAGCATCTATGCGGACCGCCTCAATTTATTAGGTTGCCGAAGAGGAATGTTTATTGCTACTACATATGTATCACCCACAACTCATGAATAGCTTACCCACTTCTTGCTTGTTGTTATTTCTTCCCCTTTTAATGTCTTTCCCCTTTCAGTTAGTTGCAGGGACATGGTGCAAATTCAATTCGTGGCGAACAACACCCATTTTTTGTCCGTCTTTTCAATTGATACCTCCTGGTTGAAATGATGTCACATACAGACTAATGATGCAGCAACTACAAAACTAATTATTGATATATGTTATTGCCTATTGACAATGTCTAGATAAGCTTGCCGGAAAGGGGTGGCCATGAGAGGGGTGTCCAAATGCGCCCAGTCACAAAGCAGTTAAGATGGGCTGGAATAAGATTCAGCATGTTGCTTCTTTGCTTCTCATAACACGTCATAATGATGGGTGGTTAGCTGAGCTATTATCATTGAAGAATTGACGCTGCAGCACATGATAGAGTTGTGATTTCCAACGAATAATCGGAGGGGTTGAGCTAATCTTGATACAATTCCCAACGAAAGGCTCATTGATATGGAGTTTTCTTGCTTTTTGATCCTTCCTTCTTGACCATTTCAGCTACTCTTGTGGCTGGGTTCATATATTTTGACCAAGAATGGAAAGGAACATTTTCAATGGGACGTTGGGAAGGTTGCCTTTCTTGAGTTCCTAAAGATAAGAAGGTCAGTCTGACATGAACTTTACTATTTTGAGAGAGAGGCAGAACATTCTAATCTGTGATGCTAGGAGAATCATGAAACCTTGACAACCGCACAGCCATCATGGAACAGAAGTGGTGGGCTTTAAATCCTATGCAGCCGAAGGGGAACCAACTGCCTTGTTGAAGATGCGCCCGTGCATCAAAGACTAGATGCAAATTTGTACCACACGCTCTTCTCTGTAGTCCTCCACTGACTATATACATGCTATGGACAGGAGTTCCAATGAAATAGTAACAGTCCGAAAGTAGTTCGAGATGAAAGTTCAAAGGGGCTCTATTCGATTCCACATTCAAACAATCTGGGGTTGGGTAATGCACATTGTGGGGAGTAAGGGTAGATAAATTTCTCCCGACCCCGCTTCTATTTTATGGTCTATGCAGTCCCCCGTTTGAGTTTCCTTCAGAGAGTTCAATTGTTGTCACATTTCACTGATAGCTCTCTCCCCACATCTATCAGCCAGGGGCGCCCCGGAGGGGAAGGGGGTGGAGGAGGGATATAAAATTCCAATATCACACTGCACACAAAAGCAAGAGTCTTCTCTCGCAGAATGAAAAGCAGAAACGAAAATATGAAGGTCTTGACGCTTTCAGCTGTCCTTGCCCTTGCGGCCCTTGGGTTCTCCGCTCCGAGGAATCTACCGAACACAGCAAGGTACGTAAACACCTCTTAAAACAAACAGATGCGGTGGTCCAAGGCAACTAAGATTTGCGAGTGACCATGTTCCCCTAAGCGTACCTAAGATTATCACTTTGCTCTACCCCTGCTAGTAGACTACAGCAAAGACACCGGAAGAGGCTGACGCTATTAATTAGCACAACACAGGGTATATCAAGTAAAGCTTGAACTGATACAGACCGTGAAATCTTCGGTCAATCTAACCGTCTCGATGTTGTCCGTCGGAAGGAGAGCCTGCTGCTTTGGCTTCCTTAGACAATCAGGAGTTCCGTCAGTGGTCTTGATACACCCGCCACATGCAGAAACACGAACAGTCATGTTTATCCAATGATGGTTGAGGCATTGGATCAGTATGGTTGAGCGGAACAAGGGTTCTATGAGTTGCGGCTGGAAATGCGGACCTAATATGACTAGGAAAATAGGAGAACTTGGGGTCGAAAACTAATCGTCTGGAGACACCATCTCAGCAGAGAGTGTGTATTATTTTATATTCACGCTACCCCCCTACCACCGACAAGAGAATATCTCCTACCTAGGCGGGCAATGCTTGAATCCTTGCACAGAGGTTACCTTCTGACAAGTCCAAGTCTTAAAGGCCCAGGTGGTGTAGATGAACAAGTTGGACCTCATTAGGCTAGGAGTATCAGACATAACTGACTGTGTTAAGTCACGGCCGGAGCTCAACGCTTTGTTGCTCTACTTGTCTAGCCCTCCCGGTAAACAGATCAGAGAATTTTCAAAACGGATGGGAATTGCTTCAGCCCTCTAATGTTCGCCTGCAGATTACAGCGGACACGGCAGGTTTGTCCGGCATGTGTTAAGCCATGATTGCATGGGACCAGAGGCGACAGCGCCTCTATCATGGTTGGCGGGACCCTTATGTTCTCTCATGCTGGTGTCTGCAATTTGGTCTTCAGCTCCAATACTCCCTTATCTGGAGGTTATCAGTGCAATCTGCTACATCCCTAACGCCTTGTCCATATAGCTTAAAAAGCTCCCTCACCTTGAAAGTCTCCAACAGTCACTTTTTTGAAAGGGACCCTTTTCAGCTAGAAGGTTTCCTTCCGGCGTTGAGTTGAGTGAGCTATCCAGAAAGCCCATCGAAGGTGGCCGAGAGATACATATACGCACATGGATCGTCACAAATTGGCGATATCGATCGATCTTGTACTACTCTGGTGTAAAATCCGTGAACCCTCAATATTTTCTCCGGGCAAGCCCAGAGTGAGTTCTAGTCATTCGTGACTCTGCTATATGTTGAGGGTTGTTCCCACCTCCGCATCATGGTGGCCCCCCATATCTCAGTCACACCTGTGTTTGTCTGGTGCAGGGCATCTTAGGATGGGCAGCCCAGTCTTATTGCTGCGTGCTGCCTGGCTGGTGTTTGTGTTTTTATTTGCGGGCGGCTCCCACAACTCGTCAATGAAAAGGAGGGTAGGAGAAAGTGTCAGAAGCTGAATGGCTCGCGCCACTTCCCTTTCTCTCTCGCCCGAACCCCGTATGGTATGTGCTGAGCCTTGGTCACATAAATAATACTCTCTCTCTCTAAGGAATATCTCTTCCCTAGACAAAATCTCCTTTCTAGAGAATGGTTTCTCTCTAGAGAGCTTGGTAAAAGAAGGCTAGCTAACGTCTTTAAAACAACTGATTAGAGTTGAAACCTTTGTTCAAATCTATACAGCCATTAGAAATCCGCTCAATATAAGAAGAGGTTTATATATCGTATGTTCAAAAGCATGATGTTAGCGTTCATAGCTAGGAATTAACTAATAATTAACATCGCTATCCTACTTACGAGCATCCAACCATGCAAACCCGATAATACGACCAGATTATTTCCTCCAAGATATCCTGAATACTCTTTTTAAGAGAGAGAGATATATATATATATATATATGGGTAAAGTTACCGAACTGTGGCTGCAATTTTATGGACCACTTTAGTTTCAAAATATCATTGCAAAGGAAACTTGCTTTCAATTGCAGGTCCATGTACATGTACTTGTATGTACTATGGAAGTACGAACAGTTGTATCAGCTAGCAGCAGTAGTTACGTTCTATGTATAGAACAGCTACGCTACAGGATCTTGGGTTGGTGCTTATTGGGAGGCGCATAACTTCTCCTTGTCTGGCTTAGGGCTTCAATTGTGCTGGGAAGAATTATCAGCTTGCCATCTTTCCACGCTACATCTACTCCGCGTACCGGGATTCAAAAGAGAAAAGAAGCTTAAAAAACCCTAAAGTCCTGAAATCCCTACACAATATTTTTTCTTGACCTTGTTTCATGGGACAACAATGGGGAGCAGAGCTAGTGATGGTAGGATCTTGTATCCCAACTCCTCTGAATAAGTAGCATCGACTATCGCACTACGCTAGCTGCTGGCGGATCTATATACAGTAACTACTCCGTACTCCGCAAGTTACTTAGTCGAACAAGTCTGTCTCCAATAATAATATACAGAGTACGGAGTACACTCCCCCGAGCGAGAGACCAAAAATTGGCCCGAGCTGAGCGAGCTCAACCAACTCACTAGTTAACTGCTTAACGGTGACTGGCGCCCCTTGTCCCCTCCCATGCATGCCCGATTAATTGTTTCTGCACTATGCACTACGCTACGGACTAAGCGTAACTACGTACTACTGTACGCAGTACATGTACATCCCCATGGCCCTAATTCAGTTACGGCCGGGAGAGTGCGACGCGAGTGAGTGAAGAAGTCCTTTCGGGGATTTAATCTAGCTCATATAAAAAGCCAGACAACTCCAATCCCTGGGGATTTTTCGGGTTTTCTTCTCTCCTCGATTTCTCTCCTCGTCAAAAAGAGATCGGTTTATCTAACTATCTATCTAACATCTACATTATCAAGGCGGTACTAAGACGAAGACCCGGCGTTTCGCCCACGCCCTTTCTCAAACCTCCAACCATGGGTCTCTCTTTTCTGATATCGCACACCCCCACAACGATCGCCCTCATTGCTGTGGCTACGACGGCATGCTCCTATACCGTGTCACGGTTCCTCCATGCTCGGCGGGCATGTCGCGATCTGGTATGTCTGTTATGCCGCAATATATACCAAATACTAGCCCCCGCCAATCTTGCCATCAAGATGTCAATAATAATAATGTAATCGTCGAAGCCGCATTCCTAACCTAATATATTAGCCCCAACCCCCGCATAGCTTCTGGTTTGGCCACTTAATTGTAGCTGGCAAGATCTTTCGGAACTACCCTCCAGATGCCTATATTCACCATCTATTAATCACCATCTCGCGTGAATATGACTTGCCGGACCTCTACTACCTTGATCTCTGGCCAATGGCGAACCCCATGATAGCTGTATGTTCTCCAGAGCTGGCTGCCCAAATAACCACGGAGCAGGCATATCCCAAGGACCCTGCCGTGGGCCATTTCCTCACTCCCTTTTTGGGGAAGAGTTCGATATTATCTGTGAGCGGGCCGAAATGGAAAGCGCTGCATTCTACTTTCGTTCCTGCGTTTGCACCAGCCTATCTACGTTCCATGGCGGGCGGCATACTTGATGAAGTCCTAATCTACCATGATAATCTGTGCCAACTTGCAAAATCTGAGCAGCCCTTCTCAATGGCGTCCGTGGCTATCGAGCTGACATTCAATGTGATCGGACGCGCTGTGTTCAACAGCCCGTTTCACAATGAGGAAGGGAGAAGACTTATGAGGAATTTCAAGAGTGGTTTAGACTATGCATTCAACGGGGCGCTTAGTACTCGCAACTGGTTATTACATATGGTGCCGAAATGGGTACTGGTGTGGAAGGTCAATCGTTACATTGAGAAGAAGGTGATCAGCCGTTTTGCCGAGTTGAAGAGAGAGGAAATGTCGTCCGTCAAGAAATCAAGAACCATTCTGGATTTAGCACTTCGACAGAGACTGGATAGTCCAAAGGGCATCTCCGGTGATAGCGAGTTCATGGAGGTGGCTGTTTCGAAGTATGTACACCTCCTACTTTTCCAATTCCGACCTCTAACATCCCAACCCCCCAACCCCCCTTCTCGTTTCTAGCTTTTTGGTCTTTTCCCTGTTACATTAGCCAAAAAAACCCTCGCTAACATGTACGATTGAAGCATCAAAACTTTTTTGGCTGCTGGGCATGAGACTACAGCTCATACCCTTGGGGTAAGATTGAGGCAATTGAACAAAAGCTCTATATATCCTTGACAAATGTTACAAACGCTGACATCCTCGTGCCTGTATAGTATGTGTTTATGCTACTTTCAAAACGCCCAGAGGTAGTGAAGAAAGCTCGTGAGGAGCATGACACCGTGTTTAGCCCAGATTTCAACCGCACTGTTGAAATGGTTAGGGCAAATCCCGAGAAACTTTTCGATCTTCAATACACGAGTGCCATCATCAAAGAAACATTGAGATTATTCCCTGTTGCCAGCGTCGCCCGGGCTAAGGGTGAAGGGTGAGATGGAATTATTTTTTAATTTCTTTTGTGGATATGCAAAACTTTCTTGCAAACGTTCACCCAGCACCAGCTAACACGCGTACCTGATCAATTCTAGCATGACCTTCATGTATAAGGGCAAGCCGCTCAATTTGACGGACCAGTTACTAATGATCTGCAACCTTGTAATGCACTACAATGAGGAAATATTCCCCTCGCCCTGCGAATTCCAACCGGAACGTTTCATCACCCAGTCGATCCCCAAAGACGCTTGGCGGCCCTTCGAGCGCGGTGCGCGAAACTGCATCGGCCAGGACCTGGCCATGATGGAAATGCGGATGGTGCTTTTGATCGCCTTGCGTAGCTTCGAGTTCGAAGCGTTGGGGATCAACCCGCACGATAATCCAGCAGCTTCGTATACGACGCTGGACCAGGAATTTGGCGATCTTGTTTATCAGATGCAGTCGCTTACTGCGAGACCAATCGGTGGGCAGAATATGAAAGTGAGGTTTGCGAAGGGGCATGAGGCGTATTTTAACCGCGCTTGAATGGGTTAAGAGAACTACATAAACTATGTAGCTGGATGGTACTAGACTGTGATCGAAAAGATTTCATGGAGCGGCTTCGCGAAGATAAAAATAGTTTTTTAAAAATATTTCTGTAGACTTTGCGTGTGTATGTACGTTTCTACGTTTATCCAAGCTGGGTTGGCGCCAATTGCCTCTGATAAGTAGTTAACTAAGCTCACCAACGACACTTCAAAACACCTCCTTTGATGTTTGCATATGAGAGAGAGCATCGAACAACGAACAGCTTAATAGAAGATCAATACATATAAAAAATAACACGGTATCGTGTCATGGACACCGCACGGAATATTTATAAACACGATGTGGACTTCGCTGCCCTTGCACTTCAGTTCCCCAACTTTTCCAAACAGTGAGTAGCTTGACAGACCCGCAGCAAAACACCGATTAAAAAAAAAAAAAAAAAAAAAAAAAAAAAAAAAATTGAAACCCGAAATGAAAAAAAATAGCCATACTCATCCAATTGCTAACTTAGTCCATCATGATGGCCTATCCCCAGCCTAAAACAGAATAATCAACTCGACTTCACCGATCCGGACGCCGTCCAGTCAGTATAGCAGAGCATACCTGGGTTGGCCTAAATTTTATATTTATATACATTACTGATGAGTTTAAAAACACCCAGGGAACTGACGAAGAGCCTGCTGAAAAGAGACTTTGATTTGCATCTCGATTTACCCAGTGATCGGCTCTGTCCACCTGTGAGGATGGCCTGGCGAAACTGCCTTGCAATAGGATGATTTACTAATACTATCTATCTATCCGAAAAACAGGTTCCTAATCGGTGTGTTTTCTTTATTTTTATTTTTATTTTTATTTTTATTTATTTTTCACCCTGCGCGAGAAAGATATATTGCAAATTGCCTCTAATTACATGGATGCCGTTTCTCTAAGAGAAAACAAATGTGTGCTAACCATTTCTTTTTTATTCTACGTTGTTTTTCATCCCTGGAAGCTTCAACTACATTTTATGGCTGCAAGATCTTCTCGATTCCACCTCCGAGAAGTACTCTGATGGATATGACCAGGAGCGAGACGTTTTTGGGCTTGACATGTAAGACCTACTTTACCCCCTTTGGTATACATGCTGCATGTATCCCCTTGAGCGAAAACGGCCGGCCTGATGAGGGCAAGTCAGTTATATATATTTTTTTAAACTTTGTTCTTGCTGACGCTTGATGGACTTAAACTCGGATGAATGCATAGCGGGACCGGAGCTAGTTGCATATACCCTCAGCTTGGATGTGTTCTGAGACCGAAATGGAAATTCGCGGCGACAGGTACGATTTTTTTTTTCTGCCCCTTTCTGCCCGGGCCTATTATCGAGGTAGCGCACGACTAATCGGGGGCCTGTCGACAATCACAGATATCGATGAGAAAAACTTGAAATATGCGCGAGACAATGTGCAGAGGAACAAATTGGATTCTCGCATCCAGATCGTCGAAAGCTCTCCCTCCACTGCGCTGATTCCTTTGGGGGAGATCGGGCTTCCTGAATCGTAAGAGCCCTTTTGTATCCCTTCCATAAATTTTTCTTATAGCCATTGTTTTATCTACAGAAATTTTCATGCTCATTGTATGTATTGTTTTAGGAACGCTAGACTGGACTTCACCATGTGTAATCCACCATTTTACGAATCCCGCGATGAATTGATATCAGCTGCCAAGGCGAAGCAGAGGCCTCCTTTCTCTGTAGGTGGATATAGATCTTTTGCTTTTGTGTTAATGTATCTCATACAATGGATCCTCGTAGCTTCGACCATGTCAGCTTGAATTTGGGCACCTGGTACCAAAAATATTATATTATATTTACAAACACGAATGCATTCATTCACTAACGTTTACAAAAACTACCCAGGCCTGCACCGGTGCAGAAGTGGAAATGATCACAGCCGGTGGCGAAGTCGCGTTCGTCACTCGAATGATTAGGGAGAGCGTCAAGCTGCGCGAGCGTGTGCAGTGGTACACGTCCATGGTAGGGAAATTCAGCAGCGTCGCCACGCTGCTTAACATTCTGCATGAAGAGGGGAATAAGAATTGGGCCGTGGCGGAATTCGTTCAGGGGAGTAAGACGAGACGATGGGCGATTGGCTGGTCGTGGATGGATTATCGGCCTGGAGCTGTGAGGCTTTTTCCCCTGACCCATTCTAATATCTTTCTTTATATATGTTCACCCCCAAGGTAATTCCTCCTTCCACACGTTATTCTAATCCCGACATAAAATAAAACACAGAACGCCGCAAGACCCCAGGGCCAAAGCATCCCAAAACACCTCCTCCCCTTCCCACCTGAATTCACATTCCACTGCCCGCCATCCACGCCCTTCTCCACCACCATTGACGCTATCAACTCTAGCATCGTGGCACTGGACGTCTACTGGCACTGGAACAGCGGCACATCTACTGGTCTCGGTTTCGCTAGAGGTAACGCCTGGTCAAGGCATGCACGTCGTCAGATGAAGAAGCAAGCTATCGAAAAGGCGCAGACGACGATGGCCGGTACTACTGCTCCTGCTGAATATGGTGAGAAGGACAGTAAAGATAGTGGTGCCAAGTCGCCTGATTTTATCCCAGGAAAACAGGATAAGGGGGCTGAGTTTGGGTTTAAGGTGTCCGTAAGGGGGTATATGGAAGGGCAGGTTGATGTGACGGTACGGTGGGTGAAGGGGTTTGATCCCGTGATTTTTGAGAGCTTTTGTGGGTTTTTGAAGAGGAAGGTTGAGAGAGGTGCGTGAATAGTGGTTTTGGGAGTGGGTAGTTTCTGCCGTGTAGGGCGAGTGAGTGCAAGACATCGCATGTATTATTATAGCAGAATTATGAGATGTTTTAGATGGCTGCATAAACTAGCGGGGATGTTTCTTTCTTTTTTTCTCGTTCAACTTTACTATGCGTCGACAAGCACGGTCGTTATACTATTTCAACCAAATACCATCCGCACTTGGGCTTCTCATATTTGCCGGGATTAAGATCGAACTGGGAGTAGTCAGGGTGTGCTGGAGCGAGAAATACCTCGTTGTAAATAACACGGGAGGTCATAGGAAAGTTCCTGCTTGTAAACAAGAAAATAATGACTGCTCCTAAGCTACGATGATAGAATCGTACATTCAATTTCATCGCTGTAACATTTTCATTGCGAGGTTCGATTTTTTAAAGTCCTTTTGGCACCAGAAGTAATCCGGAACTTCACATGAACCATTGCATACGCTAATATTCACCAGCTGTGTGTGGACATCGGTGATATTTATATCCCTACGATGTCGTTACATTGTGCGATACAGTTAGGGAAATCCAGGCCCAACCAAACCAAGGAAGGCGCGAATTTTCCAATACAAGCTTGCTACTGGGGTATATGTCGTGTGACAAATTGACAACTTTGGTAATTTTTCACGATGCCGAGACCGTTGTCTCCCGTTTCCGTGTGCGTTTTGGCGTTAACAAGGCTCCGGTTGTGCTATCAACACCGGCAAACAACTGCGAGTTGATTGCCAACTCAGGGTCTAATGTTGGGAACATGGGAGGTTTCCTAGCCGGTATTCCCCAGCGAACTATCCAACTTTTCGTTTCTGGATCCTGCGTCATCCGTGGAGTTGCCAACAATACTCGTTCCCAGATGGGTGTGATGAGCTTCCGGGTAATTTTGTGTGGCCTTCCACGTGCATATGCCTCGAAGGTGCGGTCCTTCTGTGGGCCGAAGACCAAAAATTCTGCATCAAGCGCGCTCCTGGTATCATTCGTGTCTAGTCGTTTCCGCCTCTTTGGTAGGAACCACGGTTCCTTTCCCACTGCTAGACCATGTAAAGTGTTCCACTCCTGATCGGGGATCGGGGGTAGAAAGCTTTTGATAACAATATCATACCACTTCTCGGTAGCTTTCTGCACTTTCCTCTTGGACACATGTCCATTCCAAATACTCTTTTTAGGCTGTGGGATCTCGCGGATTGCCGGTGTTGCGTCGATGGAGCTCAGCTTGCGGTTCTCCATCTGCGATTTCAGTAACGCAGCCAGGGAGGGAATAGGTTCCCAACTAGGAGGACACGTTGGGGGTAGGATGAATCGAAACGGGATTTTATCTGCAGATGAATTGGGGACGAAGAAGGGTCGTGCTAGTACATGTCTTCGCCGTCCGATTCGGCCGTATGACAACATGAGCACGCGTTCGAGGGGTTTCATATATCCATCATTTGCTCGGGAGAGAATCGACAAGAGTTTTCTCGCCCGGCGTTCTAGGTAGAACTGCCCATTAGGGCCTCTATAAGAGTTTTGTATCATTCTTGGCTGGTAGCCTCGATAACTTTCCCGGACATGGCTGGACATATATTGACGAGCAATTGGGTCAGGAAGATAGGAAGATTCTCTTAAGAGTGCCCTATAGACATGCCGCCAGTGCGGTGTCTGAGGCGGCGACAGGGACATAGCTATAGTCGCATGCTTCACGATAATGTGCTAACTACATAAGAACATATAAACTGAGGCAGGGGGTTGCTCCTCGACAAATGGGCTGCTGACTAAGATCAGCTGCTGAGTCACCTGACGCGGCTCAACGCGAACATCCAAACCGAGCCCCCGCGTCTCAACAAATCCTGACTGCGTGGAATACTGACTGGATACATATTTCGCTGTGGTGATGGCGGTGTGGTGATCGCTGTGACTCTTAAAATTTGCGTTTGAGTGTTGTCAACCCTCTCCACTCTGTCGGTGTCTTGGGTTATTATCCTTCAATTTCTGCCTCCCTCTGCGGAGTGTAACGTGACCACGCGCCTTTCGGGCCCAACCTTCTTGCTTTTTCGCGCTTCTCCACTACAGCCACACCATTTATGAGATTATTACACACTGTCAGTACGTCAGTGGTCAACCCCGAGACCGTCATCATTCTATGGAGTATCTCAGAATGACTGTGGTTGTGGTTATTGACACTTTGTTTTAAGGAAGAATATAATAGAACCAGCCACCGGCTCATGACCCCCTTGATGGTGTGGACCAATACCAATTTACCGAAATTATACATCATTCATCCATTCATTTTGTCAATTTTATATTCCAAAAGTGCCCCAAATAAAGCGTCCTCATGTCGTTCTCGCGGAATACCCTTGGCCCTTCTGATGGCGCGTCGTCACAAAACCAAATGCCCTCCATCAACGCCGCCTCCCAATCCGTGGCGTCTACCCCAGCTGCGACGCCTCCGCCTAGACATTCACAACAGTCGAACATGTCGATGAGCTTTCCTAGCAATGCGGTATCGCGAAACTCTCTGCAAAGAGCAAGCTTCGGTGGATATGATGATAACAATGGGTATGGCCAGGTGATGCTCTATGAAGAATACAAACCGCAGATATATACAGTACGGAATCTCTCTCCTTTCCCTACCTTCGAATGTGAACCGTATCCTATACGGTGTATCCTCATTCAATGCGCATTGTAAACCACAGCTCATTCATGTGGCTTCTAGGCTGTTTATTCCAATGTATCAGTGTACGAGATGGAAGTAAATGGAGTAGCGGTTATGCGACGTCGTTCAGACTCGTGGCTGAATGCGACGCAAATTCTAAAAGTTGCGGGAGTGATGAAAGCAAGAAGAACCAAGACGCTTGAAAAAGAAGTGGCCGCTGGTGAACACGAGAAAGTACAGGGAGGCTATGGGAAATACCAAGGAACCTGGGTTAATTACGAGAGAGGTGTTGAACTGTGTCGCCATTATCATGTCTTCGAACTCCTGCGCCCTCTTCTTGAGTATGACATGGGCCAGGATGGTACCGGTCCCGCGGGTCGTGGAGCTGTAGAAACTCCAACCAAGGAGCAGGCCATGGCGGCCCAAAGAAAGAGGCTCTACCGGACAATGGACGGGCAAGGGATGAGTCAAACTCAGCAGGGCACGTATTTCCAAAACATCTCGCGCACAGCAGTTAGTGCTGTGAATGCGATAAACAAGGCTCGATTCGATTCGACCATGAGGAAAGGGTCAGGTGGCCGACGTTCAAGCATGAAGGTACCTTCCCAGATGGGCAGCCAGGAGTCGCAAATTCAGCCCGCAAGCCAGCAAAGCTTGCATAGCATTGCATCTGACAGCGGCTTTGGTAGCAACATGCAAAATAGTCAGCAGACAGCTCTTCTTGAACATACAGATGAAGCGGTAGAACCTCCCAGAAAACGCATGCGCTCGTCATCTGCTCAGGAAAAGTCGTTTCAGTCGACAAGTGCCATTCCTCCCCATACCTCGATGATTGAACCGACGCCAACTGAACCCAACGATTCGTTCTATCAAATGCATCCGGGGGACGCCGGCCCAGATGGGCCCATGCGAGGCCTTCACCATCTTCCTGCTGCGACGACCCCAGACAGATACCAGAAAATGAAACTTGTCATGACCTTATTCTTGGATAAACGTGCCAAGGATTTTTCTAACCACCCTGCTTTCCTTAATCTATCTGCCGAGGATTTAGAGATACCCTTGGACAAGTACTACAATAGTGCCCTACACTGGGCGGCTATGCTTGCTCGGATGCCTTTGGTGCATGCCCTCACAGCCAAAGGCGTTAGCATTTATCGTTTGAATGGTGCTGGGGAGACGGCTCTGCAGAAAGCGGTGGGAACTAGGAACAATCTCGATTATCGCAGTTTTTCCAAGCTACTCCACGTACTATATCCTACCATTGAGATAGTTGACTATCATGGGCGGACTGTGCTTCACCATATCGCCATGATGGCTGCGACTGGCGGCGGAGGGCATGTTGCTGCAAAACATTACCTAGAATCACTTCTCGAGTTTATTGTGCGCTACGGCGGACCTGCAGGATCCGTGCAAGCTTCTCTTAATACAACTGCCAATGGTTCTAATGGCCAACATCAAGTTGAGGTAATTGGACTTGGCAAGTTTATGTCTGAGATGGTAAATATCCAGGATGACCAGGGTGACACGGTGCTGAATTTAGCTGGTCGTGCGCGGACCGTGCTTGTTCCGCAATTGCTGGAAGTCGGTGCAAATCCCCACATACCAAACAACACAGGGCTCCGTCCTGCAGATTATGGAGTTGGGGTCGACATGGTCAATGGTGGGCTACAGAATGGAGAGTCAGAGTCGTTTTCTACTCGGCTTTCTAAGACGCGGCGAGAGTTACTTGACTGTTCGTACTAACCCCCTGCCTGTGTAAATGCTCTTTTGGTATCATTTTACTAACTGAGAAGCAGTAACTATTTCTCAAGTCACATCTCTCGTTGAACAATCGTTTGGTAGTATTGATAACGAACTTTCGTCAGGTTTAGGGAGGAAGCAAGAAGAATTCGAACAATGGCACAGAAAAATTCGTGAAAGTGCCAAAGCTAGGCAGATTGAACAGAAGCAATTAGATGACATGAAGCGAAGAGCCAGAGATCGCATCGAACTTGATAGGCAGATAAAGAATCTCGAGCGCGCATCAGAAGAACTAGCTGCACTCCTCAAGTCACTCCAGGGCGACCAGTTCAAGGCAGAAGTTATAAATATTGGCGATGCCGATGACGCTCTTGGGGTTGACATGTCACAATTTAGCACACTTTTCCCGGAAGACTTCGACATCTCAACGGCCGGTGGGTTTTCAGACCAGCAAGTTACGTTCCTCGAATCATTGCCGGGTATTGAAATCCTAACATCCCAGCTTGGATGCTACCGCGATCACAACGATGAAGTATGCAAAGAGCTGGAGAGTCTGAAATCGAAAAATGTAGTCTTGGGCGAGAATTATCGGCGGATGGTCATGGCTTGCACGGGGTGGACTGAAGAACAGGTGGACGAAGCGGCGGACGGCCTGACAGAGTGCATTAAGGATCTAAACGAGCACCCTCTGCCGGAGGACGTTGCGATCGAGATTCTCATGAAGGATCGCGGTCAGGACTGGTAACGACATATACGACCTGGAAACAATTTTTTATTTAGCCGGCATGTGTTTTGGAGTCTTCTTTCCTGTGTTTTCTTTCTCCTTTCCAGTTTATTTTGCTGCTGGTTTTAATTTTGCATATTCTGTACGGGTATATTGTTCCTCCTCCTTTTTTACATTCGGGGCATCGATTTGTGCGACTATTGTACGAATATCACGCAGGAGGGCTGTCCTTTAATCCTGGACTCCTTGTTTAATTAAATATCCCTCGCATGATGGGGAGGGTTTCTGCATAGTTGTGATTGCTGGATGTTTTATGTCGAATCTAGGGAACTCTCTTCGTGGGGTGATGACATCTTATCGCTCTATGTGGTAGTCAGGTAACCAACCACCCGGATGCAACAACAGCAGCCTTTCGCAAGGCCAGTGTCTTTTTTGTTACAAAATCCTTAGCTCCCCCACCACAATGATAGAAAGAAATATCATTATGACCAAGCTGTGGCGCAGGTCATCTGTCTGTCGCAGCCCCCTGCACGCGACGTTTCAGCCGCCGCCTAGCGCCGTCTCAGCCCTGACCCCCGCCCGCCCCACTCGGCTCCTGGCGCTCCAGAGCCGCAGTCCTCCACACCACAGACCATCGCGATATCATTCCGGAAAACCTTCGTTTTGCACTTGCTAGACGCATCTTTGACAACTTTGCTCTGCTGAAAATCACTCGTAGACGCCTGTTTTACCCCGCGATTCTAAGTTCTTGTCACCCACCCAATGTCGAACTATTACCCAGGCGGAGGCCCCCCTCCGGACCAGTACAACGCCCCTCCCCATGGCGGCCAGCCAGGATACTATGGACAACCACCACCACAACAAGCACAAGGAGACTATCCTCCTCAGGGTTATCCTCCCGCTGGCTATCCTCCCGCAGACCAGTACCCACAGGCACCGTATGGGCAGCAACCCCCGCCGCAGCAAGGATACTATCCACCCCCGCAACAGCACCAAGTAAGAAACTGCGTATCATTTTGTTCACTTTTATATATCTACCACTTGAAACCACTTAGAAGACAGAGAAAGACATGGAAAAAAATACCCCAGACAAAAACTACATGTCTCTAACATCAGTAAACCAATCTCTCTAGGCTCCCCAATATGGTTCCCCATCTCCCGCACCGCCCGGGCAGGGCTATGATTCCCGCGGCGGCCAAGCCTACGGCACATACCCCCCTCAGCCACCCGGCGGAGAGAGCACTTCTTACTACGGAAACCAACCTCCACCGGCATACAGCGGACCCGGCGGTCCTGGAGGACCCGCGGACGGTGAGAAGGGACTCGGCTCTACCCTATTAGGTGGTGCTGCTGGCGGATTCGTCGGTCATAAGATGCAGGGCGGCATGTTGGGGACGCTCGGTGGTGCTGTTGTGGGTGCGGTTGGCGCAAATGCTGCGTCGCATGCGGTTAAGAAGTAAGTTTTTATTCGTGTCCCCCTTTTCGTCCCTTCCCTTGTTTTTGTTGTCTTCAATCTGTGGGACTTTTAATACGATGCGTTTGATTTAATTTAATTTTAATTTTAATTTTAATTTTTTTTCTCACAATCGTATAGACATAAGAAGAAGGATAAACATGGGAAGAAAAAGAAGGATAAGAAGGATAAGAAGTATAAGAAGAAGAAGGGCGGGAGCTCGAGCTCTTCGAGTAGCAGCAGCAGTGATAGTGATTAGGCGGGCCTTGGCTGTCCGATATCATTGTCATTTTCGGTTTAATTTTCTTCCTTTCCCTGTTTTTTTGTGATTTTACTTTGTCTCTGGGACTGTCTGGGACTACGGAGGCTTTGATTTTTGTTACCTACATTTGCTACCCCGAGGAGCGGGGCATGTATATATGCGCCCAGGGGGGCTGCAAGTGTATGGATGTATATGTTTATGATCCAAATTTCCCCCCCCAACGACGGGCTAGCTATGTGATATCCAATATCCACTTTTGTATTCGTTTTGTTGTGCTTATGCCATACGTTGAAAAAGTTTGGCTGATACTCTTGGTCAACCCTTGATACCCATGAAAATTTCTGGGCGCGGGCAATTTTTGCGCTTGCTGAGATGCTGTTTTTCTGAATCACCTGCGGCTGCATGTTTGATCTATCAAACCGCTTCAATCCAACATGTGGGTTGATTTGACAGGTTCTGGGTTGTTTCCAAGAACATCCAGTGTCGGAACATCTAACCAGGCTTTGGAATGCATCGTGTCGCAATGTCGGGAGGAACCGGGTGCCCCATCCACCCCTTCCCACCCACCCTCCGATGATAAATAATGTCGGTTCATGCGCATCCATGTTTGTTATCCGCCGCTCAGGGCTGTGACCCTGTTATCGAGCACAGCCTCGTCTCGGGGTTGGCATTTGTCCACTATTCTACCTAAACTTCCTAAAGCCCATGTTTGTGCGAAAAGTGCTTATCCAATAAACTACTGAGACAGAAAGGATTGATTGCCCATTGTGGAGCTCGACTGGCTGAGGCGCTGCGGTTGTTGGTTTTGTGTGCTTTTTTTCTAGGTGGTCGCTGACCTCAGCTCACAGTCGGTACGATTTTCGCTGGCCCTATTGGCCACCGAGGAGTACGCCAAATATGGCTCGTCTTCAATTCTCCGTTTGGCTGCGGAACTTCTCCTCCCCAGCGTCGATTTTTGGTGAAAACTGGGAATCACAGCGGTGAAAAACGACGTCCGTGCGTTGCTGAACCACAGAGCTGCAAAACCAATGCCCATTGTCTTTCGTGTACGGAGTAAAAACAAGGTGCTTTATTTTGAGAGAAAAGTCTAGGCCTTGTCTCCTTCGGGCTACTAAGCATCCGGCTGCGGGACTCGGTTGTTGAGCTCCGTGGAGTTTCTTGGCAGCGGAGCCAAGTCCTGCCAAGCTCGGCCCGATCCAACAGAATGCGTGAAGTTCTTTGAACAATGGTCATGGTGGCCGGGCTGCTAATATTATATTATTGACCGCTTCATTAACCTTCTTCTCTTTGTCTTCTGGGCCACTGACAAATCTGAAGAGCCCACAACTATTCTCTCTTTCTCTTTTATTTTTTTTGTGTCTCCAACGACTTTCCCCATGGCAAGTTTTTGTTCCATATGACATTGCCCTATTATCGCCTAGCACTTGGCACATCATCCCTCCGGTGTAGATCGTCGTTTCAGAGATTGCAAAACACACTACGGAGTAGCCTAATCACTTTGTTGCGGGCCAATCTCACCTCCTTACCATGAACATGTGCGAAATCGCAGCTGATTTGTGCAAACGAACTTTTTTTTTTTTTTTTTTTTTTTTTTTTTTTTTTTTCTTCTCGTTCAACGGGAGTGGATATGTCATTTCTTCTCCGATTATCCCCCTGAACACAAAGCTCCCTTCATTTCCTCAGACGGGGAGATTTCAAAGTGTTTGTTGAGGGCTGTCCTCTCAACATAAGAACGGTCACTGCCCAGCTGCAGAACGAATCCCAACTGCGGTAACCACGTCAGTCCCCCCCAATTTCACACATCATGAACCCAAAAGAGCTGAGCGTGCAGATTTCCTTCGCCGTCCCCAAAGCACAGGAGGATCGTGACTTTTCCAAGCCTAGGAAAAGTGAAAATGACCTCCCCCATCTCTCACGCAACTCCTCTTTCACGATCGTTGACCCTGAGAGCTTCATTTCAAACCTTCCTTGGCATAGAAGGCTATCTGACCACCTCAAGGAGGAGGTCGATCCCGCGTGGAGTGACCTGCTTCTGTTAGCTTGCTCGTTCGCCAGCGGAGTGATTGATAGCCTAGCATTCAAAGCGTGGGGGAGCTTCGCCAGCATGCAGACAGGTGCGTGATTTATATGTATATATATATGTATATATATATATATATATATATAAATATAAATATATGCATATCTCCTCTCTGGCAAACCACCCTTGTTAAAACCTAAAATCCAGGCAACATCGTCTTCCTCGCCCTGAGCGTCTCAGGGGAAGAGGCCCCCCCCACCGTCCGCTGGCCCAAATGCCTCATCGCCATCGCGGCCTTCCTCCTCGGAATCCTCTTCTTCATCCACGGGTCCCGCCTCCTCAACCCCCTCCGCCGCTCCACCCTCATCACCTCCTTCACCATCCAAACCCTCGCCATGCTCCTCGCCTCAGCCCTCGTGCAGACAGGCCTCGTGCAACATCAACAAGCGGCGCACGGCCCGACCCCAGGCCCAGGCCCAGGCCCAGACCGCATAGCCTGGATGGAAATGATCCCCATCTCTCTCCTAGCATTCCAGGCCGGCGGGCAAATCATCACGTCCCGGCTTCTGAAAATGGACGAAATCCCCACCGTCGTGCTAACGACGGTTCTCTGTGATTTGCTGATTGATCCGCGGCTGCTTGCGAACCCTAACGCGGCCAGGAATCGGCGAATCGGTTCGTTTGGTGCATTGTTTGTGGGCGCGATGATCTCGGGTCTGCTATCTAAAAAGGCAGGGGTGGCGAGCTCGTTGTGGCTGGCTACGGCGGTTAAAGGGGCCGTTACGCTTTGTTGGGTGGTATGGAAGCCGAAAGAGAATGGTTGGTGACGATTGTATGATATGACACGGGATGTCGATTGAGATGCTTTCGCTCTGGCATATTATCTGACAACGGTTTTGCGTCCAACTGGTTTATTTCACTCTTATCTTTACGTCGTGTTTTCTCTTAACAACCCCTGTCTTGCTCTCACCCTTGTGCTAATCCTATTTAGGCTTAGTGCCAGGTAGGTGGTTTGGGTGGTTGCAACTTTCGAGATAGATAGTAGGGACAGCTTCAATTGCTCAATAGTTCTTTTTACCTCACCGTCGGTTTGAAAGATTGAAACAAAACGTGTAATGAGTTGAGATTGGTTGTTAGAGGCATAACCCCCCAGATATGATCTATATCTACAGAAAAGTTAAGGCGACGCACTCTGAAAATTGCGAGAAAAGAAAAAAAAAAAAAAAGAAAAAAAGACAGTTACTTCCGATACCAAATCCTCGTAGTCCTCGACTTCACAATGAGCTTCCTGCGCACCACCGATATAGCATACATAAGCGCCTCAGCCGTCGGAGGACAACCGGGGAGGTACACGTCCACGGGCAGCAGCCTATCCACGCCACGTACCACACTGTAGCTGTAGTGGTAATACCCGCCGCCGTTGGCGCAGCTGCCCATGCTAATCACCCACTTCGGGTCCGGCATCTGGTCGTAGACCAGCCGCAGCGCGGGGGCCATCTTGTTTGTCACCGTGCCCGCGACGATCAGCAGATCCGACTGGCGAGGCGAGGCGCGGAAGATGGTGCCGAGCCGGTCCTGGTCGTATCGCGGCATGGAGACGGCCATCATCTCGAGCCCGCAACATGCTAGTCCGAGTGAGATTGGCCAGAGGGACGCTTGGCGACCCCAGTTGGCTACTGCGTCGATGCTTCCGCTGTGGGGGGAAGAGAACGATGGGTTAGCATGGGATGGGGAATATGATTTTGATATGTTGCAGCAGATGCAAGGCTGGGAAATAAGGCGATAGAGACAGTAACTAATACAAAAGAACGTATTTTTTTATCTATCCGTCTAAAACGAATGAGGAGAGAGAGATAGCAGTAAAAGAAAAAAAAAAAAAAAAAAAAAAAAAAAATCTGTACAGGAAATGTCCCATCGTGCCCGTCTTTTCATCCTGGCTGGGTAACAGCGACGTGCTTCGCTCCATCCTAGCCACGCCCAGTGTGCTTCCCGTTGTCGCTCGAGAGGGGGTCGATGAGGATGAAGCCGTCGCATTGCATCTAATAATAATAAACAATGGCCCGTAGATCGCAGTGGGCGGCTGATCCCACCTTCTTCTACCATCCCGCAAGGCTGGGAAGGAGAGCAGGTTTGTTAGTGACAAGAACTCTTTTACTCTTCGGCCTCCATTCTTCTCCCCCCAAACCCCCCGTGAGTGGTTTTAGGGAGGGATGGAATGATAGTAAGAGGAAGCTGAGCTGACCTTTCGTTCTGGACAGCGCCAGTTTCGCAATATCAGCTCTCAAGCGGCCGTATAGGACTGCCGCCGACATGGGGGGTAGTAGTAACTAATCAATAAATAATCAAAGGGGGGAGGAGTTTGTTGGTTCAATCGCTTTCTTTGTCTGCAAAACAGGAAATAATATATAACTAATGTCAATATCAACAACACACATACACACACACACACATACACACTCATCTCTCATCTCTCATCTCTCATCTCTCTCTCTCTCTCTCTCTCTTTTTCTCTCTTCTGGGAGACGACGACGGGACGGAGACTCGGCCAGTCGGTTTGCCGCGATCACGTCGTCATGCCTCGGCTGGACTGGGCGTTTATTAGTAGTTGGGAGGAGGAGGAGGAGGAGGAGGAGGAGGAGATGTTATCTTTATCCCGTGCAATTGTTGTTCTTCTTCAAAACCATGAGAGCATAACTTTGATAAACTTGCTAATGTCATTCATTTCTTGATATCCAGTCCTGATTTTTAACACCGGCTGGCAGTTGAATAATAATAATAAGAAACCAGACAGCAGTAGTACTAATAAGTAGGTTAGCAATCCGCAAGTCGGGCCCCCCTCGAATTATGGACTTAATCAATCACTTAGGCTATGTTAGCAATAATGACCAGACCTTCATTCAAAAAGTAGAAGCAAGCAGCTCAAATTATATGTAACTATATTTCTGCCCAGTGAGATATGTTCTTTATCCTTATAAATCAATATATGTTCTTATTTAGCGGGAAGGGTAATGAATGGATGGATGGATGATTGTGTGTGTTTTGATGATCTGAAAATAAACAAAAAATCCCCATATTTTTTTTTGGCCTTTCTTTTTTAAAAAAATCCTCTCTATAGATGACAAAAATTAAAAAACCCCGAACCCAACCTTCTATCTAGTTTTTTATTAAAGAAAGAAAGGGAGAAGGAAAGAATTTCATGGAAAAAAAATTGAATAGGAAAAAATAAAGAATCAACAAGAAGAAAGAGATGATATGGAAAAAGAGAGAAAAAAGAGAGAGAAAAAAAATAATGATGCTTCGAGAAGAAACAAGAATAGGAGAAGAGCAACAGAACAGCAAAAACGAAACGCAAAACATTTCTTTAGACCATATTAAACACCCATTAAAAATGAAAATTAAAACAGAAACCAATCATATGAACAGAAAATTAGATCATTAAATTCCCTCCAAGTTGGGGAAAAAGGAAAAAGAACAAAAAAAAAAAAAAAAAGGGAATTCAAAACCACAACGAGATCTATTCTCATTTACATATCCTCATCGCTGAAGACCTCCTCACCCCTCTTGCGTCGGGCCATGCGATCCTTGCGCTTCTTCCGCAACTCGGATGCAGAGAGCTTCTTGGCTTTCTTTGACGATTCAACTTTGTTGCCTGCGAGTTTCAATTTGTTAGCAAAATCTGTTTGGGAACTAGGATGTAATAACAAGTATGGATTTCTTTGTGTGGATATATATATAACATACCCATAGCATCGAACTTCTCCTCATCGTCGTCCTTCTCAGTCAGGCGGGGGCCGGAACCCTGGCCCTGGACCCAGTTGTGGCCGGACGGCTGCATACGGCCGATGCCGTCCGATTCGGATTTCAACACGGACCAGACCTCAGATGTGAGTCCCTCAGTGAATTCCGAGGAGTGAGTGATGATGATGACACCTCCCTCGAAGGCCTTGAGGGCCTTGGAGAGCGCACCGAGCGAGTCACGGTCGAGATAGTTGGTGGGCTCGTCGAGGACGATCAAGTGAGGACGTTGCCATGAGCAAGCAGCAAGCACGACCTTGACACGCTGACCGCCGGAGAGACCGCGCATGCGCGAGTGAGAGACCAACTCCGCATCGAGGCCGAAGAAGGAGCAGTGCTGTTCGATCTCCTTGCGGACGAGGGGGCGGAATTGACCGCTGGCCAGGGCCTCCTTTTGGTCAACCTCCGCGACCATCTTGGCGTGGGTAGCGAGAATCTCGTTACGTGGAATCCAGGCGTTGTCAGCAGTCATCATGGGTGTCCATTTCTCGTTCTTCATGCCGACGTTTTCACCAAGGGCGAAGGAGCACTCGTACTCGTAGGAGTTCTTGAACTTGCGACGGGAGTGGATGCCGATGACGCGGCGTTGGCTGCCTTCAATGTTGTAGATCTTGTCCATGGCCTTCTCGTCTTCCTCAGTGACGATCTTGTTGGCACGGTCCATAGTTTCGCGATCCTCGCCAGTCTGGAAACGCCATTGGATGTATTCAGATGGGGTTTTGTCGAGGTGGTTGTCGATATGGGCGAAGGCGTGTTGCTTGATGTAGGCGATACGGATGTTCTCGTGGTGGTAGATATCACCGGTGGTTGGGATAAGTTCACCGGTCAAGACGTTGACGAGAGTACTCTTACCAGCACCGTTGGGGCCAATGACGGCAATACGCGAACCGAGCGAACACTGGAAGGAGATGTCTGCGATCTGGGGCTTGGAGGTACCGGGATATTGGAACGACATGTTGTTGACACGGACAATAGCCTTGGCCTTGGTCTTGACGCCCTCGAGGAAACCTGGTTCTGGGAACTTGAATTCCATTTCCGAAGCCCCGAGCTCGAAGTAAGAGCGGGCAGATGGGCAGCGCTTGGCGAACTCAGTCAGGTTGCCACGGTATCTGCGGAGCTTGAAGCGTTCGTAGTGGATAACGTGTTGGACGACGTTATTCAAGAACTTGCTATCGTGGGAAACGATAATGGAAGTGCAGGGAGAGTTGATGAGGTAGTTCTCGAGCCACTGAACGTTCTTGACGTCAAGATGGTTGGTGGGCTCGTCGAGCAGGAGGATATCAGGGTCTTCGAAGACAGCACGGGCAAGAGCAAGCTTCATCTTCCATCCACCGGACAGAGAGGTGATGGGGCCTTCGAATTGTTCGCGGAGGAAACCGAACTCGAGGAGACGGTCCTCAATAGCCTTGAGAGGGATCTCAACACCAACATCGGCCAGTTTCTTCTGAGTCCAGCCAATAACAGTCTGCTCAGTATCAGCAGCGTCGAGGTCGTGCTCGACGAAGACAGTCTTGACTTCATCCTTCTTGGGGAAACCTTCGACCTGCTCGTTGTTGATGGCGCGCATGAGGGTGGATTTACCGGAACCGTTGGGGCCGAGAAGACCATATCGTTGGCCACGCTTGAGGCGCAGGTGGGTCTGGTTAAGCAGGATCTTAGCACCGTAGGCCAAGTTGAATGTGCAGTTGCAAAGATCTTCGCCCTCCTCTTCGTCGGGCTCAACCGCGGCCTCTTCCGCAGCGCCGGGAGAAGCACGCAGGCGGAGAGTTTCGGCGACTTCTCTGGCGTCAGCTTCACCAGTAATAGCGGTGATGTAAGGCAGGGTGTTCTCGGTCCACGAGGGCACGTCGACGACCTTCTCGTCGATGAGCTGGCCGGCAATGGCAGCAATGTATGTGATGGTAGCCTCGGAGGTGGCGATCTGGTCCTTGTGTTTGGCTTGGAGAATATCCTTGAGGATGGCGGTGACAGTCTCGACATCACCAGCCTTGGACACCTCGGGGATCTTGCCATCCTTTACATCACCAACACGGATGAGGGTGTCGAGACCTTGCTTGGTCTTCTCACGGGCCTCGGGATCAGCCAGGTTTTCGTAGTTCTTCTCGAGTGCAGGCATGAGTTTTGGCAAGAAAGCGGCGACGATCTGAGGATCTTCGACGAGCTTACACATGTTGTCGACGATGACGGCAGACTTTCGCTTGATGGCGGTCTCACGCTCAGCAAGACCACGGTCAAGCAGGGGAACCATGATGGCCAAGGTGGGCTCATAGACGTCAGTGACGAAGGTGGTAGCACCGAGCAAGTGAACAGTCTCGGGGACATTCTCAGGTTTGGCGATACACTTGATCAGCTCGGGAATGAAGCGTTCGATATCCTTGTTGACGATCAAGCCACAGACTTTCTCCATGATGCTGTAGGCGTATTTCTTGACTTCTGGTTTGGTATCCCACATGGATTCCGAAACAACGGGAATCAAATCTGGGACCCGGTAGGCGAGCTGAGCTGGAGAGGTCTCGACGAGGGCCTCAACGCACTGGAGGCCGGTCATCTTCTCCGTCCATTTTTGGGCGGAGAGAATGGATTTGATGATGGAAGGGAGAACAGCCTTGACGGAGTTTGGGTTGATGGCCTTGACAAGGGCAACGGCAGCGGCTTGTGCAAGTTTCTTCACCGAAACCATCTTATCGCCGACAGCGGCGAGAGTGGGAGCCAGCAGACAGGCCAGGTATGGCTCGAAAGCTGGCGTAACGGACGAGTGGAGGGCGATGGCGAGAATGGCATCGAGGGCACGCTCACGAGCACTGACATCCTTCTTGTTTGAGAGCTGCTTCTTCAGCAGTTCGACAGCCCTGAAAGAAAAAATCTGTTAGCATTTTTTTTTCTCTTATTTTTTTCTCTTTCTTCAACGAGGGCAAGCAAGGTGAGAAGAGAGAGATAAAAGAGGGAAAGGGGGTTTTCATACTTGGCCGGGAGAACCTGCTCTTCGACAGGGCCGTTTAGAAGGGTAGCAATGTTGTTAGCAGCGGCTTTGGCCTCATCTGCGGTCTTGGTGAGGGAGAGGGTTTTGACGAGTTCCTCGAGGACACTCATGGATTTGGAGGAGTCTGTGACGACGGGGACAGGAGTGGCAACGTCGACAGCAGGCATTTTGAAGGTATAAAATTAACAAGACTTTTGGAAGTTTTGAGTGTATAGAAACAGCGAAGGGGGTATTTATTAAAGATTCTCTTCTTCTCTTTTCTTTTGAGCGTGTTGTGTGCGGGACGGAAAAGTGTCCTACAAAAAAAAAAAAAAAAAAAAGAAAAGAGGGCGTCTCGCGAACGCGGGAGAGACCAACGAGATGGGAAAACCGTCTATGAAGGGACTTTTTGTTTTTGTCTATCGCGGCAAGAACTGGACAAGGAAAAGATAGAAAGAGACGAAGGAGATGGAGAAGAAGGAAAAAGAGAGAGAGGAAAAGGGATGAGTGGAGATGGAGATGGAGATGGAGATGGGAGAGGAAGAAGAAGAAGAAGAAGAAGAAGAAAAAAAAAAAAGCGGATGGCAGCAAGAACTTTGTGTGTCTTTTTAAAATCTTTCCCGGGGTTTTTTTTTTGTTTTTTTAGGAAGGGGGGCGAGGTGCCCGCTAGACCTAAACAGGAATGGTTGGTATGGTCTGTAAGCTGGGACAAGGCTAGTTGGCAGAACCTTACAAATACGCGGCTCTGGTTGGCCAGCCGTGGTATGGTACGGTACCGGTGGTTGGCCACTGCGAGAGATTGGTTTTTTTTTTCCATTACTAAGATAGGAATAGCATAGTACTAAGTACATTATTATTACAAGGACTACTATGTAGTAGTAGTAACTTAGTAGGTAAGTGAGTATGAGTAGCGAGATGTTATTGCGAAGTTATTATTATTATATTGGGATCATCAAACGATGAGACCACGCTGGCCAGGCATCCGCTGTATGGTATGACCATTCGCTCAGCTCAGCCGCTGGGCACTGGGCAGGGCGCTTTCATTATTATTAATTATTGTTGTCTATTCTCTATAGTTACTTTTATTATTACTCTCTACCAGCCAATTGGTCCGCCTATTTTTATCCGATTCGCTGGCTCTTGATGTAAGTTACCCTACCCTACCCTACCCTACCGCAGATATGCCAGAATGTTTTTTTTTTTTTTTTTTTGTTATTTTTCCTTCTCCTCTCTTGATCGTTGTTGTTGTTGTTGTTGTTGTTGTTTACTTTTACTGATAAGGATTGTTGATACAGACAGACCTGCCCCTCCTCCGCATTTCTCAAGAGTTAATTAACGTTAACTAATAACTATCCACGTCTTCCATCGGCGGAGCGACGGGACATCGTGGACAGCTAGCTTTGGAAATTTTTTATTTTTTTTTCCCTTATCTGTGGTCCCTTTTTGGTGTCCGACAAGTAAATTGATCTGTGGATGTGGCGGTGTCCCAGGCTGTACTTAACGGAATATTAATGCTAATAAGTCGGTTAGCAACTAATAATAAGGCTGTCGTCCCTTGGCTCACAAGGTTTTTGTTTTTTTCCTTGCTTGCTTATGCTGAAATTTTTCTGACGGATCTGCACAAGTTTCTGCCAAGGTTCAAGGTTTAAAAAATTTTGAATTTCAAAGCTGTGCTTGGTACGGGAGTTTACATACGCAGTAAAGTAGGCTTCAGAGTTGAGTTCTTTTCTTTCTCTTTTTTTTTTTTTTTTTTTTTTTTCCCCTGCTGATTAGACTCTCAACAGGGCTGATTACACCGCCTTTCAGGTCTACTAATTGGTGGTTTTGCTTTCTGTCTCTTACTGGCTGGTTGGCTGCTGTTTTTGATAAAGGGAAAAGTCCACATCGAAAAAAAAAGTGGATATCAATTAGCAGGGTTCTCCCTTTTTCTGTTTCTTATTTTTTTTTTTTTTTTTTTTTTTTTTTTCGCCTTGAGGGAGGCTGGGAAGCGGGATGCAGCTGCCAACAAACGAAGAACAGACTGTTCTGTTCTTCTTGTTCTCGTTGCTTCCAGTATCTACTTGCTTTTCTAGTGTACATGTACATATCTATTTCCTATCCATCCTACGTACATGTACTCCGTACATATATATATATACTTCCTCCTACGGTACCATCAGTATTTTCCTCAGCGGCAAACAATCCAGCCAATCAGCATCCATCACGGGATTTTTGCCGTGGGAAGACTCGAAACATGATGACAACCCCATACAATAATAATAATACATAACAAACTTCACAAGGCTGATGATGGCCGAAAGAGGCAAGGAAAAAAAGAAGAAATGGAAGAAATGGAAGAAATGGAAAGAAAATATCGATCGAAGCGCCTAACGATATTTCGTTATCTGGGGACAAGCAGTTTCAGAGTTCCTATATCAATTATTTACCAAAACCAATCATCATCATAATATTATTAATTATTAAACCAGTCCAATAAACAATGCAACGTGTAAATAATACAGATTTTGAAATGTAGCCTCAAATTCCAAAGTTCTCTCCTGAGTTACTCCGTAGATTTATTATTACAGGATTAGATTATTATTACATTATCTCATCTCATACAACGGATTTCGCCACTAGAATGATTGTTATTATTGTAAAAAGTTCTGGACTGTTTTTAACTGTGCGTACGGAAGCGATAAATCAAATTTCCGTTCCGTCGTCCGTTGATCTGTATTATTTATTTTTATAGATTATATAGTATAGTTACATCAATGTCAAGCCTCTCTCCATTGAAGCTGCAATTAAATTACCTATGTCAAAATGGAAAAGAGCTTGCTGATTTGTATGGCTTAGTTAGTTATGCCCAAAGGTGTTGGTGGTTTCAGAACTGAGTGAGGCCTAACCTAACATATTATTAGGTTTTCAACGTGGAAAGCAATGGCTAAATTAAATAATAATAATAGACTCAAGGCTTGTGACATTTCTGAAGTTAATAAATTATTTAAACTTATTTTATTCTCATTGCCAAACCTTTGCGTCACTTCTTTAGCCTTTAGTTCTGGGCGTTGGAAAACCTTCCCTCAACCTCACGCCGGTATGAAACTTTCTTTTTTATTCCGACAACCTCTAACTACAGAATAATAATAATGATGATGAGGGTTTGTTGGGTTTGTTGGGGAGCGTTCTTGAGGTTTGAGGTGAATTAAATTCGCCTTCGCCGACGCCAACGGGAAACAGTTTGCGCGGCGGCGACTCGGATTCTCGGAAACTATACTCTGTACTCTGTACTCTGTACTCTGTATATACTCCGTACGATGGATGGGCACTCGCCTCATTGGTCTCAGAAATTTATTCATTATTATTATTCATGCCTAGGAACACGTTGTAGTGGCGGCGGCTATGGCGATAATTCTGAGGGACCGACCTGGGTTAGGATAGGATAGGCTGTATGTATGCAGTGTGGGACGAGAAAGAATGCAAGGTCCGTTAAGTAGTTATACAACACGCAAGACGTTCCGCAATTGGTGGTCATTGAATCTTTCCCCGTTCGAGTTTTCTGGTTTGTCTATATATATATATAGTTATATATATATATCTCATCCCAACGAGCAGAAAGGCCGGACAGATGCCAGCGAAGTGTCAACGGGCCCGGCCAGCGAAAGCTGGCTTACAACAAGGTGATGTGGTGCTGATTACCTGCTATATATGTGTGTTAAAAGTACGTCAAGGCTAGTAGAAGCAAAGGAAGTCCTGAAAGGACAAAGGGAGTCAGTCTAATACATCTCATGAGGCGACTCGCCTGAAGCACTCGCTGACATTGTCAGAATTGCCCTTTCTTCCTCTCCTGATGATCGATCATATTGGATATAACTCGAATGAATCGCCGCCCCACGCTATTATTTTCTTTTCATTTTCCCCCCCTTGTTCCTAGTTTCTCTCAAGTTGCCCTCACTCTGAAATGCGCGTCTTCATTTCTGTCTGCGTTTCGCCATCCAACATCCAAACACCCAACACCCGGGCGAATGAGTGAATGCCTTTGTTGGTTTTGTTCCGCCAACAAGGAACACTCCCGTGGCCAACATCGCCCGGGATAAGGTCTCTTGGTGGCTGTTTGTCCACATCTGCTTCTCCCGGAAAGTAAACAACAAAAGTTGCTCAATTCAAGAATATACGTCTTTCTTTTAATTCCGTGTGTTGGTAAATTCTGAAACCAACATACGCGTGGTGGCTCAATCACCTTCACCATTTCACTATTTCAAAAGAAGACTTGTGCCTCTGATATCCACACGTATATACATTTGGTATATACGCTACCTGTGAATTTCCTGTAACGCCGGTTCAAGTGCCACTGGTTCATTGTCTAGTTTCAGACTTGTTCTGTGGGTTGCCCTTCTGTTCCGTGTGGAGAGTACCTTTTCCATCACCAACAAGTAGGAGGAGGCTTCAGACGTTCTCATACTCACATACATCGATAAATGCTCATCGACATCTATCATATATAATATTGCCCATGACATCTACAACTTTCTCTCTGTTAACCTCTCCAACAAAACTAAAGCAAGCCGCCCTGCGAACTCTCTCCAAACAATCTTCAACAGCTCAATAACGAATTAAGCATTCAGCATGCCCGCTTCGGGGTCCCCTATCACGCCCACTACATCCTCACCACGTTGGTACGGGAGGACAGACCACACGCAGAAGCACACTGCCCTTGACTATGCTGAAGAAGTAGGAAACCCCTTTGCGGGGACCCTAACACCTACGGGGAACTTAACACCAACCGAGAGCCGAACTCCAAGGACTGATCGTCGTTTTCCAAGCACATACTTGACAGCCACCGAACGAGCACCCCCGGACGCCTCGCAGGCAATTTCTAACATCAACTTTTCAGACAGCCAGATGTGGTCCCGGGGGGACGCCGATCTGGAGGATTCCGAACAGGCAACCCGACTTCCTACACTGATCTTACCCCCCGCGGATGCTCCAAAGCTACACCCGGATCACCCCCTAAGCGCGGACTTCACCACCGCTGAAATGAAGACTGCGATAGCATCACAGGCGACGCGCGACGCCGCAGCAGCCATGTTTGAAGGCCCAAGCTTCTGCCCAACCAGAGAATTACAGATGCCCCGGACCGGATTCTGTGCCCAGCTCGGCCTCCTCTTCGTAGCCCTTTGCCCCATCCTCATCGTCCCTCTCTTCTGCACTCTTGCCTTGATTGGACTTTGGATCCCCGAGGGACATGGCCATAATAATACTATTAATTCTACGCATGGACTAACGGTGCCGCCGTCTGTTACGGTAACGCAGACGCAGGTGTTCACCCAGGGAGAAACGAGAGGGACTATGCTACCTACTAGCGGGGTTGTGGAGAGTACGAAAGCTGTGGAGGATTCGGCGATATTTCTATTTCCGAGTGCTGTTCATCCTAATGGAGGCCTTGGGCGATAATTAGCGGGGAGGTGGGGGCAGTTAAGGGTTGCTTGTTGTTCAAGAGTCAAGACTGATGGTGAATATTTGGTTCTTACTTTTTACCCCTTGGCAGTTTCGCGAAAAGAAATCTGATTGTCTGAATGGATGGAGCATTTGGTGGTTCTCACAATTTCGCTTCTGCCTTTCATTTCTTTTTCATGAATTTCCCGGAATACGATATCTATCTTTTCAAAGCACATCTTCATCATGCTTGAGAATGCCACTGTTGATACTTGGTTAGATGGGTAAATGACTCTAGACATGCACATTCACTATATCAAACTGGCCGTGTCATACTGGTGCTTATCTTGCACTTATACCTCACTCGTGCTCCTCCCTTTCGTATGGAGATCGGAAACTCACCAGCTACTCCAACATGCTTCCTTCACTGGATTGCGTGCAATTTAATTAACGCTCCCAGGGCAGATCATGCTTTACCCACTTCTTGTTGCTCTGTTTTCCCCAAATTACTTTCTCCATTGTTTTATATTTCGATATTACCGCTACTGTTTGATGTGCCAGGAAGAACTGGCTTTATTGACGATCACGATTCCCTCATATCCTGCTACGCATAAAGGAAATATCACACCGCACGATATTTGCAACATGCTTCTGCTTTGCGCCGACGCATAGTAGGACTGTCGATTCCCGTTCTCAACACCATCGCCTGGCAAAGTATCACACCGGAATCTTTGTGACTAGACACGGACAGCTTGACGCCCAAACAGCGCGGTAAAAGGTGTTATAAGACCCTGATCCCCTTGTGCTAGGACGCTTATTCATACTTCCGGCCACCTCTTTAAACTGAACCACGACTACCTTTACTACCCTTGACCCGAAGAGATGGATCCAGGACAACTACATCCACCATACCCACCGCCTCCGTACACTAGTCGACCAACCACCCCCGGTCTCGAGGTTGATGACTTCCACGATAATACCCCCGGCCCTTCCTCCTCTGCAGCTCCAAACAACACACGTAGCGGTGCGGCATTCCACCCGCAAAGGCAATATATACCTCTGCAAAACCTCCCTTCGCATTCCCACAATGCGCCCAATAACATCGCTGAGAACGAAGATTCAATCCCCGCCCATATCCTTGCTGAGTCCAGAGAGTTGGCAGAGCTCCATCGGATGGCTTTGGATTTAACGATTGGAAATGGCGGTGCCGACAATGGCTATGGATCGCCGTATCCTGATTTCGAGGACCCAGATGGTCAAGCCACTCACGGCGATGCATCATCGGGATATGAAGATTTTGTCGAGCCGGATGGACAGCCCCTCCCCTCAGCCCAAACAAGTATCCACGGTGGAGGAAACACACAAGATAATGTTTCTGTAGTCAGTGTCGGAGCTAGCCATGGACCGGCTGCCGGGGTTGTAAATGCTTCCGCCGCTGCGCAAGCTACACAACCAGTGATACAGCCACAGCCATTTGTACATTCATTTATACCTTCAGCTATACGACCAGCACCAGTTCAAAATCCGAACTATGTCCCCCCGTACGGTCCGTATCCATTTCCTACTGTCCATCAGATATACGTGGGCAGCCCGGCGCCGGTACTCCCCAATGCAGGTGGAGGAGGTGCTAATCAAGGTGCGAATAATGTCGTTCCGGCACAGGCAAATGTCGCACAGCCTGCGAATAATCCGCCAGCTACCGTCCCACCGTCTAACACCACTTACAGACGCTTCAAGCGCCCCAAACGCTCCAAATCTCGCCGATAACGCAAGTGCTTCAACAGGCAATCCACACACGGGTGAAGAGTATGAGGACTGGGCTGACCCCGCCGGACCACCGCCAAGTACCAACAACAACAATACTGTCAATGCCGGAACCACGGCTCCCAGAGTTCTACAAACGTACGCCTGTGCCATTAAACTCAAGCACATCATCTGGATACTCGTTGGGCTAACAATGTTCGTCATGGTTGTTGTCATTATAGTTTTAATCAGCCGGCGGACTCCTGCGGAGAAACTCGCCAATGGTAGTGGTACTGCTAATAGACCAGACCAACCTGTTCTGCCATATGTGTCCTCACCTACTGGTAGTGGTGTCTCGTTGATATCCCCGTAGCGGCGGCTGTGGTGGACGGGACGGTGACGATGAGAAGGAAAATGTGAGATTGTGATTAGGAGCAGTGGCGTTGATAGTATTTTGTGTTGGCACTCCTCTTCTTGGGTTCATATAATTGTAGACTAGGTAGTAGACGGTTTCTACATAGCAGCACTAAATAAGTTAATCTCATTAGTTTTGGGTAGATGTTTTCAATTCTCTTGTTCTTCAATAATATTTCTCCCATCATTTTTATACTTCCCCGAGCGATATGATCGATAAGATAAGGTAAAGTTAACTAAGGTTTCCCGGCTCCACTTACATGATTTGTGTTCAAACACTGCGCAGACGTTGGACTTTTTAACAACTACGGTGCCTGATATATATATTATTATAACGGCCTCTACTGCATGCTACTTGCCATGGTCGTCGCTGAATAAAGCTCGACTAGGCAACTGGACTTTTGCGGTGAGACAACCAGGCAAGGCGGGGGGGATTGGCTGAAAAAATTATTAAAGAAAAAAACCGCCACAAAAAAGGAAAAAAAATATAGAAACTGGCGCCAAATAAAAATCTACATATGGCGGACTCAGAACATCTCCCAGCGTCCTTGGACCTTTTATACACCAGTCCATCATCTTCCTCATTCTCCAGATATGACGCTCTCCGGCTGTCGGACGAAGAATGCCAGGCCATCCTCCGCCTCCCGCTAACTCAGCGGGTTTGCGGCCGAGCTGAGAAACCAGCCTCCGCAGATGCTCAAGAGGATGTCAAAATTGGCCGTCTATCTTATATCGATTTCCTCGTCAAAAATGTTGACGCGATATTCAGCGTTGATGATGCTGCCGATGCGCCATTTACGCGCTCGCAGCTCCTCCACATTGGTGTTGCAGCCTTGTTTGCGTTTCTGCAGGCAAACGTCACTGGCCCTCCGTTGCCGTTTCGGTCATCAGATCTACTGATTCCCAAATTCTTGATGGACACGAGCGATGCGGGGTCCAATGCGCCGCAAATTTTGCAATCATTACGCGAGACGATGGTGCGCAGCTTGACCGTTGACGGTGAGGCGGCGTATAAGCTCACCCCCAACGTCGAGCTGTTCTGTCTTGCCAAAGCGATCCTGAATCATACGGCCCTCACCCCCGCTTCCACGGGTGATACCGACAAGACGTTGACTGCTCCATTGGTGGCCTGGGCTTCTCGGATGAGGGTTAATTTCTTACACCAGAAGATGCTATCGGAAAATACGACGACCCTGCAGTCTCTCGTTTATGCCGACTTGGACTTGATAGCGGAGAGGATTTTCGCCGCTGATTCTGCATCGTCGCGCTCTGCGGAGGAACGCGCAAGGTTTCTCCTAGAGAGAGCAACGATTCATACCCACCATGGATTCGATGCCAAGGCACGAGCAGATCTTGAGCGTGCAGCGGGCGAAACGGGATTCCAGTACGCGCTTACAGGAAGGTTGGGGAAGCGGACGAAGTTTCAGGACCGGGACATTAGTCAACTGGTCGTTTTGGCGAAGAGCGCAGATGGAGAGCATGTGTCGTCGGCCCCTGAGGCTAAAGAAGACCAGCCAACGCCGGAGTCGAAGATGGAGACAGCGGCAACACACAGCGCCGCACCCAAGAACTTGGATCTCAATGACGACACACTTTTGGAGGCAATATCATTTAAGAAAGATGAGCCTATGGAGGAACAAGAGAAATCAATGACGGTGCAGGACTCCTCATCCTTGCCACCAGCTCTTGCGGCTCTTGACCCCTCAGATCAGCCAAAACTGAACGCGCTGGATTCCATCATCCTTCTCTCCATCGCATCGGCCATCACAAATACCTCGCCACAACACGGCCTCACGAGAGAAGAAACGCTGCCTTATGCGACACGGGTTCTCGACGGCGGAAGCTCGAACTGGCAAGTCTATTCCCAGGCTCTGCTCGTTCGAAGTAAAATCGAAGGGTACAGATCGCGAACGGTAGAGCGAGGTTTGCTACAGCTGCAAGCACTGGTCGACCAGGTTATCGCTGACACCGCATCTGATCCTATTTCCGACACAGACAAAGCCGCTGAGCAGGCCACTACCTTCCTCCCTCGCCCAGAAGCATCAGAGTCAGCGCCAGCAAGCGACCGGCTACAGTATATTTGGCTTTTAAATTTCTCTACGAGATGGGACCTCGAAGCCGAGCTTGCTTCGCGATGGGTCAGCCTAGGCGGGCTCCGTAGTGCCCTTGACATCTACGAACGATTGCAAATGTGGGCAGAAGCCGCCCTGTGCTATGCCGCTACGGAAAGGGAAGAAATGGCTAGACTCTTGGTGCGGAAACAGCTGTTCAACCGTACGAATCCTGACTCTACAGATGACAATGACACCTTTGAAGGTGCCGAGCTTCCACAGCTCCCAGCAGATGCTCCACGCCTGTTTTGTATTTTGGGTGATATTGACAGTGACCCTGCAATGTACGAACGTGCTTGGACAGTTTCAAATCAGCGATATGCCCGTGCCCAACGCTCCCTTGCGCGCCATTACCTCGCCGCCAAACCACCTTCATTCGAGAAAGCAGAGGAAGCATATCGCAAGAGTTTAGCTATCAATCGGCTCAACCACGGCGCCTGGTTTGCAGTTGGCTGTGTGCAACTGGAACTGGAGAAATATGAAGATGCGGTGGAGTCTTTCACGCGAAGCGTCCAGCTGGAGGAAACAGATGCTGAGGCTTGGAGCAATCTCGCTGCAGCATTGATCAATCTTCCACCGCCGACCACCGTTGAAAGCTCCGAACAAAATACCACCGTAGTAGCTGCAGCCGCAGACGAAGATGAATCAATGCCTACCCAACAAAAGCCGGACCCCCACAAACACAATCGAGATGCCCTGGCCGCTCTCAAACGTGCAGCCAGATACAAACACACAGACCACCGCATCTGGGACAACCTCCTAACCGTCAGCGCCTCAATCCCACCCCCCGACACCCCCTTCCGCGACATCGTCTACGCACAGAAACGCCTCATCGAGCTCCGCGGCCCCAAAGAGGGCGAACAGGCAATCGACATCAACATCCTCACCGCCCTCATCAACACCCTTACAGCAGAGAACGCGTTTGACAGCGATAGCGTTGATGAGGCAAAGTCAACCGCAGCAGCCCCTGTCTTCCGCCGCGGCTCCCTCCCAGCAATAATCCTCGCCCTCCTCGACGAAGACGTCATCCCGCTCATCACGCACTCGGCACCGCTCTGGCTCCTCGTCGGGAAGGTAGAGGCATGGCGAAAGCGGCCATCCCGCGCGCTCGCGGCGCATGAGAAGGCGTGGCGTGCCACGGTCGCGTCGTGCACGCAGGGCGCGTTCCAGACGGGCGACGAAGGGAAGTGGATGGAGGTTGTAGAGGCGACGGAGAGGGTGGTTCGTGAGGGATATGCGGCTTTTGGGCCGATGGATAAGGAGCGGGAGGGAGATGTGATTCCGGAGGAGGGTGCGGGGGGAGGCGGGGCGGAACTTGTTGCGAAGGATTGGAGGTTTAAATCGCGTAGTGCGGTGAGGAGTGTGCAGGGGAAGGGGAAGGAGTTGTGGGAGGGAACTGAGGGTTGGCGGCGATTGAAGGAGTTGAGTGGTGAGGTTAGCGGGGGTAATTAAGTTACATGATTGCGATAGGAATGTATCCTCTGCTGAATGATTTGTGTCAATCGTTAGTACGGTAAACATATAGACAATAGACAGAGTTGGAGCTTTTACTGATATTGCAATTTGACGTTGTTTAAAAAGTGACTGTTATTATCAGCTATTTAGTTGGTAATTTAATGTTTAAAAATTATAATTATTCTAAAAACGTCCAGGTAGAAAGGTACGATGAAAATATTGTAGAATATTTTTTTTTAAAAAAAAAACAAACAAAGAGGAAAAACCAGAAAGGGGAAAAAAAGGAAATAAAGAACACAAACATATAACAACATTATTCCCAGTGAAGTATCATATCAGAAGATATGGCGTTGCATTTCTTCCATTGTATGGAGTTGTGATAAGTTGCCAGGATCAATCCAATGAAGCCCTACCATAATCTATGTGTTGCCAGGAAATATGCCCAAAACAACGTCAACTCTGGGGGGCAGCGTGCTGGAACGCAGTGGGCAAGGCGTCGAAAGATCAAATGTCACTCTGAGTAAAATGGATGCCAGAGCAAGGGCAGATTTGGTTTCTCGGGGCGTCGTGGACTGTTGACACTGTCAGCCGATAGGCGAAGAAGGTCAAGATGTGTGTTCAAAGACTCTCGTGGACCGCTGGAACCGGGGGAGGGGAAAGGGAAGCTGTCTTGCGCGCAGTAGACGACTTCTCCCCGGTATTCATGGCGAATTCAATATGCTAGCTCCGGGTCCCGCAATCCGTCCCTTAAATATTGCACAGAAAATGCCCATTCCAATACCTAACCGAACAACTTGCTCATTGGTTATATGGGGTATAATATCCAACTCGTATCCTTCGTTCTGTAAGACTGTTTGGCCGCTAGAAGGGCCTCGCTTCTTCGAGGTCTTTGTGTGTTATTAACCAGGCGAAAAACTCGTTGATGAACAGCTCTGCGTGCGCGCCGAATTTAGGGATTGGAGTGCTTAGGATGGAGGTGGGAGTAGGATTTGAAGAAGAAGCATTGGGCGGGCTCGCAGGATTGTACAGATTTGAAGATGAGAAGTTCGAATGCTGGTCGTCGTTTGTGCTTAATTCTCCAATTGCTTCCATGTAACTATTTATTTAGTCATCGTCACGTTGAATATGTCACCGGATGTCACCGTATTTGAACCAGTAGATCCTGTAGCTGCAGCCGCAGCGGCAGTGAGAAGAGCTATATCTGCTGGTGTAGTTATGAGGCGCCTGCAATGCGGGGGGTAGAAAGGGTTGCGGCAGGTTTGGCTTTTCCCTCCTCTCCCTCTCCACTCCTCAGCAATCTGTTCGCCAGCTCTCTCGACGGGGTCATGGTAGTTGCATCCCCACGTTCAATGTCATCTATCTAGCTATCAATCTCAGTAATCCGTAGTCGAATATGAGAGTTGTCAAGAGATACCAACAACAGTCTTTAAAAGTTATGGCACTTCCTGTTCTGACAACGCATCGTGTAATTATCTCGCGCTCAATCCGCGAGAAATCCGGCTCGATTGGCCTTTGATTTTGAGCAGTTGTTGCGGATCGTTCACCATCTGAGGCCCCAAGGATTCGGAGACATTTAGCAGGGCGTTAGGAAGAAGGTTCTGGTCCATTTTTAACCCTCCAGTCGTCTTTTCAGTCTCAGCGTCTGAGGAAATCTGCCAGTCGTATCAAAGCCGCAGGATCTCAGGTATTCAGCTGATTGATGTATTTGAGGATTGAGCAGATAGATCAATAAGATTAAAGTAGTAACTTCAATTTTGAAACCACCCATTGTCTCCTTGTGATATTCCTTCAACAGGCGCATAATTTCCTTCCAATCCATCTGCTCTTCAAGGGTTACTGCGGCCTGCGGCCTGCGATCAAGGTTTTTTTTGTTGATATTGCCACGCATCCGGCTGGCTTAATCAATTCTGGTTCATAAGATACGCTTCCATCTGGATGTGAGAGAACAGAATACATTTCCCAGCATGAAAATCCCGCTTTTTGATCTCCTCCATGCCACGGATAATCACACGTTGATATAGCCGAAATGGTAGTATAGGGTTGGTTTTAGAGGTAAGGGTTCGGGGAGGTGGGCGATTGGAGTACTCGGCCTTTGAGCTGTGCCTCCTCCTCCCCCTCCTGTTCATCATCATCGCTTCTAGAAGCTCATCTCTATCCCGCGGAACAGGTGGTGGTTTGGGAGGGTTTTCGTGCCGTGTAGCAGGTATCTCTTTGCGGGCTGTAGCAGTCTTCGAAACGCGAGAACAACAGCGGGACGTTAGCAGTCATATTGAATATAGGCAATGGATGCGATAAAATTTCAGGATAAAAGATGCTGCTTTTCAAGGAGTATGAAGGGTTAGACCAACGTCCTGGCGCACAAATCTACTGCGTATACGGAGTAGACTCAAAGAAGCTCTGGGGGCGAAAAATCCCTGTAATCAGACCCCTGAAACTTAAGCCCAAGCGTCAGGGGTAACAAAAGATAGCGACGTAGGAGTGTTTTCTCTATCTACGACTCAAAGTTCTGCACCTCCTCCATACTTCAGCTGAATGATATTAAAGATCCTGCGAATACGTGAATATTCTAGCTATTATTTGTGTTTTCGCAGACAATCTCCCTGGTGCCAACAACCTGACAGAAGTTTGCATCCAGTGAATGAGAATTAACCACGCCCCAAAATAAACCTCTCAGAAAACGGCATATTGCCATTTACACTGCTGGGTAGGATTTGGAAGCGAATTCGATATTTCTATCTCTCTATCAATACAAGCAACGGAGTATGAAAAACAATTGTAAAGCAAAAAAAGTGAGGAACATGGTTATCGCATATCCAATCCAAACAGCACAGGGAACAACAGGAGCAGAACGAATGTTGAAACATAAGAGATAACATTCCATGTTTTTGTGGAAACCATCACCAAAATAGCCTCAGAAAATACCGCACAGTCCTGTTCCTGACCCCACAGCACCTGGTTGGGCCATACCAGGGGCAATTAGGAGATTACCTACCTGGTAGCATACAGTGTGGCATGGGCGCAGTAAATACCAATGGGTCGGAAGTGCAACACTGCTAAAAGAACCGTCGCAGGGAGAATTGGCAAGGGAGGAATTGCGACCTAACGAATCATCATTTTCGCTCGCCCCCGTTGTCGTCATACCCATCTAAAAGTATATCTCAGCGCCGTGGGAAAGGACTGTATAGTCGTCACGATCCAAATAGTAAACCCTACAAATGGTAGGCGGCATAAAAAATTAGACTGATTCCATATTCTCCATGACCTTTGACTCCTTCATCAAATTGGTCTTGCCGTTGCCCCATACTGATTCTTACTATCAGTTTCAACCTGCGGTGAGCCATCGCTAACAGCACATTCATTTTCTGGTGTTAACACATCTGCACCGGGGAAGCGCATATCTGGTTTGCAACGGTTCAAGGGAGAGTCGTTCCTTATTCTGCGTTTTCTGACCCTATGCTCGTTGGTTAATTTCGTCAGGTTAGGTGCCGGCCTATGCCTAGGCGCATTCGGCCGGGATACTGCAGCTCGTTTCAATGAGGCAATGGCACCAGCGGGTTCAACTCTAGTCGTTACGGGTTTCACGAGCAGTTTTACTGGAGTGGGTTCGTCCATTATCCGGCCACCGTAAGTTGCCGCAGAGCGTCCCTCCAACTTCGGAACACCGGATCCGTAGTGCATATTATTAGTGACTGGTTGGTGGACCGGATAGCCTCCGCTACATTGAAGGTCGGAGGATTGGGCAGTCAACTGCGGTTGCGCGTTTGAGAAATAATTACCGTAGGTGTTCCATTCATGATTGTCCATAGTCACCAAGGAGTGTACATGTCCCCGTTTAGCAGCACTGATGGGAGTCGGTTGCATCATGGGTTGAGGATATAAACTGGGTTGCATCGCCCTGTTTATTGGCATGTTCGCCTGCGCGTGGCCCAAAAACGGCTGCGATGTAATATGGGTGGCTTGTGCAGCTTGAGTAGCTTGGAGAATATGGGTAGCTTGCAGAACTCGAGGAACTTGGGCAGATTGGGCAGCTTGGGTAGCTTGGGTAGCTAGCGGAACTAGAGGAACTTGGGCAGTCTGGGGAGCTTGGGTGGCCTGGGTAGCCTGGAGATATTGGTAATGTTGTGGCATAGCAGAATTTGGTAGGTTGCCTAGCTCCTTAGGTCCCGCGTCGCAGGGTACGGGACCGTATCTGTGGGCAGGATTTATTATCGGTTGAGGGTATGCCGCGCCTTGGTTGCTGTCGCATAGGCCGTGGTTGATTCCCAGCTGATAAATACGTTGCGCATATTGATCCCATTCAGGCATCTCTTGGAATGAGTTAGTCGTTGAGCTTGAACAACGCCAGTCCGCCCCAGTATTGGCCGGGTCGCACATAGTGGCTGGCAAATATAAGAAAGAGAGGGGGAAGGAACAAATGCCTATCCCGAGAATGACAGTGGGATTTTAAGTATACTCATTCAATAGAAACGAATGTGATGGACTAGCATAGAAAGAATATGAAAATGCTATGCTAGCGATGAACTGATACAGAATAAGATAGAAGAAAAGCCCGGAGAGTGATTTATGTACGTTGGAGTACGAGCCAACACACATTTGAGAAGGAGACGCCCAGTATAATAGAGAAATGGAAGCGGCTGCGTCCTCCGTCATATAAGGGAAGGAATTCCCCAGAACAATCGTGACTGCAAAAGTAAGAATAATTACGCTCCAAAGGAGTAGAAAGAGTATCTGATGAAAAGGGGGAAATGTTTGAAAGTGGTAAGCATACCCAGCGTCCAAAATATTCGACTGAACTCATTGGTGCAGCAGGATTGTCTCAATCATTTGCTTTCCTGGTGAAAATTTAAAATTCAAAATTCAAAATTCAAAATTCAAAATTCAAAAAAAAAAAAAAACTTCAACCCAGGATTTCAACCGCATCAACGCATATTCTTTGATTCCGTCCAAAAAAGGCATCATCATATAGCACACGCCGTCTAGAAAGAATCGTGAATCAATAACGTAACCCTTCTGGCCTGTTCCAATCTGCCGTAGCAAACTTCGCCATGATCGAAGCTCTCACGGTAATCTCCTGCGGCTCTAGGTCCAATGAGTGTCCACTTGAACCTGGATCATCAACTCTGGCCGTCATAGCTCTAGCCATGTGGAGCGGCCCAGATACAGACGTAGATCCACCCTGGTCGTTAATTTCCACCGGGAAAACCTCACGATGAACCGTCTCCGCGAAGTCGTTGGCCTTCTCAATTGCGTCCATGAGTGGCTTCTTCCGCGCCTCCTTGGCTAACTTCTCCGCCGTCACGTCCATCAGCCGCCAGTTGACCGCCCGCACTTCTACAAACGGCATCATGAACAACTGGGACGCGATCTCGCCGAGTTTGGCAAAGTCGCGGAAAGTCGCGGAGAGGTTGGCGAAGACTGAGAATTGGCGCAGGCTGGTGGGGTTGTCGTCTCTGTCCGTGGGGACCCTCGACGAGGTGGTGATTGATGCGATATCAAACGCCGTTCTGGGCGGCTTCCTCCTGGCTTGAACTTTCCGCTGATACGAGCACACTGAGATGGGCCCTCTCAGCAATACGGTTCAGTTGAAATTCAACAAAAACGTTAATTTCGAGGGTAGGCCTGGTGGTCATGTTTGAGGTTTGCGCTCACGGAAGTTGGAGAGGGCAGTTGAGGTGGTATGTATGTATGTATGTACAGTACATTAGATGAAAGGCGAGAGTAGTCAAATGAAACATGTTGGGGGTCCCGGGTTGATCGGCCCTTCTACCAGCAGTGCGCTGGTGGTGAACTGAGCTCTTTTGCCCCAGTAGCCTACAAAACATGTACCCCTATCCTCTGTAGAATGGTGAATGAAGTAAGAAGAAGGGAAGAAAATGATATTTAGTTGATGTGAGTGACCACCAGCAAGCAACACGTGATGGCAGTTAGACTCGAATGTTTTTTTACAGGCTGAGCAGCAATGTATGATAGAGGAGTGAAATTTCATCAATTTATTAAAAAAAATAACAATGGATAAATCACAATAGCATGAGGCTAGAATGTACATGCACTTTCATCAATCATTCATGCAATGTATCCACACTCATTCATACAAAGCATCACTATATATATAAAGTGTGGAACCTGAAGTTATGCGTCATAGAAAATTACCAATGAAAAGAGAAAGAAGAAGAAGAGGGAACAGGCACGTTTCACGTACATGTACTCCGTACGTGTATAGTGCTGCATATTTTAGAAGAGGAAAACCGGGCAAATAGGGAGAAACTGAAAGAAGCAACGATCGATTCCCCCCCCCCCAAAAAGAAGAAAAGAAAAAAGAAAAAAGCCCTTCTATTTATCACCCCTTTAGGAGCTTGCGCATCTGAATGCAAAAAAGTGAGATATGATCGAGGAAAAGCCATGTATATGGATTTTGTATAGAAAAAGGAGGCCCGTACTAACGCCGGAAAGATGGGAAGCGGAGGAAAGAAAAAGAAGAAAGAGGAGCTATTATGAGACATGATGCAAGTGGAAATGGACATTGAAATAGAAATGAACGAAACTTTTTCTTTTCTTTTCCCCCCACAGCCCAGATACATACGTGCAAAACATCGCTGTTATTATGGATGGTTCGCTTGTTTGGTTTTTTTTCTTTTTCTTTTTCTTTTTTTTTTTTCCCTCTCGCAGGAGCATGTATGGAGTAGCAAACTTGTCTGTTATGCGGCCCGCGGGGTTTAGAAATTGTGTCGGTGTGAGGGAAAGGAGGGGGGTAAAGGGGGAGAAACAGAAAGAATAATGCCGGTTTTATGTATCTGGGAGAAAGAAAAGAATGTGCATGAACATGAGTATGAGCATGGGCAAATGGTAAAAAAAAGAAAAAGAATAAATAAATAAATGGAGGTCCCAAAAGCCGTAATTCTAGTTTACTTGGTTTGAAGCCTGGCCGCTTGATCTTTGTCGCATCTGTTCTCCCAATAAATCAACAGAGCGCAGCGGACGGGGTTTAGATAGTTAGAAAGGAAGGAAGAAAAAGAGACGAAAGGAAAAGTAAGGGACAACAAAATATGAAATGATAAGTTACACCAACCCACGACAAACCCCCCTTCGATACGAAGAGAAACTTTTCCAGCCCAAAGAATACCCTCTTCTCCCTAATATCATTTCATTTCAGGCCATTAGGTAAGGAAAATTGAGTTCATTCATTGTAACCATTGAAGAAAAACGACTCCCGTTTGCCCCGGTCCGGCCGCCGCCAACCAAGCCATCCATCCATCAAATAAAAGCGAGAATGTGTATCCGACATAGTGCCTAGTTCTGTTACGACGCCGTGACCGGCCCGTCTTCATCGGGCACCCGCAGCTCGACAACAGGCATGGAATCATCGTCATCATCTAGATCCGGCGGCTGCGTGATATTCTGCACGGCCGCCGTGGACGATGACATGTCTGCATCGTCAAATATCATGCCGTCCTGATCCTCAGAATCTTTCAGCATCGCTAGGCGGGATTCAGAGTCGCTGATGTCGCCACCACCGACGGCCTTGTTGCTCGCGTCATCGTCGAGGTCGTCATCGCCATCGCCGTCGGAGAAGGAGTTGGCGGGCGCGGGTATGAAACTTGGCCCCCTGCCATATGGCGGTGCGGCTCGGTCAAACGACCAGATGGGGTGGCTGGAGAAATTCAAATCGGAGCCAAAGCTGGGGTCAAATCCTTCGTCCTCTAGATCCATGCCTTCCAAGTGGTTATGGTGGTTGAACTCAGAGTACTCTGGTGGGCTGTCGTCATCCCTCGCCTGGATTCCGCCCCGCAAACCACCATCTCCCGACTGGTGAATTGCTCCGGCTCCGGTTAATGCGCTCGACGACCCATTGCGGGAGGAGCCGCCGAGGCGCAGGCCTTCCCCCGAAGGGGAAAGTACGCAGGAGTCGGTCTGTGAATCAGAGTCGGCAAACTCCCGATTTTTCGCTGTTTCGGTGACGGTTGCTAGGTAATCTCCGCCTAAAGGGACATCGGATCGACGACGATAGAATAGAAGATATGCGGCTGAGGTAACTACGGAGGCAGGGTTGTTCTTCTTTGTAACGTGAGAGTCTTCGACAGCGTTAGCAGGTTCCCCAAAAGCAATAATAATTTGGAAAAAAAAAAAAAAAAAAAAAAAAAAAAAAAAAAAAAAAAAAAAAAAAAAAGCCGAAGTATTCCTTACCATTGTATTCGTACCAAGTATCGTTAATAAAGTTCTTCGCATATGCCGTGTAATGCCCCCCACCAAGGCCACCGTAATGGTTATCAACTGCAATCAAATCATATATCAGGCTTTTCCCTTCTTCAGGCATCTGAACCCGGCCAGTCATGTCGAGCTCGAGCGGGAAATCGACAAGCGCGTCAATCTTATCTCGGAACCCTCTATTGGCGCTGAAGCGTTTAAGATGCATCACAAGAATATCTGGGCATTTCCACAACTCGAATTTCTTCGACGCGCGCCTGTGCTCCTTGCAGCGAGGACAATACCAAGCGTCGTTTTCGGAGAGGATCTCCTCTTTACCAAACTCATCCAGGCACTCGTCAAGACTGATTCCGCACTTTTTCCGCGTCTGGCGCAGTTTACGTCTCTGTTCAAGCTCAGGATCTGGCAGAGCATCGATACTCAGCCACGTCGCTGAGCCTCGTAGTGCGTCATCCTCAAGCGGATCGCCGGCAAAGAGGCCATCATATGCGTTTTCATTCCAATCAAGAACAATGCCCTCTCCAGCACGAATCAGCGGGATAGCGCCGGGAGGCCCATTTTTGGACGGCGCAGACTTGAGTTTTCGGCGTCCAGCGCCGTGAAGAATCGTGGAGGGACTTGAATATGAATCTGAGCTACTTTCCGTACCACTGTCATCCTTGGTTTTCTGAGAGCTAGAGTCATCAGAATCATTATCATTGGCGCCCCTTGAACGAGCGATATCTACTCTACGAGCGGGGGCGTTAAGTTCGTCTTCGCTGCTAACAGGACTAGTTCCACGGCATGCAGGGAACTTTTTCTTCGCAGAGGTTCGCTTGGCTTGTTTTCTCGGCAGTCTAGAGGCCATTGAGGTAAACTCTTTTATCTCATCTACAGTAGACCAGCCAGTAGGCACGGCGTCGGTTGATCGCATAATCTTCATTTCGAATAGGTTGCGAAGCATGGGCGGTATGAAACTCCTAGGTCGAAGGACTTTTGGAATCGAGGTAGTATCACCTCTGACACTCGATTTGGCTTGGGTGGATGAATCGGAGCTGTCTCGCATGGATACATCAACGAGACCATCCTCACCGTCGATTGAGGAAACCTTGATCTTGGGGTCGGAGGAGTCAAAGTCGTCGTCATTGGTCACAACGGTATCAGAATCCTCAGCAGCACTGGAGTTCATTACAACATCCCCTTCATCCTCACGAAGGATGTCTCGCGTCGTCAAGTTGGCCACATTCCGCAGAACCTTGCGAAGAATGCTATCATAATCATATGCCTCTTCACGCGTAACGATAGTATATGAAGGAGCACCGAAGAGTTGCCGTGTGACCCTAGCGCCCTGCTGTTTGACGACGCGGTTGAAGACTGGGATGATCATTCGATCGCACCCGGGCGACTCGAACGCCGGAATTTCCTGGTCGGATGTATTGCTGTGGGAGAAAGCGAGGCTCGAGTAGGCGGAGCGTCGGGGGGGCTTATCTGGGTCGTAGCTGGTAGGCACGGATTCTACCTCGAAGATGCCGATGTCATCTGAGGCAGTGATTTGGCATTCGGCAAGGCTCGAAGTATTCTCGAACATTTTGTAGAACTTGTGCTTGTATATTTCAGCCATCACAAGCCTATTGGTATCGACACCTACTCTTCTCCCCACATATTCCTTCAACGCCTTGACGCTGGCATTTTTGTCGATGTCAACATCCACCCGGACGGGGCGAGAATGAAGCGGGAAGAAAAATATCTCTTTGCTCCAAAGGTTCTCAATCGGGAGTTGCAGGGTGAGGTTACTGAATGGATCGAAAATGATGCTAACTTTGTCGCACACAGGACAGACCACAGTAGACTTGTACATTCCAGCGAAAAGATCAGTAATTACTGAATCATTCCGTGCTTTGTAAATTTCCCAGCATTTGTTAGCAAACTCCTGTAGAGCAGCGCTGTTGCTAACCATGTCGTCCGTAGAGTCTGGCTTCTCAATATATGGTTTCTTTTGGATCCTGTTTAAATCCTCCTGTAAACCATCCAGCAGGAAGAGCACAAACTCCTGAGAATCTTGTTGCCCATAGCCGGAGAACGAAGGGCCATATCGGCCAATCGTCTGTTTAAATTGGCGAGGAGCAAAGGACGAAGTGCCATTCTCATCAAACAGTTGATGAAGCAGGTTTGCATAGGCTTTGGCCACATTCCCATCGTGAGAAAGTGGATTGCCCGGGTTGAGATCTTTCCTGTACTCATCGTCTGTAATATTGAAAACGAGAATTGTCAGAACACAAGATCAGCCACGACAGGGCTTTTTGGAAAGTAATCAATACTTACCAAGGAAATAGTGTGTTAGCTCCTCTACACTCCGAACGCACTGCAACGCAGAGTTCATATAGCAACTATTTCCAAGGTTACTCAAGCCGGTAACGCCACGGGGCCGACCGTCTTTCTGCTGTCGTCCCCTGGCAACAGCTCCAATCGCCGGCGATGCTCGGCCGCTGGCAGTGGGGATTTTGCCCTTGGCCTTGTTCTGTGGCCCGACCCTAGCTGCAGTAACCGCAAGTCGATTTGAATATTTACCGGCGCAATCGGAAATCCACTCTCCGCCTCCGGGCCCACCGATTTGTTCCTCGAGCACAATGACGTCGTCCCCCCCCAATCCCGCAAGGTGCAAGGTGAGGCTGCCGTTATACTTCGGATTGGACGTTTGGTCTTTCATTTCTAGCAATTCTCGCTGGGATCCCTCTACAAGAGCAACAAACTTATTCACGTCCAACACAAGACTGTTGCCCGCACTCGCCGTCAGTGTAGCGCCAGGGGCCGGAGACGCGCTTCTCGAGGCCGCTGGGGTAATGATACCGGAGGTTGCAGTGCTAGTCAGGCCCTCGAGGATTCTCCAAACGCGAACCTTCGTGGACATATCAATAGTTGCCAGGGTCTTCACATTCCGCAGCCACTGCTGGAATGGTGTATGTCTGCTAGCCAAGGCCTTTATAGGAGCGCGAGCCTTTTCTTGGGCAAGCTGCGTAGATGTCTGTGAAGGGTTGGGCAGCTTCAGGATGGTAAAAATTGGGGGGTTAAGTTCATATTGGACATGTTCCACGGAGCCGGCGGTTGTGTTGTGGGCGTATCGAACAATCGCAGGGGACTCTCGCGAAAGACCGTACCATTTCATGATTAATTCCCATGCATCTTCGGGAAGCACTTCAAAGTCTTCTCCCATCTGCAAGCCAGGTCGTAAGGGGACAAACTGCTCACCAGCCTCGTCCGTGTACGTAATTGACGGGTCTGTGACCAGAACCAGGTCTGAGTTGTCAACAGGGCCAATCTCACCCTCCGACGCGGTCTTATCAACTTTCTCTCGCTGCAGGTCACCTCCATTTGAGCTTCTCGAAAGGACACGTCCAAGCCAGTTCGCAGAAACCACATATCCCTTCTGCTGATCCTTTAGCGGCTGCATCAACATTCTGGTGACAGCGGCGACTTGCTCGTCAATTGGGGGGCGATCGTGGTTGGCATGAGGGGAAGCCTGGGATTTAGCGTCCTCCCGAGTGGATGAAGTATACGTCGACATACTCGATGGCGTGGGATAGACACTGTCCGAAGCTAAGCTATTGGTGTCCTCTGCGGGGGAACATTTAGCGCTTCCATGCTTCGCGTCTGCCGCCGAATTATTATTATTATTATTGCTAGTTGTTGTTGTAGGAGTAGTATCTTCCTGGCCAACCATATCCACAGAGACAGCTCTACGTTGTCTCGTTGGTCGCTCTGCTTGTTTTTTGGCGTTCGACGACGCATCCTTATTCTGATCCTCACTGCCACCGAATGAATCGGAGCCCATCTCGACATCCTGAGGTTGGCGGTCATCCTCGCCCATTTCTGCCGCTGGCCGCTTCACGGCAGGCGTGGAGTGAAATTCCTGTCTGTCATTTTCAGAGCCATCATCTGGTAAAGGAGCAGACGAGCCCTGCACGCCTTCCGACGCCGACATACCTACAGGGGCTTGGCCGTGGCGATTAGAGATAGATTCAGCGTAAGGAGTGCTCCGGGAACTCGCAGCGGTATCTGAGGAACCTGGAGTAGCGGATCGAAGGTTCTGTTTGCGGGAAGACGGCTTCTTTCGACGACGGGCTGGGGGTTGTTTAGGGTTGGCGGAACTATGTCCAGGACCAGATGAAGATGGGGCGGGGTCGTTCTTGTTGCTAACTGAGTGTGGAGGAGTGGGCCCAGGACCAGTTTTCTGAGAATTTCTCCAGACGGGTGTAGGAGCGTGAATAGGAGACGCAGCAGTGGCACTAGCAGTTGAAGTGCTGGTCGTGGGCAGGGCAGAATCACGAAGACGACTGCTGGCACGTCTCCTCCGCCTCGAGGCGGATCTTGAGGCAGATGACGGATTATCCTTTTGGAGAGAAGGAGAGGCAGGGCGCCCACGGGCTCCAACTTTTCGCTCTGTAACCTTACGTCTCTTTGAAGAAGACGTGGTGAAAGTGAGCTGACCACGGGCTGTGGCAGCTCTGGATTAGTATGGAGGGGAGAGGACAGAGGGAGAAAAAAGAAGAAAGAGGAAAACAAAGAAGAAGAAGAAGAAGAAGAAGAAGAGTAGGATGGAGGGAGATGGAGAGGGAATAATAATAGCGGACACGAGGGAGGAGGATAAAGGGCGAGACTGGTAAGCAGGCGGCGTGTAATGTACTGTATGAGGTATTGTACGTATATGTATATGTATTATAACTGCCAAAACAGACGAGAGACGGCTGTGGCCGGGCTTGGTTTTAGCTGCCGCTCTACTCCGTACCAAGCATAGTAAAAGTAGCTTTTTCTCTCAGCCTTGAGTCCTCATGATATACGCTGCGTTGACTGCTTGTTTGCAGGCAGCCTTGTTCCAATATGGTAACCTAATTTGTTCAAGTACCGTACCGTACCTTACCTTACCTGACCTGACCTGCAAGGCTGCGATGTATTTGTCTGTCTTCCGCGGGCGGCTAAATAATCCCCCCATATACCATCCATACCAATAGATAGCTGAGTTGGTCGCCACAACTTGTTCATGTTTATGGCAAAGATTGACCCAACGCCAATAAAATTAATAGAGACAATTAAGTTATTGTTATAATATATAGTTTTATTGCTTTTGTTTAATCTCTCTTATATATATCTCTATACAGAGTCTACTCCCTGTTCTATGTTCTACCTGCTTGTTAGGTTACTCTCTATGTATTGTTGATTAGAAGACAAGAACCATGACATGGTTGTAGATGCCACTGAAAGAAGGAAGGGATAATAAAGTTACCTAGTCCCGTTCACAAATATAAAATAAATTGAATACTAGATGATGCGCAAAGGAAGCAAAAACACGACATGGAAAAAAATTACGACAGCGTTCATATGAAAATTAGATATATTTTAGGTTCATGGGAAAATAATAATAATAGACGTTGTTCTCCTTAGAATGGAAATTAAAAATGGCAACAGCGAAATTAAACTATAGCCCTGTGTTAAATAACCATGGCATGCACGTATTGCTTTAAAAACGGGGGGCGGGCGGGATGATCAACTGTGATAGAAGGTAACTGCAATTCGACAAGCTACGTAACTCAGTGGATAACAATCTTGTCCACTTCTTCCTTGGCCTCGGTCCATGTCTCGAGGTTCTTCCGCGCCCAGTCCAGATGGCAGCGGGCGTAGGATACCTATAGAGTGAAGAATTGGAAGTTAGACCGAGAGCCGAGAGTAAGGACATTTTCCCGTGGTGAATAAAAGCAATGGGAATGGGAGAAGAAACATACCATATACCGTCGTAGATCATCTTCTTTTTCTTTCTGGAACCGTTTGAGATCTTGCAGGACGCCAGCACTGGCATCCTTGACATCTTTCTCGGATACTTCAAGAGCTTGCTCCAACTAGGAATAACAATAAGAGAGCTGGATTAGCATACTAATTTTCGTCTCGAAGTGATTATAGGGTTTGGAGATGTTAAAGCAAAACTAACCTGCAACAAGCTCTCTTTTGTTTTCCCGATCTGGTCTCGCCGGGTTCTCTCAGGATCAACATCGACAAATCCATGAACCGCATGGCTAATTCGCCCGAATATCTTATTCGTCACGAAGTTACCACTGGGGCTCTTACGGTGACCTGGTGAAGGTGATGGGGGTTGCTCGAGTGTCCGCTGAGGCAGACCCTGAGATGCAGATGGCTGCGGAGAATCACCACTCCCTGGTGGGAAATCGGAGTCTATCGACGCGGTATCTTCGGCATTCGACCTCGTTGCTTCTGCTGTTCCCGTCTCCGGTATACTGGGTGCAGATGAATCTGACAATGTCCTTCTTGGCTTTGGGGATCTGGCGTTGCTGCCTGTGCGGTTCAGATACTGCTCAATCCTTTTGGCTTCTAGCTCGCTCCGTTCCAAGGAGTCTAGTAATGCCTTTTTCTTGCTGAGCTCGTCCCGAGTTATCTCCTGCTGGATGCGCTTGAGGACGCGGTAGCGGAGAACATTCCGGACGACGCCAGCAAATTGCGCGCTCTCCCTCATTGGTTCTGCGAATGTTGCACCTAGCGTCGAAGAGAGCTCCTCAGTCTCAATATATGAAGTATCAGCTGCCTGTCCAATTCGCTCTATCGCTGCGGCAACTGTGACGGAAGGTTCAGAGAGCGAAAATCCATTGTACCGGGCGCCAAGCTCCATCAGATCCGCGGCAAGCGATGATAGATGCGTCAGTGTTCGCCTGTTTACTTTTTCGATATTTCCTTGCAATAGTAGTTCGAGCTCACGGGTTGATGCCTCGAAGTTTACAAAGTATGGGTCGAGCTCTTGTTCACTTAGATTGCGAGATGTTGGCGGGAAACGGCTAAGGAAAGGGGCATTTCCCGGCGCTGATGATGCATGGTCTGAAGGAGATGGAGAGGTGGTTGAAGACGACTTCAGCTTCGCGGATGATGAAGGAACTGGAAGCCAGGCATGGGCGGGTTTCGGATTTGCGGGGTCGAGCGGAGGGGCTTTCAGGCTGTTTTTGGGAATGGAGGAGACAGGATGTGAATGAAGTACTTCGTTCTGTCAGGAAAGTTAGACACTCGGTTTACATACACCAGCCAGTGACCTCTCATTGGACGGGTGCAACTAACCCAGCTTGCATTCGGGTCTAGAAACCTCCACCACACTCCGTCCTCTCGGATCTCCTTCATCCGCCGGCATCTATTCAAAAAGACGGCTAGCATACGTTTTCGCAAGTCGATAATAGAGCTATCTTCTTTAGCCTTAGTAGGTTTCGCCGCATAATCGGCCATTGTATGCTTCTCAGGTATGGGAGGGATGATGAGGGTAGGATGAAGGCTAATGAGAGTAGCGCGCAAAGAGCTAAATTCAGAGTATCGCCGTCGAACTTCCAGATCCTGTACAGTAGGCCGTGTCAGTGAAATCAACAATAACAAAAGGAAAAACATCAAATCCCCGGCTATTTACTTACCCCCGTTCGTATTGTATAAACAATGAAGCTGCCTCCACTCTCATGGTTCTTGCCCGCATGAGTGATGAGGATTGGAAGCTCCGGATGCTCGTAGAGGATCTGCTCTATTCGGCTTTGGTAGACCCCCTTCTTTCGCGGACAGTTTTGATTGTCTTCGGCATGCTCATAGTCCTCCGTCTCGTCTTGGCCCACATCATGGCTGATTGGACTGTCTAATCGGGATACATAGTCTGGAAGGGGGGGGTCTAGGGTCGAGGCCGTGGATTGCGGGGTGGAGGGAGCTTCGAAGGCTGGGAGAGTATAGGGTTAGTTGGAAAATCCACCAGTAAGTAAAAAAATAATAATAATAATAATAATGATGATGTAGGAAAAGAATTTCTCACCGGGGGACGCAGCGCCTTCACGGAAAGGATCAGTTGCGGCATCAAGATGGCGATCAAAGGACCCATAGGGGTTGTTGTCCTCGTCGTTCCACATCTTGCCGCAGCAGGCTCAAATATATCTCTAGAGGCTCGGCCGACGGCGCTGGGAGACCGGAAGCATGAACGGAAGAATTGCAATCGGGAAAAAGACGGAATAGGATATCGACCACAATGTTAAATAGAGTGTGTTAGACGTGGTACGAGACTGGAGGCGCGATGTAGGTATGAATGTATGTAGTGATTCTCAGTCAGCTGGCGGCTAAATAACCTGTTGGTTGGTTCGGACGTTGCAGCTTGAGTGAGGCGCAAGGACTCTCTTCCTTGGCTGCAACAACGTCACTAAATAATCCAACACCAACACCGAATCAAAAGATAAATAAGTTACCAGTTGGATATTTAGTATATAAAGAAACAACGTTTACCTTTTGCATAGCAACCATTTTTGAACTTCTCGACCCTCTTTCTGTTTATCTCGATTTAAAGATAGAGACGGAGCAATGGATGTTCCACTGCAATATGTGCTCCCCAGGCTGCACAATAAATAAGAAAGAAACTCTCAACTAACGATTTACTCGGACCAAAAGCCCCAGTGGCAAACTCGATCCCAGCTCGATAAGGTCTAAGGGCATTGATCGATGGCTACTCCAGTTTCACTACGGAGTAAATATCCACGCTTTTTGTGGAACTTATACTGGAACATCACACACTATGGCAACATGATGACCGTATGGCCTCCAGCAAATTTTCCTAATTGATTTCAGCCTCAAGAGGAACTAAGAACCCCTCGTCAAAATTTATCTTCCCTGGGCGGTGAGGACAGATGTTGTTAACCATATCGTCTTCCTCACATAGGACTCTCCCAGCCGTCTACTTTGGCCGGAACCACCATTTCCAGAGGCTCTTTGTTCTTCGTTCTGTTGGCTATTTCGCTCCCTTTGCATTAGGATGGATACTTCTTGGCCATCCACCGGTTCTGGAGGTGTGCTGAATTCGGTGTTTGAAACTCCGTATCATTGTTGTCAGTTCGAGAGTCTCGACGACTATGATAAAAATGCATGCTCCACGGGCCTGGACATGTATTTTTGGTGAACGAAAGCAGCACAGCAAGCCAGACTGCCACATATAATATTATGGCTTTGATAATCAACTCATGTCTGCTTCGGATAATTCGCCGGTAGTTCTTTTTTCGGCGGGGGTTATCAAAGCTCTCAGTGCGGCTGGACGCCTTCTTCATTTCCCCTATACCCCTTGAGTTTCAGTTATACAATCCGTTTCTGCTATGAGGTATATCAAGCTATATACATGCCTATGTTTCTCTATCTATAACAGGCAATTAAGCCCCCCTAGAAACATGGGATCAGCCAGGGGGTAAACTGTTTTATTCCACTTTGGTAGAGATTGATGATCTGTAGGGACTTGCTGTCCCTACTGAAAAGCAATATATACATACTTACAAGGCGTTTTGTATTTTCCATCTGCCATTGTATTGATGCTATCTGTTGAGGCCTAAAGTTTTCTCTGAAGTGGGTATACTTCTATCGAAAGTGATAAGAACTCTGCTCGATTCTTCTGGGAAGTTTAGTCGGATATCTACCTGCATAAGGTTTACCGACCCACAGTGCAGTTTCCTACTCAAAGATCAGATATTTTAGGCATCTATTGTACTTTTCGATATTCTATACTACTAACGCTCCAGGCTAAGAGGAAGAAGAAAAATAAGCAAATAGGTTTGATGTAGAGATAGGAGATGCGGGAGAGATAGGAAAATGCAGGGGTATATACGTATAAAAACAAGACACAATCCGCTTGCGATAACATTGGGGCTACCCATGCCCTGAATGCTTATTCCACACTATACGACCGCATATGACGAGGGCCCCTTTCTATTCGCACCATCCCTTCACTCCGGTGCCGTTTATGCTGGTTTCTCACCGGCTCCTTTCCCTTCCGCGTTGATGGCCCTGGATCGCCATCTGCATAGCTGTCGGTGGAATCACTCTCAGTCTTTCTCTCGAGTGTCTCGTCACTCCCATCGCAGACTAGCATACTCTCACGGGGCGGCTGCCTTCTGTCCCAATGTGATCGCTCCCCGCTAGGGCCCGTTCTCCGCTCAGTGGGCACCCGATCTCGTGCGGTCGGGCACGAATGTCGGCGCTGTGGCGCCCTTCGCTCGCGGCTATCTCTGCAGTGGGATCTTCCAGTCGATTCCCGCCTGCCCATTCCATGTCCGTCAAGCTCCCGACGATGGCGTTCATCGGAACTAAACCTCCTCGTAGCTCTCTGGCCACCACTCTCTCTCACAGCGGATGTACATATATTTCTGTTTTGGCGAGGCTGAGGAACTGGCATTGCCCGTGCTACTGATGATAGGCCTCCCTCTCGCCTCTGCCGGCGCCTCCTTCTGTGGCGTTCTCTCCTTTCCCGTCTTTCGCGCATTCCTCGCTCCGTATCCACCGCCCTGCGTTCCCGGTCCCAGCTTGGGACACGGAGACAGATTACGAGAGCCAATGCGAAGAAAAATAGGAATAACAGTATTGATGCCGCGAGGACGCCACCTTGCTCCTCTGGTGTCCATGAATTCCAGCCTCCATCCGGCTGTTGCTCTAATTGTCCCTTTTTTGTACTCTGAGAAGGGATGGATATCGGAATAAGCGTTGCCATGGCTCCCGGTGAGTAGGCGGAGTTGGTGCGAAGTATTCTGCTGGCTGGTTACCTCGGAAGGCTGACACTTGCTGATGATGACGTGGGCATTGACATTGGCTTGTGATGTAGGTGGGGAACTATCACATCTGCTATTTTTATAGAAGTGATGAATGAACAGAATGGTTTTAGCTGGTTGCAGGAAATTGAAGTAATTCAATGTGAAGTTGCCGTGCCTTTAGCGATTGAAGTGACAGAGAGATTTAGTTGGGAAAAAGGGGGAAATGTCTACACCACGTAAATAGATCAGATGTATTAGTGTAGTGAAAAGATTCGAATAACACCAGCAGAACAGAACTGCCCACGATCAATCAAAAAGAAAACTCTTCAATTCTTCTAAAAATAGAGAGAATGCGAAACAGGCCTGAATAAAGGACTTGGAGTGGAACCGCTAACGGCAATGAAAGAAAGTAAATTTGGCCCTTGACAATGAAACAAGAATTGTCCGATGGAAGCTTTGATTGTGGCTAGATACTCAGATAAGGCGCGTATACGGACGCTTATTCTAAATGTTTGCAGCCTCTACTCAAAAAGAAGCAAACAAGGAGGCCTGAATGGAGCCGTGTCAATTGACACACATATATATGTACATACATAGATCTCAAAGCCATTGCATCCGTAGCAAACAGTGCTAGCACTCCCGCGTCTAGTTTGCTTCTAAGCAATCACCTCATGTATCCGCGACCCCATCCTGGTACCAACACCAGCAAGCAAGAAGATATTCCAGCTACCTAGCAGTTTACAGCTAGGGGTGACCATTGATGGCGGTGGGCGGTGCTGCTCCTCCTCCACCCCCCGCTCCGTTCGCAGGAGGGTGTCCGTTGGCTAGTTGTCCATTCCCATTCGCATTCACATGTCCATTGCCGTGTGCGTTTCCGTTGCCATTTCCTGGGGGCCCATTTGCTGGCTGTGATGGGTTTGTTTGCCCTGAGTTGTCCGGCTGTACGTTCGCCGGCTGTCCATTATTAGCTGTGGTGGACGGGCTTCCTGGCTGCACTGCTTGCGCTGGTTGAGGGCCAGGGGGGGGAAGATTGGTCGCCTGAGCTACTTCAGCTTCCTGGGCGTCGATCGCTTCCTCTGCTTTTCGTGTCTCTAGCATCATGTTGTTCACTGCGAGGTTGTGATAGAACACGAAGGCGGCGTGGATGACAACTCTATATACGATGAACGCGAATACTGGTACCAAGAGTACGATGAGAACGATGACATGGTTGGGGCGCATGGCTGTTGTGTGGTGAAATCACCCCCTAGGTGCGTGGAGGGTAATGGAGGTGTGGAGGTGTGAGATGGAAGCTTTGGATATGCCTGACCTACTCGCGAGGAAACACTTGTAATTCGAAATATTTAGAGGCGTGCATGCCTAGACATAAAAGCTATGTGATATGCTATTGTGCGAGGTGTCAAATAATCCTTGGTCAATATCGCGTTCAGGGTTAACGTCTGATTGTTCACAAGAACTACACCATCGATCAGCAAGTTAGAAGTAAAAGATTTGAAGTATGGAAGAATACCTTACCTGCGCATGAGGGCACCTGAGAAGCTATAATGTAGCAACCTCGAGTTGGAAAAAGAATTCATATCAAAATAAACATTCAATAGGGAGTTTTCGCCCAGCAACAAAGAGGGAGTTGTCGCGATCTCAACGCGTTGTAGATAATGTGAGAACGAACAACAAAAATCATTCCTCTTGACAGCTGAAAGAAGAAAACCAGAATAATATTCATGAAAGAAATTAATTAAGAGTAGAAAAACCAAATTCAAACAGCAGCATTACACCTTGCTTCTTAAAGAGTCTTTAGGGTCACAGCTGTTCTCGGAGCCATCATCGCAATCGATAATCGTTTTCAGAAGGGTTAACCAGCAATGATGCATGCCGACCTTATAACCCTGATCCCATAAATCCTGCAGTCTTTGACGGACCAGGGATTTGTCGAAGTCCAAAGTTTCAGACGGAGGAACAAGGAGGAAAATCTTTGCGCCGCGAATGACTCGAACGCCCAAGGTAAAAACATCTGGATCAGATATCCAGCCTAGCACGCCATCTCTACCGGCTTCCCGCGTTTCATTTATCAGTGTAGAAATACCATCAGCAACCCAGGAGTAGAGCTGTAGGGCGAAGCTTGTGTTCTCTCGCCTCGCTACTGATTGCGATAGCACTTTAGCCCATATCTCAACTTCCCGCACGTCCTCAACAAACAAGTTCTGTTTTTCTTCTTGGAATAGAACTGTGCTCTCCGTCTGAAATTCTGCAAAGAGCCTAGAAACGGCAGTGATAGTTTTATTTTCGTTGAACTTAGTACCCGAGAGCATGGTTGGCAGCCCGAGGAATCGGTCCATTGCTTCTGCACATAAAGTTGTAGAATTAGCAAAGGTTTTGGCGAGGATATCGGCCAATTTCGAGCTAGCCGCGAGAGGAAGTAATGTAGTGGCTTCGTTTGCACTATCAGAAACAAGCGAGAAAAGTGTGGATGCTGCTTGCGCTGCAAGATATCTGATGTCCTCATCGTCGTCGTTCAGCATCCCATACAAAACAAGATATGTCTCTAGGATATTGGGTTCGATCTTGGAATGAGTGTTGCTTGTTTTCAACCCTAAAACAAAAGTTTTCATTGAAAGCGCAGCAGCATGGCGGGTTGAGAATTCCTATCGGGATTAGTTAACCTACATTCAACATAGAAAAGGGGGTTTGTAAAAACTCACGGTTTCGTCGCCAATGGCAAATCTTAAGCTTTGAGTCCATTTATCCAATCTTGTTTTGAACCCCAAGGAAACTTCAGGCACATCGAATGACAGCATTCTCAGCGCCAGGAAGCATCCTTGTAGGCGTAATGATGCATTTAGCATATCACGACTCCCTATACTGGCACCATCGCCGTCTTTTGAGATATCTGTAGATACAACCCATTTTTGTAAAAAGTGGAACTCAGTGGATAGCGGAGAAGTATTTTCCAACAGTATCATCAACTCATCCGCTAGATTGGAGGTAATGGTAAGCCGTATTTGCTGAGAGCGTGCCTCTTGAATCATGGCAATGTAGAGCTTTATCCTCTGTACCTGGGACCGTTTATGGGAGCTGAAACTGTGGTGTATGTGGTTTAGCAACCAACAGGTGGTGTCGGAGTCTACTGCTGAGATCGAGTCTATAAACATCAATAGATCTTCTGATGCGACCGCTCGTTCAAGGAGAATGCTAGTTTTCGAGACGGAAAGTGCTTTTAAAAGTAGAAATGAGGATTTGGAGATTGTCGTATTGACTTGCGAAACCAGGTCACTTAGTATACCGAAAAGCCCATGTTCTTCCAATAGGGCATTGATTTGCGGTATGACAGTGGCTATTATCCAGTCAGCATGTTTTGCCCTTGTAATCTAAGTATGTCATAGTACGTACCTTCAAGACCACAACGGGTACCTGCCTCAGTAACATCATTAAGGATTTCGACCAGCGTAGCCAGCACGAAAGGAGACCTGGCGTGAGAAAATAGATTTTGGAAAACTTTTTTCACAGTAAGAAGCGTCGATCCGGAGCCGTCTAGAAATGTATTAGCGAACGTGTCCTCGGATGAACCTAAGGCTTCTCACCTAGCCAGTATCCGCTCGAGGAAACCCAGAGTCTCTGCAGAGCATATCTAATACATAATGCCGTTCCGTGGATTTGGTTCTGTGAGAGGGATCCGTGGGGAACTGTGGAGAGCTCACAGACAGTCGCCGGTATCTCTTCATGCCCTAGGAGGGACGCATATATCCTCGCTGAGTGCTCCCTGATACCCCAAACAGGGCTTTTAAACTGCTCGAATACAAAGTTCCTTAGGAGCTTTTCCTCCTCCCTAGAAAAGGACGGCACCTTCTCTCCAATTAGCTCCAGAGCTGGGAAAACTCGCTCCGTTTTTATGGACAGCTCCCATAACTGCGAACTTGTCTCTTGTTCTTCATTAGGGATGGGGTCTTGTAGGAGTTGGCCCAATAGCTCAATTAAACCGGGATACTTTTGAAAAACGATCCTACTTCCAGGCTCAGATCCAGAACTCCCTCCCAGGCCCGCGCTGCATCCCGCCTTAAAACGACACATTCGATTCATTAAAGCCTTGAAAAGCATCAATCCGCAATTTCGAATTGCCCATCTAAAACTACATGTTAGCCAGGTTTGAATCCAATTGTCAGGGGAAATTACATTTTGGATCCTAAGCACTCAGCAGAAATCCTTAAGCAAGGCATGACATAGGCTTCCGTCGATGGGCCTAGTTTCGTGTTCGTAAAGATATCTTTCAAGCAATTTAAGGCGTGAACCTGGGGCAATTTGATATCTGACCCTATAGCACCTGTAGGCGCACTCAGCTTAGCAATCTCCTGAGTATCGTGCATGATTTGGCGGAAAAGAGAACCATCGGGTTGAGAAGAAGCTATCCCGGTGATAAGTGCAGGGAGGCCCGCTGATCTTCGTGTGAGCTTCGAAGCTTGCGCGTCGATGATTTCCAAAGCATCCTAGTTCGATTAGCAGGGGCTCTCTCAGAGAAGACATGAAAAGCGCAAATACCCTGTACCAGACCTCTAGAAGGTCGGTAGTCCCAAGCTCCTTCGACTGGGCACATCGTGCGCAGCAAGCGGTGAAAGTCTGCGAAACTGCAGAAAATGCACCCCGGTGTCGTAACTCGGCAAGTTGAGTAAAACTTAGTGTTCCTATTTTATTGAAATCGTCTCTAACGAGTCCAGTGCCAGAAGAATCGGGGGAGTAGCTCAAATTGAGTAATATCGCGTGGAGTAGCATACTGTTTATTTTTAGTTAGCGATATCAAAAATTTGAAGCCAGAGGCTAATACCTGGATTCCCGCAATGCACGCCAAGAGCATGATAACAAATCTTTCGGGCCCTTAAGCTCATCCGCTGCGTCCTCGTCCTGTCCTTCTGGGGAATCTATACAGAGGATGGCCCGAACACCAAGCCAAATATTTTGGCAGAGCAAAACGAGTCGATCGTGGTATAATCTCCAGTATGGACGCCCGGTTTCTGATGAGGGAAACTGAGAATGAAACTCAGGGGTCGACACGATATACCTACTTATGGAGATTAGGAAAGCGGTTCATCACTCTCGAAGAGATGGCAAGGGGCGGCCTACCTTAATGCAGAGATGTAACCGTGGACAGAAGTCTCCCGGATTGCGATTTGAAACGAGCCATCAGTTGAATACAGGGTTTCTTCCAAAATTGTGACAAGTCTTTCCACGATAGTTTGTTTTTGCTCATACCAATTTCCACCAGTGTCTGAGGATTTGGATTTGCTGCAACTTGCAAGGTCGAATATAATGTGGTAGAGGCGTGCCACTGCATCAGCATGATCAGCTCTGCTAGTGCGGCTTGCGACACGCTCTGCTCTTTCCAAAGCCTTAACGAGTTGTAGTCGCAAAGGTGAATCTCGCCCTTTTATGATATATTCTTGTCCGCCATTGTCGAGCGTTGATTGGATATGTGCTCGAGGAAACATATTTAGAAGCATCAGAGCTGTGGAACGGACATCGTCGAATGGGTTTATAAGCAAATCACCCATGAGTCTGAAAAGACTTGGTCGAAATATTTCAATACTACAGTCCCAGGACATTTGATCCTGGCCAAGCCTGGACAAGTGTATAGGGTCAATTCTACTATCCAGACCTGCCTGCGATAACAGTACCAAGGTCTTGAGGGCTGATATGTGCCTTTGATAGGACATTGTTGGCTGAAGTTCTAGTTCGAGAAAATCCACATACCACCGTAGAAACTGTACATGGGCATCGGCGACATTGGCGTGCTTGGCTCCAGGCATATCATCCCCAGGTGTATTTTGGTTGGTAGACTGTGACCCATACGCAAGGTTCGCCATTTTGCGACAGGAAGACAGACCACCGCGTAACCTAATGATAAGCTTTCGAATTAGGCTGAATACCTCTCCTCGATATTGGGGGTCGCTGTCAGTATGCATATAAGGGAAATTTTTGATTAAAACTTGGAGGCTATCTGGGGAGAACGGCTTTGTGGTGGAGGGGGCTGTTATCATCAAAGAAAGGGCCGAGAGCCGTATGGCAGCTTCAGAGTGTATTAAAAACTCGCCAATTCGGCCGCTTTCGATAATATATGACTCGCCAGAGGCCGACGTAAGTACGCCTGAGCCTAAAACTAATTAATTGAGAACGATATCAAGCATTGGGGAGTTTTTAACTTACTGCCTTCCTGCACAAGACCGAGCTCTTTGGCTATTTGAAGAGCGGCAAAGAGTACAATAAGCTCATCCGTGGTGGCTTCACATGAACTAGGCTGCAAGTCGTGACATGGTAGAGTGCGGATAAATGACTGAAACCCAGAGGGTATCGCTTTGAACAGCGGATAGAGAAAATGATCAGACACTGCATTCAATGCATCTAGATTTTGCAATGCAATATATCTGAGAGGGGCTTGCCAGAGAGAACCCGAACTGCTCGGACTATTGTACAAAAAACTGATTGAAGCGGCTTCCAGTCTATGGCAGAACAGAGTAAATAATGTTCCAGCTGGGAGGGCCAAGTCTCGGTTATTAGAATTAAGGAGGAGAGAAATGGTAAAAATTTGGGCAGCGTAGAATAGCAATTCATTTTCTCCAATGTTTTGACTGCTTTCTCTATCAATAAAGATGTTTATGGGAACCCCAAGCTTGATGCAATGCCTCTCTAATCGCGGCGCCCAAGCCATAGGATTCTCTAACATCCATGTCTTCATCTTTTGGATCAGGTCAAGCACCGGGAGGGTATCCTTTCGGATAAGCCATTCTAGGGAGATCAGGCATGCCTTGAGCCTTGACCGGGGTTCGCACAATAAGATGTTGGGGATTACCAACTGAATTAGGTTTGAACGCACTGACTGGATGATGGAGTCATCATGATGCCTTGAAATAATTCTGATTAACGAAGTTTGGACCAGCCTCATTGGTTTCGGTTTGCGCTCATAGCGATCGAGCAGAACCTCAAAGGTGCAGGCCCAAGGAGGGTTAGATCCGGACAATGAAAACTCGCGGATCCGTTCATTTGTAGAGAGAGCCGTTGCATCAAGAAACGCGCTAATTGAATTACAAATAGCCACCATATGAGATGATGATAAGTCGTTGGCGGAAAATGTTCTGAAAAGGCATTTCCAGATGGGAAAGATCAATCTACGACCCAGTTAATCTAGCTGATCGAGAGGAAATGAGTTCAGAAAATTGAGAATAAGCTTACAGTGGGCTATCGGCATGCAGGATTAAATCCCTTAACGGGCCCCTGGCGGCCTCATTTAACACATTTTCCGGGATAGCATCTAAGTCTGAAGACAACAGACATTTAAGTGCTGGCGGCGTCCGAGTTTGTTCCTGCGTCGGAGAGCCATTGGATGCCGGTTTCTGGGTATCCATTATTCCAAAAAGAAAAACAAAAAAAGAAAGATAAAAGTGATAGAACTCTAGATAGAAGGAAAGCAAATCAAATCTATCATAAAGAATATCAAATAAACCCCCCCCCACTAGTAGGTACTGCTACTTTTTTAAATTTATATCCTTCCTCGAGCGTAAGATTTTTGCTGCTCGTTGGCTGTAGATGACTAAGCGGACGAATGTTCCCTGAAGCAGTATAGCGTGTGTATACAGAAAACTTGACCTCGCTAAGTGCGCCACTTGACCTCGTTATGTAAGCTGACCTCGCAAATGTGGCCCGTGCCACTACCTGACCTCGCTCAATACATCTTTTCTTGTAATTTGAAACCACTCAATTATTTATCATCAATTCTACAATCAATTCAAAATCAATTTAAAATCAATTTAATACTGAAATTATTCTTGAATTTAATAATAAAGTAAGTATTTATATAATTTACACTGAATTGACTATTAATTGATTTTCAATCAATTGTTAATTACTTAAATATACAGATTGAATTTATTTTATTACTATAATTAATTAATAATTAATTCAGAATTAATTCAAAATCAATTCAAAATCAATTTAATACTGAAATTATTCTTGAATTTAATAATAAAGTAAGTATTTATATAATTTACACTGAATTGACTATTGATTGATTTTCAATCAATTGTTAATTACTTAAATATACAGATTGAATTTATTTTATTACTATAATTAATTAACAATTAATTCAGAATCAATTTAATACTGAAATTATTCTTGAATTTAATAATAATACTGAATTGATTATCAACTGATTTTCATTCAATTATTAATTACTTAATGTGGCGGGCTGCGCCCGATCAATCATATAAACTATTTCATTACACTTCACAGATTTCAACCACTTCATTCTTGAACACATACACTCCGATTCTCAGCCATTCTTGATCATCAATCCTTGGCTGTTACAAACACGCGTATATTCTCCCATCTCGAAGCTCCACCGCGTACGCCATCACATACACATATAAATATTTATCTCAATCACTGATTCTTGCACTTTCTCTTTCTTTTCTTCTCTAACATTTTTATCTTTGTTATATAAGACCTATCAATATTATATCAATCTATTCAGTGTAGGCCTCTTATACTATAAAAATATTTATTATCTTCTTATTAGAAAATAATTATTCACACATTATCTTCTTATCAGAAATAATTATTTATCAAGAGATATCTGAACATGTAATAATATATAAGAAATAGAGAAACAGTTAAGCAGACACTGAGTTCTTAGATAGAAGCTACTTATCAGTTACTCTGATCTTATAATAAGATTTTATAAAGAGAATATCAATAAAAGATCTGAGAGTTCTGATACTCAGATATATAAAATATTCATATAATTATACTTCTTCAAATTTCACAGATATTATATATCTGATAAATGATATAATCATATCTAATAATAATATAAGAGAATCTCTGAATATAAGCATAGACACAGTGTTACAGTGACTTTAAGTAATATTAAAACTATAATAATAATAAATAACTGATATACATGCAACTCAATAACATTAATACAAAGAGATTTAATAACTAACTCATATAATTTCAATATCTACAGAATTAAATATAAAAACACTGAAAGAATACTTAGATACTCTTATATATTTTAATACTTTCAATCTCACTCTCTACTCATTATAAAGAATGAAAATGCTCATGAAACTGAGTGTAGATGAAGATATTATCAGTTCATTAATTAATCAAGATTGATATATTAATAGATAATTGAAAGATTATATGAAATAGAAGTTTTATTCATGAATAAAAGCATGTGAATCAGTATTATAAATATCTGATAATATTATAAAATATCTTGATATTCTGTTTCAAAACACTATTATATAATAGAAAGTATTAGATTGATTACAGAGTATCTGATAGAGAAATATTTCTCTTATAATATTCATCTCTGACTTCAATATCAAGATTCTAGAAGCAGATAATCAATCTTGAGAGAATTGAATAAAGATTAACATGCTTAAGAAGATATTAACTTTCAAACTCTTACAAGCTCTTGTAAGTGTAGATAAAGATCAGACTTATAAAGACTTCTATATATAGCTTCAGATAATAAATGATTATCTTACTAAGCTTAAGAATATACAGAATAGTAGTAGAAGATATTACACTTCAGTGACTTATACATCTGTATTAAGAAATAATAATAATGCAGATGCTATGAATTGAGTAGACTTAAATATCTATATATAAGCAAGAGTCTTCACTATTCAGACAGACTTCTGAGTTTCTGAAATCACTTCTGAAGAAGTTGCTGATTAATATTAATATGAAGTGTGTATTAACTGTAATTAATCAGAATACATTGCTTTTAACTGTTAATTAATCTATATATCTTCATACTTGAGAGAAAGATCAGTGTCTTCTCATTCAAAGAATGAATCAGTGTCTATTCATACTAATCATATTATATTAGAGAAAGATTCAGAAGATAACTATAAGAATATCTCAATGAAACAGAGAAAAGATTAGCTTCTATTCAAATTTGTAAACAGAAGCTTGAAGAGATCAGATAATAATAATTTGAAGAGAAGATAATAATGAATGTGATTCTTGTATCTACTGTGATTGATAATATGTATAATATGAAAGTCATGATAGACAGCAGTCTATATTACTATACAATGATAAAATCTTCAGTTGTAAGATATTATAATCTTCAGTGTATTTCTTTATTAAAATCTTAACTTCTTACAGAATTTAATGATTCAAAAGACATTTATATCTGTTATATAATGAAGCTGATCATAGATGTGAGAGAATATTAACATAAAAATATCTATGTATATAAAGTTAATAATCTTGATTATAATCTTATATTAGAACTTATCTGACTATCTGAATAAGACATCTTATTAAATACTTAAAACAGAAGCTTGATATTCTCTAACAATGATAGAATTTATAAAGATGATATTCACAAGACTATTAATCTGACACAGATCTCTGTTAATATTTATAAAATGCTTAGAAAAAGAAGTCACTGAAAGAATCACTGATAGTAGAATTATATATCAATCTATTTTATCAGTCTAATCAATATTAAAAAGACTCTAGAAAAATTATTTTATATTATAATAATAAATTCTTGTATGAAACTCTCTCAATAATATCATGAATATCTAGATATCTTCTGATAAGATAATATTATAAATATATCTCTCTTATGAGATTCTGAAGTGAATCACAGTATTAAGTTAGAGAAAAAGAATGATAAGAATTCTGAACTATTATAAGACTCTCTTTATAATATATTCTGAGATGAACTTCTTCTTCTTTGAAAGACACTCAATGATCTGTTGAATAAAGAATTTATATACATTAGTAACTCTTTCATCACAGTCTCTATTCTCTTTGTAAAAAAATCAGATGAAAAACTCTGATTCTGTGTGAACTACTGAGATCTGAACAGATTGATAAAGAAAGATTGATACTTTTTATCTCTTATCAATGAAACTCTAGCACAGATCAGATAAGCTTAGACTGACCGTGTAACCGTGTCTGAAACCAGGACCAGATTTTTTGATAGTCTCATTACCAATTCGACTGATCCCATTACACGGTTTTAACATTAGATAGTAGTCTCATACTGTTCCAGTGAGACTTACTGTCTACTCTTGTCATATTTTCCAAATGAGACCATGATTTCCACTTCTCAATTTAAATTATTTTTATTGCTTTAAATGACTTTAAATCTCATTTGAGTGTTACCAAAAAGCGTTACTTTTTAAAAAATTAAAAATAGTCTAAAAAAAACCTTAAAATGTCTAAAAATAGTAACTTTATGCCAAGAATAGAACTAAATGGGATCAAATGAGATCACTTTCTCTTTTTTTCAAGTCATGGTTTCATTTTAAGATCTGATATATAGTCACTTTACATGTTTTTTTGATAGCCAGTCCCAGCGGGATTCACGTCAAGAAATGTATGAGATCAGACCAAATGAGATCAAATGTGAAATTCATGGTCTCAGCGGCCAGTCTAGATAAGCTTAATAGTTTATAAAACTAGATATTATTACTGTGTTTTATAAGATTTATATTACTGAAGAAGATAAATAACTTACAGTATTCTGAACATGTTATAATCTCTTTGAATGAATAGTTACATTCTTTGAACTGACTAACATTCTCAGTACATTTCAGAAGTATATTAACTGAGTACTTCAAGATTTTCTTAATGAGTTTATATCTGTTTATCTAGATAACATTCTCATCTTCATCAATGAATTCAGAAAAGAATATCAAGAGTATATATAAAAGATATTATAATAACTATGAGAAGCAGAACTACTGATAGATATTAATAAGTATGATTTTAAAGTTAAGAGTATCAAGTATCTGAGTTTTATTATAGAAGCTGATAAGAGAATTTGAATGAATTCTGAGAAAGTCTCTATCATTCTTGAATGAGAAGCTTCATATACTGTGAAAAATATATAAAGCTTCATCAGATTTGCTAACTTCTATCAGTGATTTATATAAAACTTCTCAGATATTATAAGATCACTTACAGATCTTACTAAGAAAGACTCAGTATTTCAATAATCAGTGAATACTGAAGCTGCATTTATACAGATGAAGAAGATGTTCATTAATACTTCTTTACTAATAATATTTAATTCTGATTATAAGACAGTTGTTGAAGCTAATTTCTCTGACTATATAACAGAAGAAGTGATATTATAATATAATAATGAAAATATTCTATAATTATATATCTTCATATCTAAGAAACTGAGTCTCACTGAATGCAATTATAAGATCTATAATAACAAACTTCTCATAATTATATACTATTTGAAAGAATGAGACTCTGAACTCTGAAGTGTCTCTGAATTTGAAATAGTCATAGATTATAAGAATCTCAAATACTTTATAACTATCTATAAACTCACTGAATAACAGATATAATGATCTGA